CAGCCCTTTTAAGTCTTGTGACCACATGTTGCTGTTATGTAATACAGCACATGGTAGTAATTGATGTATGTTCTTGTGTATACCTTGTATTTATTACCAAACAAATAACTTCTTGTTGTTTTTGTTACGCATTAAAATTCATTATAAAAAACATCTGTAAATGTATTGTTAGAAGAATTAAATACATCAGTTTAATATATTTAATGATTATTTGTTTAATTGTAAGAAATAATGTAATAATTGTATAATTTAAAACAATTGAAAGCTTAGAATATATATAAGAATCAGAATTGACAAACAATTTATCATTTGATGAGAAAGAAATTTTTTCTAAAAAATATTCATTTATTTGAGAGAATTATAATTAGCAATTTCATTGTGTAATTTTAATGTTACACAATGTGGAGATAATGATATGGTAATTGGCATTAAACTAACAGACAGTTCATATACATGAAGGTCAGCTGCTAAGGACATTGCAGCTTTTGAAGCATTCAGTATTTTAACTACATTATTTTTATCAAATATGCAATTACAGAGTTTATTTTTCTGTATTTATATTGAAAAATAAACAGGTTTTATTTTTAATAAACCAACAAAATTAATCATTTTATTGGTTTATTTTTTTTCTATTTTTAGTTTTCTTATATCATGTAATTATAACACATTAACTATATCATGATAAAAAATTCAATACTTTTTCAAATACTTTCAATGGTATTAATGCTAGTATGTCATTCAGCTTCAACTTTGATAATGTAAAAGTTGAAAGATGATTTGCATGTTGTTACATATTGCCTGCTATCAAGGCGCTTATATTATTTTACATATAGAGCATTATTCTCACAGTAGTCCGTAGGTTCGGTACCAATCACTCATGCATCGCTCATTACAAGCCTAAGTACACCACATAGGTGTGGCACAATTAGCACTACTGAAACTAGTGTTTTGAGCGCAATAAAAGTAACTGAGGAATAATGATAAAAAAAGGAGATACTTTTGCATACATAAAATAAATATTTTCAATTATTCAAGTTTTATGTACAAGTATTACCTTTGGGAGCTTTGTACCAAACTACGGACTGTATTATAAAAACTTGCTCCAATTTGAATCATGAAATGGTGGTTGTTGTGATTTCAGAGCCTAGAGGCATCAAATAATGCCTTTCACGGCGCGAGAACAAAATTAGTAAGTAAGAATATATATGTGTACAAAACACAAAGTAAACTTGTACTCCTTTCCATAGAGCAATCCTTGCAATTTCCTCAGGGCTGCTTTAATTCCTATGACTACATAAGTGTGGTATGTGCCAATGGGTTTACCATTTTTGCCTTCTCATCATAACACAGGGTAATAATAAGACGAATTTTCAACAGAATGCAATTAAAATTATCAACAGCTTACATCTGCTTGTTCATATTATCATGTAACTCGACAGGAATAACTCATTTTGCTTCATTAACGCGCAAAAATAATATAGTCCAGAAAAATTACTGTATATGTCGTCTATATTAATCTGTGTCCATTCAATTAAATAAAGTAGTATCATTTGCATTTTTCTGTTTATAGTTCATTTCTATTCATTGCAGCCCTTTATAATAATAAAAGGTATATTAATAGTCTCATAACTAATTTAATCTTTTAAATGTTTAGGATCCCAAGTCTGGAGCCTTAAAAAAGTCCAGTCGTTATCGTAGTCGTTCCTTGTCAGCCAGTAGCACAGATAGTTACAGTTCTGGTATGATATACTTTTTCCTTTCATAACTGTGACATTATTATAAATGGTGTTGTACATTTGTATATCTTATGACACTTCAGCATCTTACACAGGAAGCTCATCAGATGAAGATGACGTGTCACCGCGCGAGAAAATTCAAAAAACCGAGAATGGTTTCACAGACTTTTGCGTGCGCAATATTAATCAACATGCATTTGGTCGAAGAGAAATAGAAATAGCAGAACAAGAGATGCCTGGAATTATGGCGCTTCGTAAACGTGCAGCTGAAGATAAGGTACTTTGTTTATTATGGAAGAATAATTAAGCTTTAATGAGGAATACTGGTATATGTATAACAAAAAATTGTTTCAAATAGCCACTGAAGAATGCAAAAATTGTGGGATGCACTCATATCAATGCTCAAACTGCTGTCCTTATTGAAACCTTAGTACATTTGGGAGCACAAGTTAGATGGGCAGCATGTAACATATACTCCACGCAAAATGAAGTAGCTGCTGCTCTTGCTCACGCTGGTTATCCAATTTTTGCCTGGCGCGGTGAAACAGAAGAAGATTTTTGGTGGTGCATTGATAAATGCGTAGCTGCTGAAAATTGGCAACCTAACATGATATTAGATGATGGTGGAGATGCAACACATTTAATGCTCAAAAAATATAATGCCATGTTTAAAATGATTCAAGGTATGTTCGTTATATATTTTGTACAAAAATTGATAATAATATTCTTAACAAACTTCAGGAATTGTTGAAGAAAGCGTGACGGGTGTACATAGATTATATCAACTGTCAAAAGCAGGCAAATTGTCCGTTCCTGCCATGAACGTGAATGATAGTGTAACAAAGACCAAATTTGACAATCTTTATAGTTGTCGCGAAAGTATTATCGATAGGTAAATTAATCTCAAAGTAATTCTTAATGTACCGAGAATCTATAGCATTGATTTAATTTATATACCTTTATAGCTTGAAAAGATCTACAGATATCATGTTCGGTGGCAAACAAGTTGTAATTTGTGGCTATGGTGAAGTAGGTAAAGGTTGTTGTCAGGCTCTAAAAGGTTTAGGGTGTATCGTTTATATAACCGAAATCGATCCGATTTGTGCTTTGCAAGCAAGGTAAATAAAAAGAAAAAAAAAACGCGTATATAAATCATAAACAATTACATTATTTGTTAAATGTTTTCTTTACAGTATGGATGGCTTTAGAGTAATGAAACTAAATGAAGTTATCAGAAATGTCGATATTGTGATTACCGCAACAGGCAATAAAAATGTAGTTACACGAGAACACATGGACAAGATGAAAAACGGTTGTGTGGTATGCAATATGGGACACAGTAATACGGAAATAGACATTGTACGTTTAAGCTTTAACAGTATAACTAATAACATCTCAGATTCGTTTAGAACTTTTAACTAAAATTTAGGGAGAAAAACTCGTATTTCTTACATTTCAGAACTAAAAAGAAATGTATTGGTAAGACATTAAGACTGCTTTAATATGTTCTTAACAGAACAGTTTACGCACGCCCGATTTAACTTGGGAAAAAGTAAGGTCTCAAGTGGATCATGTTATCTGGCCGGATGGAAAGCGCATCGTGTTATTAGCGGAAGGCCGTTTAGTCAACTTGTCTTGTTCCAGCATTCCCTCCTTTGTTGTGTCGATTACAGCCGCTACGCAAGCGTTAGCGCTTATTGAACTTTTCAACGCACCACCAGGACGATATAAAAGTGATGTTTACTTGTTGCCAAAGAAAATGGGTAAATAAGTGATAAAACATGTTATTCTTATATTCTGTTACTATAATTAATATCAAAGTAAACTTATAAAATAATACCATTCATTAGATGAATATGTGGCATCATTACATTTACCAACATTTGATGCACACTTAACTGAACTAACAGATGAACAGGCTAAATACATGGGACTTAACAAGGCTGGACCTTTTAAACCCAATTATTACCGGTTCGTATGCACAATATATGGATTACTCAATATCATTAATGAATAAATTATTATATCGCTTTCTTATGTATTTCAGCTATTAAAAATGTATAAACAAGTGAGGCAACGCGGTACATACCATGTTTGAAACATTTCTTTGCAGTCTCGACTATTTTAGTTTATTTAGCCATATTAATATAAATGTACGATAAGGCTTCATGTTATCTTTAAGATAATTCTAGGCAGTTCTATTGTTCTAGAAGAATATTTTCCATGTATTGTGAACAATATTCCAGTATGATTCCAACCAAAATATTGCCTCAGTACTGATTGCAATAATCAATAATTATAAATTATGTAAGTGAATATATAATATTGAATTAACTTTTGCGAATGTATACCCGATTAATTTATGAAAGTGGACAAAGATATACGTGCAGTTATATTCAGCCAGAACGAAGTTTGAATTCGTCGGATGCCAGTTTTTCATCCAAAAAACGATATGTTAAAGATCTGTAAGCTTACATTTGTTACAGGATGTAATAAGTTGTACAACCAGAATATGTTAGATATTATGTTCAGAAAATTGTTGATTAAAAACAACAAATCTTCTGATACTACTGGAAATGTGTACATATACATAAAGAGTTTTAATATTTGCAAGACGTGGATCGTCGAGAACTGAAGCATGTAATGTTCATTTTGTGATGAGTAAATGTCTTTGCAGTAATTACATCCAGTAATTGTTCTGAATCAGTTTGTCGAAACAGCGATTATGTACACTTAGTATCTCTGTTTCCATGAAAAGAACAATGTAAAAAATTTACTAATTGAAGCCATGTACATAATTATCTTAAAAAAACAATAATTAGAATGGATAAAAGTTAGCCCTTTTATAATTGGTTGTATCACTCCCTTGATAAATAAACCTCAATGATGAGAGACAAAAAGCAAATAAACAACCTACGATGCCTTGAATCTATTCATTGTTTACATTATTAATCTAAGTATGTTCCACCTTGTATCTATTTAATTTCATCGATACTTTTAATATCAACAGATTAATTATATGTTTGTCTCTTTTAGGTTTAGTATCAATTAATATAATAATATACTATAGTATACTATTAATAAGTTACATACATCAAAAGTAACAAGAACCTTTGTTGAAACGTATTATCTTCTAAACTATCCTTCCTTTCATTAATAGTTTAGGAATTATGAAGGTCGTGGGATAATCGTAAGAAGAGCAAAGTTAATTGAAAACAATGAAGGAATACATTGCAGAATTACAAAAAAGTAAAATGCATCACATCGATATAAATGTTATATATTTCAGCATAATCGTTATAAAGTAGTGGCTTCTCAAGCGCTTATCGACAGCATCAATTGAAAGGTAAGTTTTACAAGAGTTCTTGCATTCTTGCTGCGATCCGTATATGAGTATTGGAAAACAAAGAAACAACTTTGGGATTGACCGTAAAACGGACCTATACAAATGGCAAGGCTGAACGGCATGGCATACATAAAATGGCATAACGGCAGCAGTTCTATAATGACGAACTTAAAAACACAATTCGTGTTATAAAAGAAAAAAATAAATAATAAAACCAAAAAAAAAAAAATGTAGTAAAAATATATTTTACAATACTCTGTACAAGATCTTGTTAGAATTAATGTCTATTTTAGCTCGACGAAAAATTGATTATCATAAGACAGGCTATCAACCCTGGAATACTGTTATCAGAATATTTTTTTTTTCTTTTTTTATATTTTTCATTCGCGAACGCGTTGCCGCGTTTAATTATGATCATTTACGACGTTAGGAAGCCACTTCTTCAAGTTAATTGCATAAACAGTCCGGCCGTTACTGCGATATTAATTTTTTAAATTTGCTAAGAAAATTTTGATTCCTAGAAGAGGTCTGCGATCGCAGTATTCCACGATTAATGCAAGCATGGTGTCTGTTAATGTTAGCATGGTGTCTGTGTATTTCCGTTAAATAGTTGGATATTTCCGAAAATATTCATCGACGATAAAAACTGAAATTAAAAATCTATTTCGTTCGCGAAACTTAACGCGTTCGGGGATTAAAAAAATCGATTTTATTATTGTGAACGATCAAGTTTTACGAATGAACGAATCACGGGTGTTTCGCAGAAATAAACAGATACGTATAAAACACGTAGAGCGTAAATTTCGAACGTTTTTCACTACATCAACAACAAATATTTCAATCAAACTCTGGTAATCCTCTTCAACAATTCACTGCACTCTGAATATATATGTATAAAAAAAAAATCTACAACCAGGGAGCCCAGAAAACACATGATTCCCATACGATCTCATGACAGCATTCAACACGATTATATTACACGCAACAAAATGAAAGAACAATTAATATTTACATAAATCGGTCATTCACAAGTCATTGCACTATATAAGATTGCTTTGCATAAGAATGAATTCCCACACCGAATCGTTTCCCGATAGACTTCCGGTATTCTGCAATATTTCATTAATTCATTGACTCAACATTGTAAAAAAAAAAAAGAAAAACCTGAGCTCCCTTGGTATCAATGAAAATGTAACGTAAACATTATAGCCTTCCTAACAAACTATTCACTATTCAACTAAATTATACAAAGGTTGTTTGATTACATAAAAGAAAAAGAAAAAAGAAATCTTGAAGAATATACGCGCTTTATATACGCCTCGGTCTCTGGCGAGGCAAATTAATCGATTAATGATAAATGTTTTTAATTATAGAAATATGTCTTACACGTGTCACGCAATTATCGACATATCTTTATATATATATATATATATATATATAAATTGCTTAAACCACAATTTCATCGTTTTGAAACTTTTTAGCCTAGGCTGTAATATATATATGTATGTATATATATATTTATAGTGTGCAATAAAGTAGTTTTTTTCATTTATAAATATGTAACAAAAATAGATAATAATAGATATATATATATATATATACTGTATATACAATGTAGACATGTAAAACCCAACAAAGTAGATGCGTTCCATTACTCTCTAAATCAATCTAAAAGCCTTTGCCGTGAAAAGTTACTTAATTATCTCAACATGAGCATGTTTCGAAATCTCTCGTGCAGTCGTGCAATTTTTCCTTCTTTCGTTTTACATATACGTACAATGATCGGTCGATTAATACATTTCTTTTTTCTTCTTCGAATTTTACTACATTTACTCTTTTTCGTTTAACGATTTTTTTCTGGATGATAGAACTGTTATTCGAACGAATAACTTTTGGTCGATTAAAATTTCACTTCAGGGTATATCGCTTAAATTATAAATACACTCGGGCGTAACTTAGGCTTCCTGATTTACTTTCAATCTTGGAAGAACTTAAAGAGAGCCTAAAGAAAATTTAACACAGTATTTTCTGTTTTTCAAAAATAGAATCATGTTTCCGAATGCAAAATTAATTCGAAAGTATTTTTACGACGCCATCGATTGTTTTCAATACGAATCTTATTCACCGTTCCAATCGCATTCCATTCGACTTAATCGTTTGAGTGCCATTATGGTTATGCTTTAAAAGTGTTAGGCAATATTTCTGCTATTTTTACGTGAAACACAATGGGGAACAATGCGATCCTAACCGCACCATTAATGAATGGTAATGAGGAGGTGACACTTTTCAAAGTGGAACAGAATAAAGTAGCTATAGATCGAGTTACAGAGGCACTCAAATGATTAAATAACACTACGAACTAAGCCAGCATTTACATGTTACACGCAATTTTTAAATATTAACCGCTCATCTCTCTTAATAACAACAATATAACATACGAGTATACGTAAGCTCGCTACAGAGAAAGTTCCACGGACACTTGAGTTAATTCCGTGGCACTTGTTTCAGGCACCCATCATTTCGCAAGTACAAACAACACGCTTTTCATCAAATATTCGTTAATTTGTTCTCTGTACTTCGTCGAACAGTAATAAAAATTGTTTGAACTTGTGAAACAATTTGGTTGCAAATCCTACCAGGCCTTTTGTTTGTACTGATGTATATATACGTATGTTGTACAATAATTGAATTGTTCGATTGTTTCGTACGAGGTAAAATTGATTATTCCTGACAACGTGAGAAAAATAATAATTTATTTGTTCGTTCGCCGTTTCTTTCTTTACGCACTGATCTTGTAAAGCTCTGATTGTAATTTATATAAAGTTAATTGATAAATATATGCTCTTGCAAACGTTGATTACAGTAAATAGATTGATTAAACAATACGGATTGATTTAATGTAAAATCGACAAACAAACAATATTGTAACAAAATCGAGCTTCTTTTAACAAATAATAATGATTGTTCGGTGATCATTTATAAAGCACAAACGACAAGCATTAAAAATGGCCTGTAAAAACTCATGTACCCCGTCAATGACTAGCTTAAGGTATTATGCATATACATACATATTATAACATATATATATTCTTGTTTTGTTGTAGCATAAATGTTCCACATGGCATTGCATCGTTCTTTAAAATTTCTGTAAAATGAGCCATTTCGTTGTTGTTGTTGTACATTAGTTTTAACGTTTAATTTTGCTGACTACTACAGGTAAGATGTACTGATTTAACAAATAATTTCATGCTTTTAAAATATAATTCTTATCATTAACACGGATTAGATAATAGTTTTTTAAAACAATTTATGTTGTTGTCCATCGGCTGATAAGAAAATATTAAATGATTTCTTGCACTTAAAATGTACTAGCGTTGATAAAAATTTCTAACGTAGTCAGCGAAGATATTTAAAACAGAAAAGATAAAGAACGTTGTTTTCCGATACGTTTTAACCGTTTCACGATAACGAAATGTGTAAGAAACATGCAAAATCTAATTTGTTTTGAAACTTTGCTTTGATTAGTCTTTCCTTATCTTATTATCCATGACCCTGTACTTGTTACCATAGTTTCCTTTTATAATGCGTATGTTCCGTCAATCATTGCTAGCGATAGTAAGGTACTATAGGAACAATTTGTAAATTATATGTACAATTGAACAAATTGCGCGTACAAATTCATTGAAAAAAAGTTGATACACGTATTCCACGGATTTAACAAAGCAATTTCCATCTTTTTCGACGTGAAAATGATACAAATCCTTTACTAATTAATTGCAAATATTTATCTTGTTCCAAGAAACGATCAAGCTATCGAAATAAGACAAATATTTTTGTATAAATGTAATTTCGAAATTTTCATCATTTTACCATCCACGGACAGGATGAAGAATCCGTTTTAAATTCGTTCTCTGGCATAAAATTCCAACAAAATGATATTCAACATTAACGTCACTACACAGAGTCAATTAAAAGCTTCACAATAATTAAATAACGATTTTTTCCTACGAGTGAGAATTATTATACTAGTGTAGAATAGTCAGCGAAAAAATTTGATTGTTCGGACAACAACGAGCTGTCTGTCGATGGGTGGATGCCACATAATTTACTTAAACTATAAATCTTACGCTATGGCGTTGCTAGTGATCCTCTCATCACATTGCACAGTATATGTTACAAAAAAAAAAAAAGTAATTCATTTTGTACATACTTTCACAAATGAAGGCGTTTCATGTTCGACTTGTCCTCTTACTGAATAACATCGTTGTATACGGTATCCTTCGTGGTTTAATTTCGTTTGTTTTTTTTTCCAGTCGTGACGCAGCATCGGATCATACTGTTTCATGTAGGATCCCAGAAAACACTAAAATTTTCAACACACCGACGTGGCATGTCGAGAGTGTATCCGTCGTGTTTTCATCTCTCGTAGAATGCACGTGTCGTGTACGAATTTAGTATTTTTCAGGCCTTCAGCTTAAATACTATATTTGCAAAGACAAATGTAGGACTTACACTGTCGTCAACTACATTTTGAAAGCACCTACAAAACGTGAAATCGTATTGCACCATCGTAGTTCGTTAAAAAAAGGATTCCTATGCTAGAGGAAGTTTATACAAAGTGACAGACACAAGCTACACTGCCGCAATCCTTACATTTGCACCCTTTTTCTTTTTTTTTCTTTTCATTGAACAGTACTTGGCACAACAGTCACTTTACTGTATTGTTCGTCTGACTGTCCCGTAGTAGTACTTTGTGGCAGTGGCTTTTCGAACCTCTCGTGCTGTACATATGGCGATGATCCGGTTGATGTTCTATGTTGATCTAGCTTTGGATTCTCTGCTATGGTAACATATCCAGTACTCGGTTTTGAAGTAATAATCGGCTTATCCACGTTCAATTTTCCACTTGGTTTAGTATCCTCCGTCTCCCAACAAAGCGAATACCCTGTCGTAGCATCCTCTTCCGCTTCGTCTTCTATCGCCTCTGAAATAGGAGGCTCCGTTTTTGGCCTTTGCTGCTGTTGCGGCATTTGAAAAACGGAACTCGCAAGAACGTACGGCTTCGAGCCGTCGGGCATAGAAGCTTGAGGCGTGACAGACTTCTGCGAAGACTCTAAAGTGCTTGCTGGGAAATTCGTTTTCTTCGTTACTTCTGGAATCGAGGACACGGAAACGTAAGGTTTCGACGACGAATCCAGAGTGGACGTTGTAGACGTCGTAGACGCCAGAGACGTTGGACTCGCGAAGGATGACACAAACGGTTTACTGCACGAATCTGTTAAAGACGTTGATGCAAACGGAGTTGATATTGTTATGCTCCTTGCACCATCGATGCTGCTCAAAGTGAACGGTTTCTTCAATGAATCTATCAAACCTGTTTGCACGTACGGCTTAGAAATTTTATCAGATGTTGAGAACGGAGTCAATGATTCTAGTTTCGGTTTGTTCGATTCGGTGAACGTCAACTCGTCTAGATCACGCAACGATTCCGTAGGTTTCTTATCCTTTTGTTTCTGCTCCAACGAAGCTAAACTTATGTATTGATTAGTAGGTTTAGGTTCTGTTTTGATAGGTATTAACGTATTTGTGGTGGATTCTGTCAAATCGCTGTCATCCTCAGACTTTGATTTCACAGACTTAGAAACCGTTCCTATAATACTGTAGCCACCTGCGGTTGAAGTTTCTTTAGGAACGGGACTCGGATTACTGGACAGCTCTTCGGACGATGGCATACTGATATAACCAGTCGAAGACCACGTATGCTGAGAAGTCGTATAACCTGTACTGTCGGTTAAATTTGGAGTGGATCGTGCCAAAGACAATGTGTCCCCGATGATGGGTTCTCCAGATTTTGCAACCTTTACATACGGCTCCCAGCGTTCCGTCTCTGTCGTAAATCCTGGCCTGGTGATTCCAACATTTCTTTGACGGAGACTCGAAGATTCCCAAACTGGTAGAGTGTCGAGCAATTTATTGGGTGACACCGGCATCGGGTCTATCTCTGTGCCACTGTCACTTGAAACTTGAGAATCTGACGTGAGAGATGAGGTAACTGATTCTTGTCCACTTGAGCAACCACTTGAATCGGCAGAAGATTGTCGTATGTGCTGTTCCCCCACTTTTTGAAGAAGTTTCTATAACAAGAATACATAGTAAAAATATAAGTACAAAATCTAAGTGTTATTCATATTGTATATCTATTTATTCTTCAACATACCATATTTGGTGCTAGTCCAGGCGGTAATTTGACTTCGACATCTTGCATAGCTTTACACTTCAACCACATCCTATAATGGATGAAAATCAATTTAGTAAAATTATGTTTATTTTATCAGATAATGGGTAGTAAATCCATACCTCTTTGACACGTGTGCAAGACAAAGAAGAATTGCCACCATACTGACACCTCCTATCACCCATATTATAACCCACACACTAAATGACGGTCCTATAATATAATTAGATCATTAATATATAAAAGAGTTAATGATAATATAACATAATATTACATAAAATGGTAACTTACCATCACTATAACAGTTTCCCTCACCAGGTTCAGACCAAGGACCTCTTAAACGTAGATTATCTGGTGCAACATTAACAGCCCTTACGCGAAATTGATACAATCGTTCCCGTCCTATGGTTTTGCAGTCTGGGATAGGTAGCTGAGCCTCTGAAATATTTATTAAAGCAATATTAAAACTGGAAATACATTATCGATAAATAAACTTTTCGGTAGAATGTTACCTGTTCTTGTACTGTTTTGCACTTCACCGTCGCTTGATGATATTTCGTAATAATCTAAATGCCCGGCTGTGTACTGGGGCTTATTCCAAATAACAATCACTTGGCTAGAATTCATAAAACGTACAAGAGGTATATTGATCCTTCCCGGCACTCCAATCTTCGTGATTTTGTGGATTACAGGTGACTTCATACTGCAAGATACAGTGCATGCCGCTACACTAATACTGTAATTCGTGTGCGCTAATAAATTCTTCAATTCAACGTGATTCGCTTCTTCAACTTTTTGCGCACGATCATTGTAATACACCTCATAATATCGCAATACACCATTCATCGCATCTGGTGGTTTCCAAGTGATAAACATCGTTGTGTTTGTCACATTGGTAATTTTTACATCTTGCGGTGGAGTTGTTGGCGCAGCTTCGAGTGTTGTGTTATATAAAGGATCACTATGCAATCCTTCTCCATTTTTTGTTAAAACAGCGACAGCTAGCATGTACGTAGTATATGGTTTCAAATTGTCCACTCCACCATGTATGGTATTTGGCTCGGCTTTTATTGTTTTATTAAGTTTTGGACCTTTACAATTCAAGTTATACGGCGAAACAATGGGGCAGTAATATATATTAAATCCTTCTACAATTCCAATGCGATCAGAACAATCTAATTTCCAACCGACTTCGATATAATCAGAACCAATTCGATTTATCCATACAGATTTCATTTTTCCAACGACCTTATTATGTATTACGGTACACGACGCCCACACCATGCCGCTACTACCTTTGTTTGTATTTGCAGATATCGCAAATTGGTACACTTTATCGGGATCAGGTACAGTCATATTATAAATTGTTGTATTTTTAGATACATGTACCCAGTCCAGATAGCCCTGTAATCAATAATGTTTATTTTAATATATTATAATACTAAATATCCGGTAACGTATAAATACATACAGTGCACTGATAAGGCCGATCACGCTCGTTATCACACCAAAAGATTGTATAATTTGTGATTTCAATATTCATATTGGGCGGCTTCCACGATAATTCATATAAACCACCATCAAATGCAATTTTCGTAAACGCTATTGGTTCATGCGGTACTGTAATATAAATAAATTAGTATTTATTTGTTATACACATTAAACATTAGAGATTTCTTTTACTTTTCCATGATCTTACTTTCTGAATGGCTAGGTACAAAGATCCTAGCGTGTTCTTTACTAGCTCCAACAATGTTTATTGAAACAATTTCAAATCTATAATGATTAAAACTAATTCCCTTAAATTTCGCGTATGTTCTCGTAGTTTCATTTGGATAAAGTGACAGTTTTCGCCCATTTTCTTCGACGCGATCAATTTCATACGTGAAATTCCCACCATTTTCTAAGTATTCTGGTATAGTTTGCCAGTACAAATACACATCCCTGCTAGCACTGTTCTCTGCTATTTCAAAGCTTCCAATATCCGTTTTTGGAGGACGGCCAGGTACTAAAATATCAAATATACAAAAATATAAAGAAATAAGAAAAGGACACCTGTTTGTAGAATTTAAATTGTTTAAAACCACTTACATCTTGGTGGTGTTCTAAAGGTAACATCGCTAAACTCACTCCATTTATCTTCACCATCAGCAAGAGAGCTTTTCATGAAAACTCTAACATCGTACACAGTATTGGCATACTCCAACCCAGTAAGATTATAGTATCTCTTGTGCATATGAGTATCATTCGTAATATTTATTACCTAATAAAAATTCGTTTTGGTAATCAATATAATGAACTGTTATAATATAAAGTAATTTCTCTATTGTATTATATTCACCTGCCAAGTTTTCTGATGATCCCATTGATTCTGATATGTTATTCTATGATGTAATCCAGGTGGAAAATTCTGCATTGGAAAAGGCACGCTCCAATGCAATAATGCACTGTCAAATGTTTTATTAATAACTGACAAATTAGCTGGTTTTGCAGGAATAACTAAAACATTTATACAATATGTTAGATTTTATATCATTAAAACAATGTCGAATTAGGCAGCATAATACAAACCATTAGCAAAATGATGAAATTTATATGTGAAACTAGTATTTCCTAGAACGTTTTCCACATTCAATATGAATGTATAATATTCGTACGGCTGTCGATAAATTGGGTTTGTAGATGTATCCCATAAACATGTATTTGGTTTCAATGGTCTCTGTTTTTCCTTTGGGCATGGGTATAATTTTCGACCGCCTGCTCTTCCCGGCAATTTAAATACAAGTGTAAATCTCGTTGTGACGTAGTTTTGGACGGGATCCCATGAACATACCATATTCTCCCAGTTTTGAGATATGCAACTGAAGTTTTGTGGTTCTTGAGGTTTAACTGTTAATAATCAATAAATTAATAATTAATAAAAGAATATACGTTTTTCAGATTGGTATTAGAGATTTCATTTCCGGATAAAAATAAATTGTAAAAGAAATGTGGTGTACTGAAAATACTTATAAATGATTCTCTTTAAACAAAAAGTTCTCTGTATAACTGATCTTATCTTAAATGATAGTCAAATATGAGTTCCAAGATACAAAGCATATTAAACGATACTCCTATAACTGTAATGAAAGCAGACACTGAATGCTCATTCTTGTTTCCATGAAATATCTTTTGACCTATTCTGATAAGTATATATGAATGGTATGGTTTAGTATTAAATTTATACTATCACAAGTACAGTATTTAAAATATAAAAATTGATTATTTGTTATGATTCTTCATATTTACAACTAGTATCATATTGTCTAAAACACCATACTTACATCCAACTACAACTTTATTCAAACAAACAGCCTCATACTGTTTATTGTGATCATTCTGTAGTTTCAATTTACAATAATACATGTTTTCTGCAGGTGGAGGCCCTTTTACATCCAATGATATTGTTGTTTCATTAATAATTGTAATAAATTGTGGTTCCATCTCTTTTTTATTTCGAAAAAAGACAAGATCTGAGGAATTTTTTCCAGGAAATTCAGCATCCACGTATGATTGATTCAATATACAAAGTATTCTTAAAGATTGACCATATTCAAGAACAATATCACCTTGTGGCCAAGTCCCTTGGAAGAAAAATTATTGACATTTAAAATCAAGAATAATTTATATTTCATGTCTTAAATTACATGTATGATCAGACATGCAGTGACTTTACTCTAAGCTTTAGCTCATGCTGTACACTCAGTGTATTAAATATAGATATATGCATTTAGCACCAACACTAGAATTCCAAAATGAGGAATAAAAGTTGTATGTTGTATTTATAAACTCGGCTACATTAGAAAGACATGAGAACTTAGATACAAGCATTTGTTGAAATTTACAAATACATTATTATTCTTTGCATTCATTAAAGGAAAAGATATTCTGCTAAACTTACTTCCAGGTGTTTTTAGACCAATTGCACACTGACTTGAATCTGCATTGCATAGTGTTGTACATAATAATAAAATAACGAAAGGAATTAAAAAAGTTCTCAAAAAACAATTCCTCCACTGTATACCAATCTTTTTTGTGATCGGTAGTAACAGACTTTTATCTGTTTGAATTCTCCTTAAGTTATGTATATTAGAACACAAATCACTTTGTGAGATTTTTTTGTGTTTTTGATAATTCATTATATCACAATTACTATTAAAATTAACATCTCCACTTAACATACAATGATTAATTGAACATATATCAGAAGAATACTTAATAGATGCTGAACACTTAGCTGTGTCGCACAAATCATTTTTTATCCTGTTAATGTCTTCCTTCTGAGGGAGACGGATATTATTTGTTGAAAGTGTATTTTTATTTTTACATTTCTCTGAATCACTGCACAGAGTCTCTGTTAATCTATCCACATTCAATGATCTATTAAAATCATGTTCTGATGCACTTTTTGAACTTGATTGTAAAAATTGAAACATTTCTTGAAAAAGTCTTTTGGGATCTGCTTTGGTTGAAGACATCTTGTGCTCCCATCACTGGAAACAAATAACAATGTTACAATACATTAATAGTTTTATATCAAATAAAATTTAATAATAAAAGCACTGACGATAAATAATTCTGAAGAACAAACTGAACAGAAAAATATTTTATAACAGCATGCAACAGTATGATTCCAAAGCTGAACTGAGACTGAATCCTTATATTCTAGGAGATGAAGATAAGAGGGCAATTAATGAGATGAAGCATACTTCTGATTGGTAAATTCGGGGTCACAACATATCGCTTCTACATTTTTATATTATGTACTTCCAATAATTGATTATGAACGCTATCCCTTAATATGAATAGTCTATGTGTAAGTGACATATATAACGAACATGTCATTTCTCAATATTTTACTTTATTGAATAACAAAACAAAAGTGTTTTTAACAAAGATATTTATTAACAATTAAATAAAATTATAAAAAACTTACACATTATATCATTACATACTAATGACGATATTAAAATAGAAAAAATAATGCCATGTTAGAAACATATATTTCAAATTTTGTTTATGTAGATATATTGAATGATGCTTTTGTATACTATGGGATTATACCATAAACGCATACCAAATAAATGGACAAACTAAAATCAGAGAGATAACTTGCCAAGATAAAAGATTGTGGAATGAATTATTCATTAAGCAGATTGAATACCATTGTATGGTATATATCTTATACAAGATTTTAAGGGTTCGCATAATCTAGCTTTCAATAAATTGTTTTCTTGAATTAATAAAGTATTAATTATAAATTTTAATGGCAATAATAATTTGTTAGTAAACCAAATCAATATTTATCATTTTACAAAATTTATACATAACACATCTAGGATTAAATATAACAAAGATTAAAATAGTAGTTCAAAAATACTACATAACAATAATTTTAACTAAATGAAACAACAATATAATTAAGAAATTATTAAATGCATGTATACAATTTTTTATATTAGGTATCAATATATTTCTTAAGTATTTTCCTTCATCAGAACTTGACGTTTTTGTTATTTATTAGAAGGATAATTATCGAATTAATAGGAAAACTGATAACTCCAAAACGTAATCGGACATCATGGTTGTAGTATAAGTGAGGAAAAGAAGAGGGAAAAAAGAAAGAAATATACATATATGTATGTAATACATGTACAGAAAAAAATATGTTTGTAGCGTATACTAGTCGTACGCAAATTGTTTGATAAGGTATGATATAGTCATTTCTACTATGAAACTACGGAGTATTCTTCCAGATATTTGAGACGCGTATCGCGTTAAAACCATTACAATCGTTTATTTACGAGCATACGCTGCGTGTCTACGGTATAACGCTTTCCATGTAGATACCCACAGCTCGTATTCTATCTTATTGCGTGCGTATGTATATGTGTGTGTATGTGTGTATGTGTGTGTGTGTGTGGCTGCACGTAAGATTGTGTGTGCAGTTTGATGAATGCTGGCCTAACATACACAGCACAACATGCAGAACAATGTATGTAACACGACTCGTGCACGTATACGTATATATCGTAGGAAACGTTGCAGTATGTTATACATATAGCGAATGAAAAATATGCACTCGATCAATCACAGAAATCTGGTGCTGAAAAAGCATAGGCTTATTTTATAAAGTATCCAAGCAATACGACATATTTTGTGAGAGTTGGGAAAGTCCAAAGTAGTCCATTCGTGGATATCAGTCGTTTCGGAGTACTCACCGTCAAATAGTCATCGACAAATTTCTGCAGATCCCACATTGCACTTGCATGTATTCTAAACCGTTTCCACACTACTTCAATGAACGTAATACACTACAGGCGGTCGAACGCAAACTCGTTTTACCCGCTGGGTATATTCTCTGGTCACCGTGTAACGCGTTCAAAACCCTTAATATACTCGAGGCTTTCGTGAACGCTGAAGTAACTCGCGCACAGTATTACAAGTCACAGCTTCCACGCACGAGTCGCAGCCGCATAAATCGGCCGTGTCACTTCATATTTGCGAAAAAATTCTGTTTACATTCGCCCAGAGGGACCCAGGAATAAATATATATGATACACATTCTGAGTAAAATACGTGCGATCAATCGACAGTGGTACCAACATTACTGATGATCCTTTGTAAGAAATCGAACAATATAGCATAAATGTTCAAATGAACTTTTTGCGTGATTTATGAAAATCGAGAACTTTTGAAAATCATTTCTACTTATTAATTTTTAATTATTTCAAAAAGATTGAAACATGCAAGGTATAAAAAGCGCAAGTTTCAAATGTTGTAGCTTGATGACATAGACTGACGTCACGACGAGACGTCAAGGCGCCGCATTCTTGGAAATGTAGGCGCAGGCTTCATTGTTGACCGCGATATCTTTAACTAGGCGCCGTTTTTGAAACCATTTATTTGTTGTTAATTAAATTTCATTCCGTATACTGTACGAACAAACCTATTCAAATGCAATTAAACAGTATATTATGAAACTAAATACATTTTGAAAAGATTTTTTGAAACATTTATCTAGCTCTGAATTATAAATAATTTATTGTTAATTTTAATTGAAAGACAGATTCGGCGTTATTATTTGCAAGTATTTATTAGTGGTACATTTATCAACAATGATATAATGATGGTATAATAATATTTTAGAAACAACATCGAGTTTTCGAATTTATTCGTGTTACTATTACAATCAACGAGCGTCAATAGCATCAACGAACATGTACAATATCCAATAGTTGTTTATAATAAATATAAAATGTTTTAAAGAAATTATATAACTACACGGCAGTGACGAGATAAAGTAACATATTCGATGATAAAGTACTTTCAATTTTGTAAGTACGAAGATTTATGTATCCTGGCAAGAGATAAAATCGTAGCTACAGAAGACATGGAGTTTTGTTTAATAATCAAATTACAAAAATCATCGATACATTTTAATTGAACAATTATTGTTTCCTTTATGGAACATAATTATCAATAATATCGTACGACTCTTTCTTTTTTTGAAATGTATATGTATATATTTACAATCAATTTATAATATCCTACATAATATACAAATTGTATACGCGTATATGTATGTATATTTAATTATAAAAAAATAAGCACAATAGCTATGATGTAATGAAAATGTAATCTGGTTTAAATGCGATTATCGCTATTCATCGTTGACATGATACATGGTAAAACTGTTTACTTAAACAAATAATGAACATAATGACGATTTTACATTCAAGTTTCACAAGTGCCTGATAAGGTTTTAAAAATATAATATAATTCATTGTGATTCACTTTACTTATCACACTCTACTGAACAACATTCTTTTTCTAGTTATTATTGACCTACTAGTAAAAAAATATATTTATTAGTTTTTACATATTTAACATGTTTTAATAAAAAGATCGGACGAGGTGATTCCGATAAAAGTTTCCCCAATCGTCATTTGTTTATTATAAAATGTTATTGAGTAATGATTAATGAAAAAATGTCCCAATAGGAAATTTTAAACAATTAATGTTGCAATAAGTTCTCTTTACATTGATCTTCCGCACTGCATCCTTAAATGGTTGATAAGTGCATCTGCTTCTTTGGTTGTATCAGTACTTAATTTAATTATTGCTATATATTTCATACAGTCATAATAAATACTTAAAAAGAAAACAATATCGACAGTATCATTCAAATGCTGCTCAAAAAAATAGTATTCACAAAACGTTGAATGATATTCTATGAGATTCTTTAAAATTTGTATACTCATATTTAGAAATTCATGATCAAAGGCATTATCATACAAGTATTATACAATTTATCGTAGTATTCTGGAACTTATGCAATTACCACAGAGAATACAATACTTATTCTAGATAAGATCTTTTCAGTCTGAAATTCTTTCTGTTTGATAACTTCTATGTTTCATGGGTACCAATGCTATTTGCTATTACAAATAGATTGTACTTCACTAACGTTTATATTTCTACCATATTTCATTACATATTTTTATCTTTAATGTAAATTGGTTCAAAAAAGTATAAAATCTGTAAGTATAAAGTGAACAATCTTGGAGATTCTTTTAATCAGAATGAATACTTGCTTGATTTTATGAAATATTAACTTATCTTAATAACGTAAATGCGATGAAAATATCGTTTATAGTCGTTTATGCTAAACACGCTTATTATAAATATCTATTTTTGGATGAACAGCAGTTGAGTAAAATAAAAAGTCGAACTTTCTGACGTTTTTTAGGGTGCACACCCACCTCGGGTAATTTCAATAAATGCCTGCGTGGGGTGCCCTCATCAATCGGTCGAATACTTATTTGGTCGATTGTGAGATTACTCTACAATGAAGTTTAATACAAATTTATAATTACTTCAAAAGCTTAAGCTTTTACTTAATAATTTTGTTATTAAATATGGAACACGCGCAAGGCACAATACTCTCATCAAGCTATCACACGTGTTAGGATGAATTAATCATGTTTTTTTTCTTTCAGAAATTATATCATTTAAATACAGAGTTAGCACCAGTCCAATTTTGTTAGAGTGAGCAAGTATCATCCCTATAAATCGGACTTTTCGTAAGTCACATTTATAGCTGTAAGAAAAGTCCTTCACACACTTCTTTCTTCAACTTAAAATGTATAAAGATTTCCTATTTTAATTATCAAAACATTACAATTAATATATATATATATATATATATATATGTATATGTATATATATAATTAATATTAATACCATTATAAAGTATAATTTCATTGAGAATCAACAACCATGTCCTCAGTATTTATACTAATATTAATTGCAATATATAATTTGAAGCTCTAATGGTCATGTAAATGATATTATCAAATATAAAAGCTGCACGACATGTAAATGTAAAAAGTGATTTTCGACGTGTCGCGTATAAAAAGTATATATCTTACTACATACCTACGTATAATATGTATAACCAACTTCCATAAAATATACAATATAACACACTGTTTCCCTTTTGCACCAGATATTTCTGTACCAAATGTCATAGTACTGTAAAACAGTATTAATCTAACTCTCACTGCAATAAAACAACCTCTTGCAATCATTCTTTTCTTTCTCGTATTGTCTTTAATTGATTTTTTTTTGTCTTATTATGGTACGTAATGTTAAACTTTGAAGCTTCGTGTAAAATTATGAAGGAAAGTTATATAAGGGTAACGTTAGCATTAGTATCGACATTTGCAAAAGTAAATATCGTTAATTTTTTAAAGATTAATATGATGTTACTTAGAATGGTTAATTTCATATATTCATATCGTAGAGGTGTGGAGGAGCACCTACCACTGAAGGCATCTGGCAACCACGACGAACTAAAAGTCGAACAGATGGTCCACCGTTTCGTATAATTTCAATGGCTTCTGTGTGTGTCATATTTTTAGTATTGATTCCATTTATTTCAATTATTTGATCTCCAACCTAAAATTATTATTAAGATATAAATCTTATATCTAAATTATTTAATAATACAGTACTCACCCTTAACCGATTATCAATGGACGCAGGACCATTTTCAGCAATTTGTAAAACAAACAATGGCATATTTTGAAATTCACGTCCTCCGCGAATACTAAAACCAAATCCCCTAGTTCCACGAGTTAATTCAACCGCATGATACTGACCTCCGTCTCCATCACATGTTGGTTCGTCCTGTAACAATTCATTTGATAAGTTTGTTATTTCACAGAATAAAGTTAGATTTAACTAGAAATAGATTCAAGATCAAATACTACCTTTTGTGATAGAGACGTATTACTACAACAATCATCAAGAGGGTAACCGATTGTTAAAGTGACAGAATAACCAGAATCTTTAATTAAGTTCACTATGTCTTTGTGGCATACATTCGTTATATCAACGTGATTAACGGCAAGAATATGATCTCCAACATTTAATCGGCCGCATCTTTCCGCAGGCGATCCTTCAATTATTCTACCAATCGTTGAACCAGCTTTATTAACCGAGGAAATAATAACAAAACCAAAACCTTCGTTTTCCATTCTAGTAACTGTTACATCATAAGGATATTGGAGATTCATTTGTCTGTTGTATGGTGTTTGAAGGTTTTCTGGAAGATGGTCCTGCGTATTAATCCTGCGACGTATTCCTAAGGTAACTCTGCCATTTTGAGCGGCAGCTATCATCAATTGAACCACGTGATGATGCGACGAATTCATAACACTTTCGCCATCGACAGACATAATCAAATCACCCGTATTCAGTCGATTATCTAAGTCTGCTGCACCACCAGGTACTATATGCCCAACTGAAACCTGCTAACGATCACATTATCAATATCTTTGACTTTCTTCGATTGAAAATAATGATAATTTTCTAACTCACTTGAGATCCTTCTTCGGTGCCACCTACTATTCTAAATCCAAATCCTGTATCTTGCCTTACTAAAGTTACCAATGTTTCTATCCACTCTATATCAGGCACAATTGGACACAATAACTCATTGCTATATTGAGGATAGCTAAAATTTTTTTATAATCATTTTTATAAGAACTAATATAGTAAACTCAAATTCATAATATTTACCGTGGTATAGAACTGGAATGTGGTTGCTCATGTTCAAAACTAGTAGTCTCTTTCCGTTTATCCCATATTTCACCGGTATCAACATTTTGCTCTTGACCGATAGAATATACATTATAATCTTGTTCGCTATACTGAGAATGGGACTGTGATGTATACAAATCTTTATAGTAATCTGAGTGTAAACATCCATTTTGTTTTAATATGTTATCATGGTGAGGTATATCAATAGAATACACGTCGTTATTTATGTTTAATTTGTCATTTGTAACCCAATCTCTTTTAGCAGTATTTCGTACAGGATCATCATCTAAATTCGTCATTGTAGCAAAATTATCAGATAAATTTGTGATGTTTGCTTTATAAGGATCGGTATAATACATGTCATGTGTATATTCTGAATATTTATATCTATTATCGAGGGGATTTAATTCGTTTTCGCTTTGTTCGTTCCAGTTTGATCTCATTGCACCTGTTGGTGATTTAGGGTGATTCCTGGTATCGATAAGTGGTGTTTTTGGTCGGCTTGGTACAACAGTTTTTGTCTGAGTACTGTAAATATCAGCAGTTGGTGTCTTACTTCTAAAAAAGTCTTGGGAATTCTTTTCTTTCTTTTCGTTTGACTTTGATGTTGTTCTTTGAACATGTATCAATGCTTCTTCATTACGAGGACAATCTTTTAAAACTTGTACTACTTCAGAATGACACATATTTCTTACATTAATGTCATTTATATTAACTAAAATGTCACCTTCCATCAAATTTTTACAACGTTGACGATCTAAAATTTTTTTAACCTTCTGACCATGAGCAGAATCTGCTATTGTAAATCCAAATCCCATAGTTCCCTTTACAATTGCAATACTGAGAAATTCTGGTTTGGAAGACATTGACGTATCTTTACAGTCATTTAAATCACTTTCAGACAACAGAATATCTGTACTGCTAGGTCTTTTAATCGTATTAATTTTATCCGAAATACAAAGATCTGGCATTGAATTGACAGATGTTGTAGCAAGGTTTTCACCATTTTGAAGATTGTGTACTGGTAAGAGTGAGGAATCCAGGAAATTAAAACGGCCGTTGTTTTGCAAAGCAGGATCCAGATCCATGTACATTCTCGGATCTTCTGTTAAAATATCTGAGGAAATAGAATTTATTCTTCTATCAAAATCATGCTATTATTTAATAAAAAGTTTACCTGGTGCATTAACAGCAATAGTAGTAACAACTTCTGTGTTTGGGTCGTTTGGATCAAATGGTAATGGATAACCGCGACATACTTCTAACGTAACAGTTTCACCGCTACCAATTGATTTAAACACATTTACCATTTCATTATGCGTAAAACCTAATACGCACGTATCATTAACGTACACTAAAACATCTCCTGTAATTAAAATTAATTTAAAAATTTGTTGTACTGCTAATAAAGATGATCCTTTTATGTAATTTCATATATTACCAGTTTGTAATTTTCCATCTAACCATGCTGGTCCATTTGGTACAACACTTTTTATTTGTAAAAATTCTTCAACAGAATCATCTCCACCGACAATGGTGAATCCTAGCCCCCTTGAACTTTTTATCAATGTTGTTCTTATTTTCTGACCTTTTAGTTTATCAGGATTTCTCGTGAAATTAGGACTCTTTCTTTCTCCTAAACTTTGTTGCGCTCGTTTGGCTTGCAACACAGGATTTTCATATTGAGTTCTACGATTTACATGATCAATGAAATATGTACCATACAGAGTATCGTCTATTTTCTCCCAACCGTAAGGTAATTCATCGTCCAAACATTCTTCGAGAGATCTTTTTTGAAATTTAGATAAACGAGGATCTAACCAATGGGAAGTGCCTGTATTGTGGCTGTGGAACGATCGTTAATAAACATATATAATTCAGATAATTGTAAAATAAGTATAATATATTGTTACAAGTTAATTTATTTCATATATACTCAATAAAATAAACTTCTCCTGTATCTGTGTAAGCTTTCTCCCAATTTGGTGGCAATGGTCCTAACTGGTCCTCTGTAGCTTGAGCACGATTTCTATTGCTTTGCTCTTGATTAGATATTCCTGTATTTTGTTCAGAACCTGAATTATACAAATATGTAGGTGGAATACGATGACCGGTCTCATCATTCCCACTGATTGCTAATACCTCCTTGTCCATGCTTTCTCCTACAATTGTACATATTACAACACTGTATAACAGTATAATTAACAAATATGAGAAATAATCATTTTTATACCATCATTGGTATTATCAATAGATGTTGCGTCTTCTGTTTTTGTAGCCATTTTATAATTTCTTTAATTCCACCTTAGTACCCTGTTAAACAATGATAAAATTTACATTACACATTTATAATTAAAATTAGATGGCCATAATTTATAAAACATCATATTGAGCGCATAAACATTTTTCACGTTATTTTAAGCTCAGCTGCATGCGCTCAATAATCGTGTTATTCAGATCGGCAGTCTGCCGACAACCGAAAACCTTTTTATCGGTTATTCCAAACATCTGACAGATAAGGAGGAACGAAAACAGTTGACAGTATCAGGAAGGCTAGCAGTTAGCACCCTAACATCGTCGTTCGAACGGCGATACTCACGATGCTCTGAATCCTGACGGACAGGTGTCCGTAGTAAAATTACATAAAGCAGGAGAGGAATACGACACACAACGGACGTGAATGCATTCTTACGAATGCATTCACCCGAGAGAGTCTGTGCGTAGCCCACATATCGCGCATCATTGAATGCAACTTTCTATCTAGAAAAGTAACGTCGTGATTCTCGATGTAAATGAAATTCTTTTTGTCTCGGAAAATATACGATAGACAGCCCACGTTTCACGCGTATCCCTGAACCGTGCTTACAATACCTCCTGTGTAGAATCGCGAATGATTGAAGTTGCATGCGAGATTCGCTAAGTAGAAAATAACGATAGTACGGGCTAGTTAAAACATATATATTCCGTAAATATTTTTTTTCACTTAAGGATCTACTTACACTGATTCCTTTCGATGTGCTTCCCTATTGATTCAACCATCGTGGCTCAGCCGTCAAAACGGGCTGAAATATTTCGGCACTGAATCACTTTGGGACCGCGGAAATGCTCATCATTTCGAAATGATAATGGAGTGAAATGTACTCACGCTCGTTACACAGCTACATCACACACAACACTGCACCGCACGCAACCGAGGCATTTAACTGCATTTAACTGACGAACTGCGTTCAGGCATCACCTCGCGGTTGGATCATGCACTAATCTATGGCGCTACATTCGATTACAATCATCAAATGCATCGAAATGAACTTGATTTGTTTGTTACAAACCTGCTCCTAACAGTTGTAATTGTCCCTTTACAATTCTCGTGTAATTCTATCGGGCTGCACTTTGTCTCAGGGGCCCAAAAATTTTTGGTTAAAAATTATCAAATCTTGTAGTTTTTGACCTAAAAAGTTCGAAAATGCGAGTTAAAAGTTTAGGAAACCAATAGTTTAAAAGATACGAGTACATAAAAATGTGTGTACTTGGCGTAATTTGACAGGTCAGTACGACGCCATATTGTCCAATGAGTGGAGTTGCCGTCGGTAAAACAGAATTACATAAGTGGCGGCCTAAACCCGGTATACCTATATCGCAGTTCACCAGAGTCCATAACTGCGAAAAGACCAATTTTCGTTCTTCGCGCATTTCCAGTGCGCATCTTCGCCCTGATTGGCGATACTCCCAAACAAAGTGGAAAGCGATTAGCAGAGAGCTCGCTGCGTTCCCCCACCATCTTCCAACCTGCGCGTCGCAGTTATGGACTCTGGTGAACTGCGGTATAAGATTAGTTTTTATTTTATAAACAATATCCCCTCGGATTTGATAGGAACTGTAGGTACTCACACCCAACCCAACGAATAGAGTCCAATAGAGTCCAACTGGCGGCCGGCAAAGGATTAGATGCGAGGAAGAGTCAATATGACATCGAAATAACCTGTCAAATACTTTGAAAACGCTCAGTTTTACACACGCATGACTTCTGAATCGATGGATTCAGCGCCTTAAAACTTGGATTCTACTTGTTAAATTCTTCAAGAAGACAAAAAAAGACCATAATTTTTGGGCCCCTGAGACAAAGTTTAACCTTCTATCGTCATTATAATAGGATAACAAACGGAAAACACCTTTTAGTCTACGTTATATAATTATTATAATTGGATCTATTCAGAGTACAAAATATCTTTATACAATATATTTATATAATGGCGTTCAATATATTTATGACGTATTTTCAAAGCTGAATAAAGTTATAGTCATCGATAATCTTGTATCGAGTTTCCCGATAATGCACCAGGTCATCCAAGAAGTGCGTACTGCTTTCGTTGTGCAGCTTCGCGAGTACAGGCGGCAATGGTGTGATTCCTGCAGTATTCGCGAGATCGTCGTAATAACGATCCTGCTTGAATCCCATCAGGTGAAAGTGCCGTTTCTGTAGACCTTCTTTTAAAAGATTTTCCAACTCCTTCGCCTCTTCACGCAGCAAATCCTCTTTGGGAGGGAAATCTTTTCTACCGGTCCAATATTGCAGGACGAATCGTACCTACCATCAATCGATAACATCTCCATTAATGATTCGAATCACTGACGATAGCCTCTCGCCGGTGTTCGAATGAAACATTTTAACGATCACGTTCCATTGAATTGTACCTGCAGATCGAACATACTGAAGGCGCAAACGTAGTAGGGAAGACCGACTAAAGCAAGACTGGTATTTTCGATCGATACGAGATGTTTCCACAACGGTGTCACCATGTTGGAATCAACTCGAACCCCACACTTTTCGCTTAGAAAGGGGAAACTGTATTTGTACCCTGCAGTAAATTAAGTGGAACAATTAGGAGAAAAGAAATTCTCTAATGACTACTTTTAAAGACACAAATAGCTCTTACTTGTACTAGGTATATTACACATAAAGTTTCGAGGGAACTACCTGTACAATAGAAAACTATATCCACTGGTTCACTGGTACCGTCGTTGAACACAGCGTTGCGTTCAGTTAGTTCCTTTACATCTGGTTTCTGAAAAATTGAAACAACCGAGTTATAAAGTATTTCAAGACATTCCTTTTTATTCCTTTGTTCTTTATCACCTGTATAACGTTAGCTGGAAACACAGTGCCTATAGGGTCCCTCGAGTGGTGACTCAAGATCACACGTGTCGCTTTTCCCGATATATCCAAAGCCAAGTCCATACCTATCGTTTTCATTTGAATAAATACAAATAATCATTTGGTGTAAAAGAAAAATGTAATAGTGCCCTACCAGAAGGACCAGCACCGATAACAAGTACTTTCTTATCAAGAAAAATATCCGGAACCCTGTAATCGTGGCTATGCATCTGTTTCCCTTGAAAAATACTTCGACCTTTCAAATTTGGATAACTAGGCTCGAAGTAATGCCCATTGCAAACCATAACAGCATCGAACGATTCATTTAAGACCATGTTTCTTTGTAAATCTTTCACTTTGATCGTCCACTTCCGGTCTCCGTTAGACGGTTCTATTAGTTCAACGTTGTGCAGAAACTGCGAGATGAATATTCTTATAAACAATTTTTATTTTTAACGATAAACGATACGATTCGAACTAGAAATTGATAAGATACCCGAATGTACTGGCGAAGTTTAAAATGATCGCAATACGAGATTAGGAAGTTGAGCATTTGCTCACGAGTTAGGTAACTTTCGGGTACACTCGGAACAGGATAATCTGGATATCCCATTACTTCCTTGGGAAGATTTGTTCTGTGAGCAAAATTATATGGTTTCATTAAACAAATAAAAAAAAAACTCAAAATATCCTTGAGTTTACTGAGTCTGAATAATAATTTATCAGATGTCTTTATGAATATTGATGGCAAATGATAAGTTCGGTTAGTATCTCTTACTTATAACGTGTCGTTAGTTAGACTGGAGTCTGGCACTTAACACTGGAACTACCAAAGGGGTCAAAATGACTTGTTTCAAGTTTCTTATTTTAATTTATAAATTCTATCGAGGTATTTTTACTGGAATGTATGTTGGCTATTGTCGAGATAAAGAATGGATATATATATAATAAATTATTTATTTATTTATTTAATTTTCTGTATTATTTTCAACTTGGACATTAGTGTACATCAATCGTCGGTAGTTCTAGTGTTAAGATTATCAACTCTTGTTCTGTCAAATTTTTATACAAACAGTTTTAGCGATTGATTTACAATGAAGAGATAAAAAATTTAATAATTCCTCATTGTTTTATAATTGACTTTACCTTAAATTTTTATACATACTGGTGTGTATTGGTAAACCATATCGATCCAAACCAACTTCTTCCCTATAAACCCATGTACCTCCTACTTGGTCCGTTTTCTCGTAACAAACTACTTCAGCGTTGTATACACCGGAAGTGCAATGTCGTATGGCTGCGAGACCAGCGGATCCAGCACCGATCACGGCAATTTTCATGTTTGCTATAGATATTGATAAACTTAGAGACTTAACGAGATCTTGTACGGCTCAGCTTTTCTTTCAAAAATCTTTTCTTCTAATTATTACAGCTCGTGCGATTACTTCTGCCACCCTTTGTTCTTCCGCGTATCTTCTCTTTTGACTCAACAGCGTTCGAAGATAAATTAAACACGAGTAGTTCGTTAATTATTTCTTCGAAAAAAAAAGGTCTATCAACGTTGAAAACACAATTTCAATCGTGAATGCAATGCATTGGTACACACGGTCGAGTTGCAAGTGAGAAAGGTGGAACGATTGAAAGTTACAAACACGAACGTTCCCTCTTTTTTTTTCTTCTTTTCTTGGATAGTAGACTTTCCTTACTATTACGTGAGTTTCTTGCATCAAATACCAAAGGTGCACGATTTTATCCTCTCAAATAATTGAATGCCGAAAGATATCGTAGCGGATAATATAATAAAACAGCATACTATAAAAACGTGAATAAAACGAACAATGAGGATTTACAAACTGCTATTCTTTGATAAATATTCAAATAATTACCTATCGTTTAACACGTATGTCACTCACTTAAATTGGGAGAAATGTAGTTAGACCGCGATAGGGGAACTGTTGGCGATGTTGATGTGCTGCAGTCGATGAAGAAATACGGAATGAACCATCATAAAATAATCAGTATACGGAAAGTCGAAGTGTATCGTTCGAATGGAGGCTGTTACTGATAACAAGGTCGTCCTGTATTCCACGCGTTTTACTATATATGAGAAGCTCGTATAAAGTCTCCGCTATGGGAAATAATGACGATCAACGACTTTATTGCCTTTCTTGAAACACTACAGATTACTGCATTAGCCCTGAAACTGTTAATGAATTTTTAATTACTCCCAGTACATTGACTGTTCTCGTAACATCGAGAATTACTCATTTATTTCAATGAAATCATAGAAAAACAAGTACGGGCAGTTTGATAAAAAGAAGTACTTAGATAATGAAGGTACGATAAACAGTAACATGGATTATAATCTTCTATGTACATGTAATCGTACCTAGATTTAACTTTTATCCTTAATAGATACCAAAAATCATACTTTGACAAAATTTTAAGATTTTTATCTTTCTTTTTACCACTTTTCGGTTTAGAGATATAGCATATTTTGATTGTATTAGGTGTACAAATTAATTCGGTGCCTTTAGTATTACGCCTTCTTAATTAATATTTTTAATTTGAATATTTTCTCGCGGTTTTGAACATTTGAAAAGTGACAAGGCGACATAATAATAATAAAGATTATTTCAATAATTGGAATGACTATAGCTCTTTAAAAATAAATCTTTAATTAAAATAGAGAAAAGGCACCGAATTAATTTGTACACCTAATAAAAACACTCTAATGTTATTATAGTCTTTGTTTAGTCGTGTTTACTTATAAAAAAAGGTCTGCACTTGCATATTATAGATAAGGATTGTTTATACTGTACGCGATAAGTACTTATTAGTGCCTACAGTTTAAACAATTCTATCTACCATTACGCTATCGTATTTTAATTCTAAATATTTGACAGATAATGCGGTTGAAAGTAGCGATAGCAACGTTCAACGGCCCTTCTAACATTATGATTGCATCTGCTAATTTTAATAGACAAATAATAATATTGCTTGTAATGAAATTTCATAAGTTTCCTTATTAAATGCCGAGTTTACCCGAATCTATTAACGTAATAGAAATTCAGGAAGCGTTTGCTTTGCAGGATAAACTTTCAGGCACATCCGGGAGAGGGTAATTGGGATATCATCCGTCTCCTTCTTCACAAGGGTCATTCTACACCATACAAATTAGTTACATTAATCTTTTTAACAAATAAACAATCACATCAAATATATTCGAAAAAGTAATATATTTTGTAATTTTTTAACACAAGTTTTTACACTCTGATAACAATGTTTTATTTACAGTGTAGTTATAGTTAATGATGTGAAGTTTATAACTGTTGTCAGGATCATGAAGTCTCTGAAAACTGGTCCTTGATAATCATGAGTAATTGAATTAAATTGTTCAACACAATAATTGCTGATATAAAATATATTTATGTAGAATTTCTACAATTTTATGTTTAAAGGAAACAAACCTATAAAATATTTGAATTCATGAAATTTTTTCACAAGATGTATGTACATTATTTGTAGAACTTCTCAATAATGAAGGTAAACATCTCATTTTTAATTTAAATTATCGTTTAGAATAGAATTCAGACTCCCACTTATTTCTATACAGTACATACAACTGCATTGCAGCTCTTGCATCTTCAACAGAGCTGTGCTCTCCTACTTGTATTTCCCTACCTAATAATTCATGTGCAAGCTTCTTTAAACTGGGTGTATTTCCTCTAGACAACTGGCGGAAAGTTTTAAACCTGGAAGTGTCTCTTAAATGTTTTCTTGGATGAGAGAGATACAGTACGTCAAGATCATGCTTCAATGCATGTCCAATCAAAATACGACCTCTTAACATTTCTGCTACCTCTTTTTGAACAACCTCAAACTCTTCTCCATTTTGAAGATTGTGAGGACGAATACCACTAACTTTAGTTCTATAATCTTGCACAGGTTCTCTTGGTTTTACGTATTTATCGTAAACACAAAAGCCATGACGGTTTACGATGGACACTCTAGCTAACATACTCTCTGTGCCATCGCCTATGCCTACCATCTCGCAATCCATGGATATCTGCTTTGTCAACTTCTTTTTATTTTCATCGTAAACTTCTTCTTCATTATTTTGTGTTACATGGTCCACATTCGACACAGACGAATGATTCTTCTTTCTTACTTTCTGATGAGAAAGTGATTTCTTTTTAACATTCTCTTTGCCAGATGTATTCGACTCTAATGATGATGAATTAAATACTATATTCTTAAATATTTCCCAATTACACCCAGACGCATTCCGCTGCGTGTTTGGGGTAATACGATGGTTATTTTGCTTATCTTTTTCACCCATGGTTTCTCTAGTTCCAATTTTCTTAGAACGGCATTGTTTCTGTGGCTCTTCGTGCTTCCTAAAAATAGCAATGGAACAGATTACTTGTAATTATAAATCTATAAATATCCGAAATATTTGTTTTTTTATACATTGTTACCTGCCCTAACCTCTTCATTTAACACGTGTATAAATGAAAGTATAAACCTTACAATAAGTACACACTTTTATTACATAACAAAATATGCTTTGTTTATTTGCAAATTCACATAAAAGTATATGAAAGTTAATTAAAATTATTCATAAAATGTCAGATAATACGTCAACTTAAATATGGCGGCACAAATTCAAAACAGTTACACCAGTTATACATTTGGAAGTGAAACTATCATACTATCATCCTTTCTTTTTTTAACTTATACAAATGAACAAAGAAAACACTACAAATCTATAAAATTTCTATTTTTCTAATTAATAAATGTTAAGAGAAAAAGATACTTTGCAATAGAGTTAATATAAGATGTAAGATTAATATTTATTTTATGGATGCTTTATGAAATAAAAGTAGGGATAACTGACAACTAAACGACGCCCCTAATCTAGGTTTAATTAATTACAGAAGTTTTCCTACCTCACGTATAATATTATAGCAATAAAGCACACGGTAAAAATTAAAGAAACCATCATGCTAGGATAATTAAAAAATATTCTAGAATTTATGTCTGCCAGGTTTGTATCCTAATAAATCGTCTCTCCCAAAACCTGCGTAGCTGAACCGTTACTCCGTACAGAATATGAGTAATTGCATCCATTTTAAATTCTGCATGGATTTTTAAAAATTTGAAAGAAATGTACGATGATAGCAATAATACAATTAAAGATGCTTTCCAAGAACCTCGGAAGAAATTTTGGCTGGTGAGTTTTTACGTACTATCAGTAATAAAAATAATTCGTATTAACCTTTGTATTATTTCGTCCGACAATTTCGTTTGACTAACAATAAGAGTATCAAATATTTGTCAACTGTTTTCAATTTCATGTATTAAACAACTCGTAGTATGTAATCTATTATTTTCCTTTTTATATTCGTCTATTATTTTTATATATGTACATTTTATTAAAACATTATAAGGTCTATTTATTAATCTTGTTCTTGTTATACTTGAAATTAGCGATCAAGAAAACGTCCGAAAAGTGATGCTATCAGTGTTAGTTCAATGGACATATCTATTGAATCAGAAATGGGAAAAAAGAAAAAGCGAAGGAGAATTACAGAAGTGGCCAGCAGCATTTTTTCTTCTTCTTCTTCTACTATAAGTACCAAACAAGGAAGTACTCTTCACAGATCTTTTACAATTCAACCAAACACAACAGATTTGTCATTTGTAGATAATGAAACAGACACAGGAACATTAAAAAGAAAGTATGAAAAAAATATTTTCAATCATTTTTATTTTTTTTTTATAAACTTCAAAGTATTTATTATTTAAAATTTGTATTGTAATTTGTAGGCATAAAGAAGACATTGAATGTACTAATAACTTTACTCTTAGGAGTTGGGTACTTGATATAGCCAAAACAAGTACCAAAGATAAATCTAATTATTCTTTAAGTCGAAAAGATGTTAAAAAACAAGAAGCAATTTATGAATTATATTGTGGAGAAAATGTATTCATTAATGATTTGTGCATTCTTAAAGAGTATTATTATGAACCACTGGTATCTACTGGTATTTTTACTTCTGATGAGTTAGTAACACTTTTTAATGATATAACACATCTTATTGAAATACATAGCAGATTAAGGGATGAATTGATTGATCTGAGAGATCAGTATGGATATACAGATGCTGTTGGATCCACATTATTAAATTGGGTTAGTTACTATGGAATATTAATATTAAATACTTTAAGCAATTATTGAACCTATATAGATTTATCATTTTTATAGATTCCAACATTAATAAAACCATACTTGGAAAGATGCAGAACACAAATATGGGCAAAACAATTACTGGATGAAAAACGGTTGACAAACAAACGTTTTCAGTCTTTCCTTAAAAAACGTTTAGAATCTCCCCATTCAGTTGATTTATGGACTTATATAGATGTACCAAGGTCAAGAATTGTTAAATATCCTTTATTGATTAAGGAAATAATTAGGCACACTGCTGCAACACATGTAGATCAAGCATGTTTAAAAGAAGCATATAATATGTTATCCAATTTACTTAAAGATATAGATAAAACTATGGGCAATGCAGAATGTAAATTAGCTCAGTCGAAAATTAATGTAAAATCGGACTATGATCCTACCAAGTGCATTGAAAATGCAACTCAGTTAATCACTCAAGGGCAGCTCAAAGATGCAAGAGGAATGGTAAGAATTTGTATTAAATGTTATTAAATAGGTAAATGTATAAATTCTTTATAATTTTTTAGAAATATCAATGCTTCCTTTTTGATACTGGCTTTGCTATAACTCGTGGTACAAGATCTGTGAGTAAAAAGTACAATTTGTTTTTTCCTATAATATCTAAAGAACAGATTTGTATAAGTACAGATGAAAAATCTATTATAAATTTTGGATTTAAAATTGGTGATCACATTTTAATGACGGAAGATGTACATGGAAAAAGACACTGGATTGATTCTTTTAATAAAGTTAATCACAACCGTATTCATTCATTAGAAAATGTAATTGATACTAGTGAAAAAGAAAATCAGCAAATTTTGTCACCATCAAAAATAAATCACACTACTAGATTATCTATAAGTAAGATGAATGACAGTCACTTTTCTTTGACACTAAAGAAAAGTTTTTTAAAACAGAAACGTAACAGCATTGGTTACATTTAATATTAACGATTTTACATTCCATACGAATATAAGAATATTTCTTATATTCTTATACTGTGTTCAGCTGTAAATTTTTATAAATGGTACATAATACTGAAAATCTGTTTTAGATTTTTGTACTAAAGTCATTTTGTTGTGTGTTTGATTCCTATTTATAAAATATTTTTCAATCTGTTATAAAAAATTACATTCCATTTTTCGTACGATTGAAAGGAACGTAAGTTTATATTAATATATGTACTTAATGTAAAACATATATAAACAATATATATAATTAGATAGTAAAAAGAAGCACTAACATGAAAATAACAATATACGAAAACATATTTATATACATGCTGCTTAAAGCATGAATTAAATATGTTTTACAAATGTACAAATATTTTTGATAATAATTGTAAATTAAAGAAAATGAACAATTTATGTATTTCTAATTATAATTAATATGCTATTATTTTATTCCTATGTTAAATGCAATATATATACACATTTAAATGCAACTGAGAAATTATTTTTTTAAAGGAATACTTCAAAATATATTGATAAAAACTCAAAATTTGTCTCAAATTTTTATCAAATAGTTTTATTTTCATAACTTATATAATAAAATAATTATTTATTTATCTTACATTAGTTTAAAATGATTATTAAGGTTTACTGGGTTTCATTGAGTTTCCATCTGGATATCGTTTTTTGAAGGCTTTAATGAGCTGAGGATCAATCAGATGAACCCCGTCTACTTGATTTCCCAATGTTATCCAATTAGGTTGAACATTATGCGGTCGACCAAATAATTCAATCTTTCTCGTTCCTGGGCTCATACGTTCGATAATTCCATAAATTTCATCAGGTTTATGACTAGTTGCACGAACTTCGGCCACAATAACGTCGCTATCCAAACCTCGATTAATTCTTGGATTACCTTTCATACCAACTAAACAATGTTCTTTACCATGATTTAACCAATGACCTGTTCTACCTGTTCTTATTATTCTCTGCAACTGATTCGTTTTTACCCATATGATTTCATCCACTCTCTCGTATCCCCATAATTGCAAACATTCTCTACCAAGTTCCATTGCTCTCCCTGTTACCCACAAAAACAAAAGACCTTCATCCTGAAGTGCAGGTATACCCAACTGTCTCATTTCGTCATCCGACATGGTACCATAGGGTAACTCCATGTGGATATCCCATGGAGGGTCAGCCATTATAACAGCAAATTTACCTAATACAGTCATGTCAAGATATCGTAAATCACACTGTATCCATTGCGGTGGGTACAGAGTCAATTCACTACCTAAAGATCCACCAGGAGTTGGGCAAGTAGTACTATTACCGTTCTTACTATCTAGTGTTAAGCCTTTAGTCACTGTAGTACTATTTACATTGTCCGTTTCATTCGATTCTTTTGGTTGAGTTGTTGGTCCATCTACTTCATAATGAACATACCTGTGCAATAAAACATTTAAATAAAGAAACTCCGAATACATGTTATCCTAAATGATTATATTCCATTTATGATATGTACTTGCATGTATCCATATGGAAGCAAGTATTAAGAAAACTACAGTCACCCAAAGATTCGTCCGTGTGACTTTGAATAATTTTTTTGAAATGGAGTTTCTTGCATTTTTCGGCAAATCCTGGCCCACCATTCAACTTGACACAATCTACTCTTGTGCCATGAGGACAGAATTCCATAACTTGAGCTCCTCCTTGAGATCGAAATCGTTCGGCCAATGACTTTTCTTTAGACGTTTGCTTTGATAATAAATCCAAAATTTGTTCTCCAACCTTTTTATTTTCTTTCTCTCTGATTGTAGGCATCGATATCAGAGACATTATATCTTCAGTATTTTTCTTATCCAATTTGGGCTGTTTTTCTGCAGGCATGTAGTCATTTAACTCAGATGCAGATGTTTCTGCGCTCTCTGGATTCTCTGTATCATCTGATTGAGATTGATATGATGATTGTGATTCTATCACCGATAATACTGTATATCCAAAAACACCATTCTCTGTCACTTCTTTGATTCTATAAAAGTATTTTATTAGTTCTTGCTAACAAAGTAAAATCACATCATATTGCAGAAACTTACTAACTTAACAATATCTTGTGCTGCAAGCTTTTCTAAAATTTTATGGATGTCTGTAGAACATACATCTGCATTAAGATTCTTACGAAGTTGATCTATTAATTCTGCAGATGTGATAGGTAAATTAGGTAATGACTCATGTAAAATGCATAAAACATCCCTTTCATATTCACTGTGATCTGATCGTTGTGAGTGTCCAGCTACATCTAATATAAATCAATTACTATTATTATTATTGCTGTTGTTGTTATTATTATTATTATTATTATAATATATCAAATAGCATTTACCAGAACAGTTTACTTACCACTACCAAGGGATGATTCATTAGTTAAGGTGGATGATATTGGTGTTGCAGAAGTAAGAGTGAATAATTCATGTCTCTCACGTTTTCTCTTTTGCAATTTTTCCCTTAAACTGTTCCTTTTTATTTTAAGAGCTTGAATTTCCTCAAAAGCATCTGACATGTCTTCATAACAAATTTTTTAATACATACACATAAGCATATAAAAAATAATTAAAGTAGGTTGATAAAGATCATAATCAAAAACCTATAAATTGAGATATTGTTTTTAATACCTTTGAACAGTAATTAAAATACTGTAAAATGTTCAAAAATACCTGAATATATGTTTATTCAAAATAATGAAGCAGTTATAATGCATCAGTAACTTTACATTGCAAAAATTAACCTGACCTGATCTAACCTTAACTGATGAAACGAAAACCGGTGACTACAGATACAAAAAGACTGGACATGCCTTTGCTCTGAAGGGGTCATGATTTTGAGGGTCCCAGATAACCCCAGGGGAGATTAGATCTGCATCAGCCCCCTGTGGCTCGGGGGGAGTAGAATACGGCCACGGTAACCCCTTCCTGTCGTAAGAGGCGACTAAAAGGGGAATGTAAAGAAGCGAGCGAGAACTAAAAGTAATGCAAAAGCGTAAGAGAGTAAATGTAACGGGCAAAGCGAAAGAAAGAATGTACATACTTAAGTAAAAGAGCGATTAGCGTAAGCATAAAGAAGTTTCAAAATTGCGCGGGAGAGTGTTGGCTGTAGCGCCAATCCCCTAAGCGCGTGGCCGACAGAGTTCGTTGGGCAAAAAGGGACGGTAAAGTCCATAAAGAACGCCACCCGGATGCAAAAATGCATCCTATTTTTCTGAACCGGGAAAAATATAAATTAAATTAAATTAGATCTGCGTTTTACTTACATACAGAGCACATATTCGATATGACAGTCACAACTGTCTTACCAGTCCCATTTTTATCACACCTCCACCAATGAGAGACTTGCAACAGTCCGCTTTGGTGCAGTGCGAAATGCTTAAAGCCGAGTATCCACTTGTATCAAACGCCCGTATCGCATTACTATTGCGTATCCTTTTGAAGAGGCACTGCGTATCACAGCGTGCTACGGCTCGGTCAATTTTTCTTCGTTTCTTGAAAGAAACGGTTCGGCAATAGGACTGAGCCACTACAAGTGACGAGTTTTGGTTTACTGCCTGCGGTTTCTTAATAATTGTAGGAGTCCATCGCTTAGTACTATATAACTTTTATTACATCTGCAAGTTTAAAGAGGAAAGTTGGAAATCGGTTCATGACTTAGGGAAATAAAATACAGAAAAAATATGTTATTATACTAGGGGTTTGCCGTTGGCTTAATTAATCTATTACTCGAAGAGGTCATAATTTATTACCCTTATTGCAAATCCGATACCCAAATTCTAAAGTTCTACCAAAAATATTATACAAGAATGTAGCAGTCGAGAAAACAAACGGTGTTTCGTCTCGGGATCGTCTGTTAGACTCGTCAGTGGGGCTGACAACAGACGACCCCTGCCCCAGACACCTATCATACCGCGGTTCGAAACTTGTATATATTCGAGCCGCATGCCGGGCGAGCGCTTGCGAGAGCACGGTTCCTCTCGCCGCCACCTAGCGCTCCCCGGTCCCCTTCACTAAACGATTGCGACAAGAATGTAGAACACATTTCTATGTTTTCAATTCCCGTATTGGGTGTAAATAATCAACGCCTGGATCCGTAAATAAGGTGTTAGGTCACAGAGGGAAAGAAAAGGAATGAAATTGAACGTTGTTTAATATTACATATATACAGGGGGTCCCGTAACTCCCGGAAACGGGGGGTTGCTGGGGTAATCCTGAACAACATTTTCCTTTACCAAAATGAAAAACACTGGCCAATTAGAGCGCGGGCCGGACCACGAGAGCGCTGGCTTTCAGCCGCGTTCGGTCGTGGTCGTGAACAAACACATTGGCACAAACGCATTTATTATTTATGAATAACGAATAATTCCACATTGTTCTTAATTTAAGACGATGTAACATTTATCGCACGCTTCCCTTGATACCCGCGCTGTACCAATGCGTTTGTTCACGACCACGACCGAGCGCGGCTGAAAGCCAACGCTCTCGTGGTTCGGCCCGAGCTAAAGGCGCGCTCTGATTGGTCAGTGTTTTTCGTTAATAACTCAAAAACGAAACTTCAAACGACATTTTGGTAAAGGAAAATGTTGTTCAGAATCACCCCAGCAACCCCGCATTTCCGGGAGTTACAGAAGTTACGGAACACCCTGTATACCTTATACATTATATATTGGTTTTATTACATGAACATTTTAACTTATTAATTTGCGCAAATAACTGCACCATCTGTACTTGAATATGCACCCTTTCGGAAACGTTCAGTTCCCTTAATTTTGCTGCAACAAAATTTCCAAAATGCTGACACTCATCAGCTGATGGATCACACGCGGCCATGAGAATCTGGAATGCCTTTTCCAGGCGTTCATCTTGGTTGGTATGCCGCCATTGCGCGGTAACTGGTTTCGTTGGGAGGCATGGGGTATTCGTACTCGGGCCCTGTTCTACCTTTACCACCTCGGTATCTTCTCCCATCTCTGTCTCTTCTATCACCTCATCTTGTGCCGCTTCTAGAGTTGTATTTTGTATTTCATCTTCCATCTGAAAACAAATATTATTTCTAATTTGTTGCTAATGAAGTATGCTTAGTATGCTTTTATGAATCGTGGAAAAAATTAAAAAATGATTGAAGGTTTGCGTACTGTACTTGATGTCCTCCTTGATTTATTCCTATCCCATAGGAATTGTAAACTCTCGAAGGCAAACCATTGACTTTGATACATTTCATCTGTTCCTACAAACAAAAGAACGATAGAAAGTTAAAGTACTAAATATTTCCAATTCTCAATTCATGAATGTATGAAAAAAAAAGTACTTACCCTTTCCGGTGTCAACACTTCTTTTCAATTTTATTTTCTCCCTCCTCAAAGCTGCGAGGAGGTATTCCATTTTTCTTTTGCATTGTACTTTCGGTTTTTTAAGTTTCTCACTTATTTCCTCCCACGCATCTTCTTTCTTTATCTTATTATAATATTGAGGGTTTTTGGGATCCCACAATACACTTTTCGAACGATAAACTTTAATCAACGTCAGAGTTTCCGCCTTAGTAAAATTCATGATAAATCTCTTCCTGTAGTCGAAACGATACTAATATTATTTCGTATTCATGAGAAATATGTTACTTCATAATCGTGGTGGGGGTTTCCGTGTAGAAACTTCCTGTATTGGTTAAAATTCGTCGTAGGCGGTCAATTTGGAATTTTTCTGATTGGGTGTCTCTTGCAAACGTGAGGGTACCTTCTAGTCCACGTGGAGGTAACTAACTTGCATGGTATCCGATATTATGGGCTCGGGCGGGCTCGGCAGCAATCGGGCGGGCATCCGATACATGCGTGCAGTCAGGTAGCCCGACTATTTCGGGTTCGGTTGGGTACAGTCGGGCAGATTCGGACGAGCTTCCGCGGCCCATCTCTCATGTATTGTTAATAGTTGCAATAATTATTATGTGGAAAAATAATACAGTAAAAGCTGGATAAGTGCAAGAGAAATTGGGACCCAAACATTGCATACATCCAGCCAAAGCCGGGTATCCACTTGTGTCAAACGCTCGTATCGTATCACCGTTGCGTATCCTTTTGAAGAGGCACGCATTGCATCGCAACGCATCACAGCGTGCTACGGCTCGGACCATTTTTCTTGGTTTCTTGAAAGAAACGGTTCGGCAATAGGATTGGGTCACTACAAGCGAGGAGTTTCAGTTTGCTGTGTGCTGTTTCTTTATTGTAGGATTCCATCGCTTAGTACTGTAGAACTTTTATTAGATCTGCAAGTTAAAGGAGGAATTTTGGAAATCTATGTTATTATACCAGGAGTTTGAGTTCACTTAATCCATTTATTACTCGAAGAGGTCATCATTTATTACCCTTGTTGCTTTCATTGGACTGGTACTACAGGGTGATTCTCTCGCTACGCAAGACAAAAGCCATGCCGTACAATGGAACCCCTGTTGTTTCGTTTCTTGTCTTCGTCTCAGCCATAAACAGACACAGAGTAGTTTTGGGTCCGGCGATATGGCCCCTGGGTCTCTTTACCCGCAAAAACAGCAGGGTTCGATTGTGCGGCACGGCCTTTGTCTTGCGTAGCGAGAGAATCACACTGTATCTGCGTATCATACAAGTTCGGTATCTCCACGCGGACTAGGAGGTACCCTCGCGTTTGTAAAAGACACCCAATCAGAAAAATTCCAAATTGACCGTCTACGACGAATTTTAACCAATACAGAAATCATATCGTATTTGGTAGCATTTTAATTAGAAAAACGTCACAAATATCTTGGTAAAAGTTTTATAAGAGAGAAATGAAAAATAACAAAGTTCAGTCGTTGCATTAGCATTTTAATTAGAAAAACGTCACAAATATCTTGGTAAAAGTTTTATAAGAGAAAAATGAAAAATAACAAAGTTCAGTCGTTGCATTAGCATTTTAATTAGAAAAACGTCACAAATATCTTGGTAAAAGTTTTAAAAGAGAAAAATGAAAAATAACAAAGTTCAGTCGTTGCATTAGTATTACCTCACTGATATATCCGATCCCAGATCATATTATCCCGTGCCTCAAGTGTCTCAACCAACAGGCAAATTTTCAATACTCGGCAACGGAAAAATCTCTGGAAAATTAACATTGTCCTTTTTTAATAATCACAGAGGTGATTATTAACATTAGTCTTTTACGTACAGCGTAGCACAGAAAATAATTGATATGTTTAAATATATTTAGACGATAAAATTTGTCTAAATTAAATTAGATTAAATTCATAAATAATTTCATCAATTTTGAAATGAGTCCAATAATACCGTAAGATTTAAAATAAATTGAAATGTTAATTTATTGAAATTGAAATCCAAGTGACAGCACGAAACACTATGTCAAGTGCAAACGCATGAACCTTTCCTTCGATGCAACGGCAAAGAACCGACAAAGGGTATAGTCAGGTAAGGTAGGCAAAATGGCCCTTGAATCAAATTAAATTCAGAATGCGTCATTCGATAGCATATTAAAAGAAAATAGTGTACACCAATTTGCAACCCTTTATCTTAACCAGGAGGGCAGTGAGGGGGGCAAAAGAAACGCCAAATCGTGCCCCATTTCTCCTATTTAATAACATCCGAAAATTCTGGAAAAATTCTCATACACTACAAACACGGTAGCACATATTAGGGAATTTTTTCAGATTTTTTCATTGCAAATCCTAGTTGTAAAAAATGAAAAACCGAACAAACAATCTGAAGAAATGCGATTTGTTATTGAAAATGTAAGAACACTACTTTTATATTACAGTGGTAATAACATATTAGTATAACTATTACTCTTGAATTTTTTCAGATTTTTTGTTGTGGTGCAACATAGTAATTTTTATTTCCTGTTCTTTTAGAATATGTATTAAGTACTTTTAAATGGATTCACATTCACACAATTGGTATACAGGTTACCGAAATAGAATTAACTTAAATAAAAATTCGAAGTAGAAGTTACTTTTTCATGCGAAATAATTGGTTTTTGATTGTTTTAACTACGTTGCACCACAACAAAAAATCTGAAAAAATCTGAAGAGTAATAGTTATACTAATATGTTATTACCACAGTAATATAAAAGTAGTATTCTTACATTTTCAATAACAAATCGCGTTTCTTCAGATTGTTTGTTCGGTTTTTCATTTTTTACAACTAGGATTTGCAATGAAAAAATCTGAAAAAATTCCCTAATATGCGCTACGGTGTTTGTAGTGTATGAGAATTTTTCCAGAATTTTCGGATGTTATTAAATAGGAGAAATGGGGCACGATTTGGCGTTTTTTTTGCCCCCCTCACTGCCCTCCTGGTTAAGATAAAGGGTTGAAAATTGGTGTACACTATTTTCTTTTAATATGCTATCGAATGACGCATTCTGAATTTAATTTGATTCAAGGGCCATTTTGCCTACCTTACCCGACTATACCCTTTTTCGGATGGCTCCGTATCAAATGAACAGCAGGCAGCAAACCGAAACTCTTCGCCTGTAGTCGCCCAGTCCTATTGCCGAACCGTTTCAAGAAACGAAGAAAAATTGACCGAGTCGTAGCACGTAGCACGCTGTGATACTCACCGATGCAAGGTGTGCCTCTTCAAACGGATACGCAACGGCGATAGAATACGGGCGTGAGTAACGTACAACGTTGGAAATTTCTATTCCCACTGCGCAAGACAAGAAACGAGAGAGAGAAAAAGGACTGGATAGTCACGAATAGAGAAGGACTGAGCGTCAGAGGGCGGTATTCACAGTCGCAACTTATTTCTATGCTGGTCTTAAGCATAAGCTTAAGGTATCCGTCAGATTCACAGTCGCCGAATAAGCAACGCCTTAAGCATCAGCTTAAGCATTTGCTTAGGAAAGTAAATGCTTATCGGTGTAGATTCATAGTCGATTCTTAAGAAAGTCTTAAGTTCTTATGAATTCATAGTCTAATAAGTCCGGGAACATTCCTAGCAAACGGACGGTTCACCGATTTTTATCTGTTATATATCGTTAAATTCGTCTTTCTGAGCATATTATTGAGGTGTTTGTCTTTTTTGCGGAAATTCCTTTTTTTTTTAAATTTGATGTGAAGTTTCGAAAAAAAAGGAAGGTTAAGTATGTTTCTGATGCATTTATGAACAGAAACAAATGACTGTCGGTACATTCATACTTACATGATATGGATAGATTCAATCATCCAAGTTTGATATGTTTTCATTTTCTACAGAATCGAAAGATATTACTACTGATTCTGAAATATTGCCGGCCGGCTGACGCCGGCCGGGATTGGATGTGCCCTAACCCAACCTAACCTATTGTCTTTTTAGACTTAAAGCAGTCTAAAAAGAATGCTGTCATTTGTTTCTGTTCATAAATGTATAAAAAACATACTTAACCATACTTTTTTCTTGAAAGTTTACAGCAAATTTTACACAAAAAAACGAATTTTCGCAAACAATGACATAGAAATTAGTAATGTACTCAACAAGACGAATTCAACAATATATAACACGTCAAAATCGGTGAACAGTCCGTTTACTAGGAATATACCCTTTGCGGATATGTGCAGGTATTTTTATTTTTTAGCAGCGAGGCGTACTGCGGTGCGCTATATAAAATCCACGCGTTCAGTCAGTCAAAATTTACCGGAGCGGGACAATTCCACAGCCGACTCTAGTACTAGCCGTGCTGAAGTAAAAATGGCAACACCGCGGGAGTCCGGTCTGAATATATCAACACCTACCCTATCTATCTGCCTCCCGGACTCCCAGACTCTCAGCCAATCAACGTCGTCAGACTCCCGACTACTCTCTGGACTTCACATAACCTCTTTGGTTTCCTTCCAATAATTTCGCTTGTTTCAAGGTTTTTATTAACTTATATACACGCTTATCAATTCTTAAATGTTTCAATTTGATCCAAAGATGGTTTCATTTTGCTTCATACCTAAATTTTCTTGAAATCACTGTAAATATTTTAAATATCATGCTTCACAACACCAAACTACTTCGAGAGTACACAAAATATATATCACATTTATAACAATTTTATACTACCACATCACTTCTACTTGCCATAGTTGCAACGTTTATGTACTGTTTATACATAATTAACACAAAATAGTGAATATTACTACAGCCTTTAATTAAAAGAGACGTTAATTACAATTCCGAGCACAGGACTCTGTTTTTGAAAATAGGACTCCCGATTGTCATGTGGGCGGTGTTGCCACGTTGTTCAGCATGGCTAGTACTAGAGTCGGCTGTGACAATTCTATCATTTAGGTTGAAAGAAGGATAGCATGATCACCGTACATCTCACTCTAACCACGCGCCAATGTTTCGCTTTCGTTCTTTAGGGTACGTTTATGTTGGAGTGTCGATAAACGATAAGAGCGTCGATCATAGCAATGTGAAGTTGTCTCATTATCAGAGCTCTACTATAAACAAACCAGAGATATTTTTTCGCAGCTATGATCGACGCTTTTATTGTTTATCGACGCTCCAACATAAACGCACCCTTAGGTGGACCGTCGCGATGCCTCTGGTGAGATGAGCGTTTGAATGTGTTTGTAAAAATACTTGAGGCGCTGTTGCCTTCCTAGATCGTGTTGCGCGCACACTAGCTGAGAATTGAACCTTTCAAATTCGTAACAGACCACGCAAGTGGCTCCACCAGGTTCAACAAAAAACTGCTGTAATACCGACGTCCCGAATCGGAGAGGTCACGTGTCGTGTCTACCCCCTTATGCTTTTATTTGACGTTCGGCTATTTCCGTCGATTCTCTACTATAACAACCAATCAAAATGATTCTTGAAAATGTAGCATTATTTGTAACTTAGTGACGCGGTTTTTGAATTGAATTCAAATAATTGAGCGAACGATAGACAGAGCCAAATTTATTAATAAAAAAAGCCAAATTTATTAAGAAAAGTAACAATTTTATTATTAATGTTACCACATACGTTATAAAAATCTCTTATATTTAAAGTTTCATTCTGAAATACGAACACAAAATAACACAAAATTAAATTTCGAGGTATAGGTTGTGATATGACTGAGGATGAGGGTATTTTAATCAATAAATCAAACCAATTTGAGCCGAAAGAATAATGATTATTTATTGGTTCGATAGACACAATAAGGGGAAAAAGCCTTGCGGCATAAAAAACCCTTTATTATATTTCGTTTGACACAATTACTCAATGAAACATACGGGCAATGAGTGCTTCACGTGTAGCAAATCCATCAATGCCATTAACATTTTCCACGTTTCTTAATAATTCTTCTCCATCTTCATTTTGGTTTGCAATTTCATCTTCTTCTACAAGAATGTCATGGAAAAGACATGGAAAACGGCGCTTCCAAACACCGAACGTTCTTTCTACTATCTGTCGAGTCCTGATCTGAATTTCATTGTACCTGTGTCGATCGAATAATTCAATGTTAATTCGTGCATCAATCAGTCGACTAAACAGTATCAGTATTGCCTTATTTCTTCTTCAGTCTGTGGATTCCGCAGGGGTGTCATCAGAAAAGGCAGACAAAACAATCAAACGAATCACTCCCGTCTCGAATATATCGTCTCGATATTCGTGGATATATATACAAATTATGATCAATGTCCTCGATATCATCGATATCCTCGATATCCGCAAAGTCCAATTCTATTTTGTACTTTTTTTAAAATAAATATTTGCGTTTCATCATAAAATGATAGTTTCATTTTATTAATGAGACTACCAATAAAATCTATAGTCAATATAATCAATATAATCTATATAATCTAATAAAAACTAGTTATTGTGATACTGTAGCTGATTGAACAGATACTTGAGATAAAACTTTTTTCTAATTTAATAGAAATGATAATGATACATAATAAGTTGTTTCAAGTAAATATGGTCCGAATTAGGATGAAGTTCCGAATACGATCGGTCGCCGATCAAGATGAAATTTTGAGGGGGAGGGAGGAGGGAGGAGGGGACCCCAAATATAAAGTGGTATCTTCGGCTTCCTATTAGTTTCCGAGATATTAATTAAAAACTTTTGTACAATACATAGAATTTTTGCTATACAGACGCAACTAACACTACCGTCTTCGCTGTAGCAACCGTCATCGTCAAGTGTCGAACAGCCGTTCACACCATTGCAATATCGGCTTCCGTTTCTATAGGGTATTCCATGTAAAATCCGTTTTTTTAGTTACATTACGTTATGTTTTATATTTTATTACTAATTCTCAAGGAATTAAACACATTTGATTTATACGTAGGTTAGGTTAGGCTAGATAAATTTTCGGCCCCCGGAAAGCGGCCGGCAACGCTACAACAGTCGTCGTATCTCCAAAGTTTTGAATAGGACACCCTATAGATAGTCAGGTTGGAACCCCCGCTGTGTCAACGGTTGTTCGACACTTGACGATGTCAGCTTACTACAACGAAGACAGTTGTGTTAGTTACGTCTGTATAGGAAAAATTCTATGTATTGTACGAAAGTTTTTAATTAATATCTCGGAAACTAATAGAAAGCCGAAGATACCACTTTATATTTGGGGTCTCCTCCTCCCTCCCCCCTCCCCCTCAAAATTTCATCTTAATCAGCGACCGGTCGTATTCGGAACTTCATCCTCCAAACAATATTTTTATTTAAAAAGAATACAAGTCTTAACATATTCGGTATAAAAATATTATATAAAAAATAACCTAACAGTAGCAACTACTCGGATGTTTGGCGCTTCGATTGTACTCACTTCCGCGCTATCACAAATCGCTTCGTTTCCAACGTTCATCTCGCGTCTTTTCTCGGACTTAGACAGTTGTTGTCCGTACACTGTTATTGCAGCATTTGGTAAAAAAAAGAGCAACGTTGGGCTTAAAAACCAGTCGCTCAGGTCACTCAGTTTTTCTTATAGTTAAACTTAACGCTACGGGGGTAGTAGGGGGGGACTATATATATACATTGGGTGATGCATTATTTACAGGGGGGTAGGCGCTATTTGTCAGCGTTGCTTCTCTAAGGATTGGGCCCATCCTATATTTGCGCTTCTTTGATCCTCTTTCCTTGATCCTCTTGCTCTGTCAAGAACTTCTTAAGACTTTAAAGGCTGGTTCAGACACGGCTAGTAATTTAGTCGAGTGGGGAGTAACTACTTACTACTAAACCGTTTAGCGCATAGAAAAGTGTACGGACTAGTTCAGTTGAGCTTTGGAAATTGAGAGTACAAGGCACATCGCTTGACTAAAGAAATGGGTCCGAACAGGTCTGTTCGGAAGCCTAGTTAGTGGTGGGGGAAGCCTACTCGACTAGAAAAATCCAATGAAAGGGATCTACTCGACTAAACCATTTTACTAAACTACTCGACTAAACTGTAGTGTCCATACACTAAACTACTCGCTACTCGACTAAACTACTAGCGGTGTCTGAACCAGCTTATGAGCGCTGTTTTCATCCGTTCGGTTAGTTTGTGAGCGCTCACATGAAAATGATTACAGTCGTCCACTTTAGGTGTTGTAAGCGAAAATGGAAGAAAAGAATAAATTAATCTGTGAAATATTTGCGCAAGCATTAATTTTATTGGATTTGATTGAAGATGAAAAATATCGAAATTTTTCATTAGAAAAGTTGGAAGAAATGTGTATATTTCTGGCTAGCCCTAAACCGAAAACAATAACTCGATTAAAAAATTTTGTAGAAGAAATTATTCCAAATTACAATAATAAACAATTTAAAGAGCATTTTAGGTATGTATAGTAGTATTTTCTTTATAGTAAATTAATTACATTAAGGAAAATAAATTTTATTAAATTATACAAACATATTTGAGAAAACTGTTTGGTACATATAGCTTTCTCTGTGTTTGTATAATTTCTAGATTCTATTTTATTTATTATTGCTTATTATGTTATTGTTTCTGAATGTTGTAACTTCACTGAAACTGTATTTGACGCCATCTTTATGGTTATAAATTTCCTTACAGCTTTTGCTTTGGAAAGAAAGCGTTTGATAGCGCCTACGCTTTTGCCGCCCTACCTGGATGGAATAAGCATTCGTGAGCACAAGTTATCCGTGAGCGCTTATAGCGTCAAAGAGATAACGTCATAACTTGTGCTTACGAATTCAGCGCGTAACGCAAAGCGAACGCAGCCCCAGAGTTCTGCAAGATACGTAGGTGTGTAGAACACGAGGCAGCGAGCTGCGAGACAAAGTGTTGAATTTAAATAGTAACGGTATTAAAGACTTGCGAAAACGTACAAATTCATGTTTCGCAATAGTTTAAACAATCATATTGTTAAAGACTGGAACAAACAGATTAATCGGTATTTGTGTTAGTGTAATATAGTTTAGTATAGATAAAATAATATATTCAGCTTTACTTTCTCTTTTCTTTAATATACGGACTATTTTCATTTACTCTCCTTATCATTATACGCTAGTTTGGTGAGTTTAAAATGAATGTTAACAGAAAATAATTTTCGTGTAATGAAGGGAAGATGAATCAAGAATGAAAATTTGTAAAATTTTCTGTCCACAGGGTATATTCTCGGGTTTCCGACCGGTCCGTTGAGTACATGCGCATTAGCCTAGACTATAAGTATATGTATAACTGAAACACAGTCATATGCGCAAAAACGAGCGAAAACTCGTTATCTAATTGTAAGTAGTAAGTGCGGTCTGCAGAAAAGAAAGACAAAGCAAATCCGCAACAGCTAATTATTCACTCTCTATTTAAAAATTTGTCGTTGGGTGATGTCTCAAGAGCTTTTTAAACGCATTTCAGCTTGGATAGGTAAAAACCTAGAAATTTTATAAAGACATACGGTGCACATAGTGCAAAAAATTAAACAATAATATGCCAAATACAAGTTTGCTTGTCATTTTAATCTGCACAGATTGCGAAGTTAAATAAAATAGCTTCATTACCACGACGTGTATAACAATGTTACAAAAAATAGTATCATAGAATTCAATAGGATAATTCCTAGAAAATTGCTAGTCTACAGAAGGCCGAATCGTGTTAGCTATTTAGATATAGAAAGTAAGCTAAATTTTTACAAGGAAAAAACAGCAATTGATTAAAAGAGAGCGCCGAACGAAGCAACTTAATTGGTTTACTATTTCAACCACCATAACTAAATCAACAAATTTTAGGGAAAACATTGTGTCTTGAAGACTTTATTTACCGATATATAAAAATTTTTTCTCTTGCAACTTTTCAAAAAACAAAACATCTTAAATTAAGAATATTGATTCTTTATAGGGGGGATATTATTGCATGTAGGAAGTTTTAATAGTCAGCAGGTAAGACAGAATATGGTGTCTTCTTCGATTCATTCCTCTGATGAGGAGTACTATGAAGCCAGTAATAATATCAGTACGGTTGAGAGATCTTCTATATCTTGCGAAAGTGATTCTGATCTGGAGTCTATTCCTACTGTGTCACATTTTAAGCAGCATATCTGGAAACGTAGTCAGCATATAGAAGTTGATAATATTCGGCAAAGAGATCTTGATCAAAACAAAGAAGGAATAAGAAAGATATTTAACCAAGATAAAAAACAATACATAAAGGAAAAGTTAGAAGATGGTAACTTAGTACACTCAGGTAAACTTTCTTGTGGTAGTATACATATCAAAATACATGGTTCAGGAAGTTTATTAACTTCTAACCAAGATAATTTTGTTGCGAGAATAAGAGTTCACAACCAAGAAAGGTTAGATTTTACTAAACCTTTCATCGATGTTAAGAGAAAACTTTCTGAAAAGCTTGTAATAACTGAAATTCTAAAAGATGAATTATTAAATAAAAGAAATGAAATTTATTCTAATTTTAAGAAATTCTTGCTAGATAGAAGCAATAAAACTGCAGATAATCTTGAATGTGCAGAAGATCTTTTACAATTTTCTATCATACTAGGAAAATATAAGAAACTAAAAGATTTAGATACTTCAATATTAATTAATATAGCTAACAATAACTACATCTCAACTGAATTTAAAGATGTTACTCAAGGCTTGTTAAATATAGAAACAGCTTTGCACAGGAGAAACAAGAATTTTCCTAGATTCGATGATTTTGCTAAGCCCAGCATAAAGAATTTATTAGGAGAATTACAAGAAATTTGTAACGAGTTAATAGAGTGTCACAGGAAGTCCTTACGTGATAAATATTCTTCCTATGGTTCCCAACTAGCCTATTTAATAATTTCCAATATAGATGCACTGACTGAACAACAAGCACTTCATATAAGTAACAAAGATATAAATTTATTTTCTGACCTTGCTAATGCAATGGATGAGCAACTTTTCTCAGAATTTTTAGATAATTTGCAGGATTCTTTATTTAGAAGGGTAAATGAAAGAAGAATGTACAATTCACTGAAGGATTTTGCGCCTTTAAGTCATCCTATTTATTTTTATCTTTGTAAGAGCTTTCAAGAGTTAATTTTAGAGATTAGTGGTAAAACAGATATTTCTGTTAATGATTTGCTTAAAAAAAATGAACAGGGTAAATGGGACTTGATGAAAACTATAAATTGGCCATCAACTTCCTCTCTAAACCACTCTCTTGAGCAGCAATATCGCTTCATCTTTAAGCTAATGAAACATTTTAAGCCTGGTTATTATTCTAGCGAGAAAAATTTTGAATACAAATTTAAGTTATTACAAAATTTTGATGACAAAACATTATGGCAACGTACTAAGAGCTTATTTAATAGCAGTAATGCGCCGCTATTCGTATCTCAGGACCGTTTAGTATGGGTATATATTCTTGACAACGCAATTGCTAATTTACTTTCCAAAGAAGAATTAAAGTCATTTGAACCTCTCATACAAGGCTATACGAATTTTGTTAAAAACGCAGAAAGTGATCACTATGAGTCATTTCGAATAGCAACACACAATGTTATAAGATTTATAGCACAAACAAGTCCTTATCTCTCAAAGGGGGTTTCAGAAACTATTTTAACAAAACAAATAGAATCTATTAAACAGGCATTTTCAGGTGAGCAGTCTGATAATTTTAGAGACTTAGTAGATGTGTATAATGAATATTGGAAGAATAGACAATCTATTTTAGAAAAAATTCCTGATAAATTTCCTTATGGGAAGTTCAAGGAAAACATGGAAAAAATATGTCAAACACTACTTGATATTGCAAGTACTGCACTTGATAAAAAAGCAAAATCACAAGGATTCATTAAGTACTTTAGATCGTTTAATGAATTTTTAGAAGATTTAAATGATATAGAGTTTAGTTGGTTTATTAAAAAAGATGACATTAATGGCTTTACTGAAGTAGAGTTAGTCAATGCAGATAAAGATTCATATAAAGTTTTAAATCCTGAAAATTTCATTAATAAAAATTGTCAAAAGATCCCTAATCATTACATTATTGAAATCACTCAAAATCTATTAAATAGAGTAAGTGATTTACTTAGACAAAAGAAATGGTCTGATGACGATAATTTAAGTGCGGCAAGTGAGTTACTATCAGCAATTAAGAAATCTTTTCTTTATCTCAAGGAACAACCTAATTACAGGTCTTTCTATACATTCGAACAAGAAAGTACAAAGCCGTTTACTTCTGCGGTAGAGAATAGCAGCTCTTATGAGGATTTTAAAAAACGAATTGGTATTATAGGGGAATCTTTTTGGTATTTAAGAAAACAAGATGAGATTGATATAGAAAAAGCTTTAATTCTATACAGAAAAGACAACGATAATAGCACAGAGGAGATACTAAAAACCTGTTATAACAAATACTTAGAAAAATTTAAGTTTTATATAGACGAAACTGTAAATAAGAGCTTTGAAAAAAAAATTAAATTTATTACTGAAGAAGTCAAGAAGCAGTCAAAACAAATTAAAATTAATGAATGGAACTCAAAATTCAAGAGAGAAACTCTACCAGAACTTCTTGCTGGGCTAGCTGCTGTGTGGTCCATACAAGAATCAATAGATATTGCAAGTACAGGAAAAAGCTTAAAGCCGCATTGCATTCAAATATTAAGCATTTTGCGTTTGTTAAGTGTTGATAAAGACTCTAAAGGTGTTGATAAGCATCTTGCTCAAGTCTTAACAGGGCAAGGGAAATCGCTTGTACTAGGGTTACTATCGTCACTATTAGCATTGACGGGTCATAAGGTCAGGACTGTTTGTTACAGTGAATACTTAGCAACTCGAGATCAACAAGATTTTGACAGCTTTTTTAAGAATTTTGGTATTCGTGATAAGATAACTTATGGTACATTTGAGGAGATGGCAAATGAAGTGATAATGCCTGAGGTAAATGGCAAGAAACAAGGTTTAAGAGAATTAGTTGAAGGTTGTATTTTAAATCACAGCTCGGAACAAACTGGACAGATAAAACAAGGGGATATCAATAACAGTATTTTATTAATAGACGAAGTAGACGTTTTCTTTTCTGATCAATTCTATGGGAGTACTTATGGTGCATGTAACACTATACATATTCCAGGACTAGATAGTATTCAGGAAAAAATATGGGAAATGGCCAGCAAAAGTTATGAAAAAAGTACTATTTTGATAGAGTTGGGAGAATTTATTAATAAAAAGATAGGAGAAAGAAACCAACATTTTAAAGAATTTAATAAATTTCTGTTTAAACCTAAAACATACTATCTTTTGGGAGAAAACGAAGATAATGTGGTTATTAAAAAAGAATATAAAAATAAATCCCTCTACGAAGAGCATCTCGAAAAAATGGTCAATTGTGCAATAGATGTTGCAAATGGAAGTGATAAAGATTGGTACATTAATAAGTATAAAATTAATGATGATGGAATCATAAGCTACAGAAAAGACAATGGAATTTATTCCATTTACACTTACTCTGGTTACTATAACATATTTAATTATTTTAGGTTAAAGAAAAAAGACTTTGATAGTAAAAATTACGGTTATTTGAATATAAGCTGTGGCAAAGTGTCTTATGCAAAATTGCCTAAGGAATATCCTCTTATCTTAGGAGTAAGTGGTACCTTAACTGCGTTAGATGCTTATGAGAAAAAAGCGGTAGAGGAATCTTATAACATCAGTAAGAAGTCTATAATGCCATCTTTTTTTGGTGACTCCCATTTAAACTTTGATTCGAGTCGAAATTTTATATCTCAAGATTCAGAAGAAAAATGGCTTAATAAAATTTTCAATCATACAATTTCCAATATTAGCTCAGGACGATCAGTATTAATATTTTTTGATACAGATGTTGAAATAGATAAATTTAAAAAAAAATTCCTCGGTAAATTTGATCGTTTACATACATTAACAGAAAATACGAAAGGGCTGGCCAAAGAGAAGTACATTGATGAGGCAGGCATTACAAAAACAGTAACACTAGCAACAAGAGGTATGGGTCGTGGTGTTGATTTCAAGTCTAGTGTTGCTGTAGAAAAGAGTGGCGGAGTGCATGTTATACAGACATTCTTTTCACTTGATATAAAAGAGGAAATACAGATTAAGGGAAGAACTGCACGTAAGGATAATAAGGGTAGTTATGAGTTAATACTCTGTAAAGAACATTTGATAAATGCTAGATTTCTGGAAGGAGAAGAAGCTGTTGTTAATTATGATAGCTTGAGTAAATCCAGAGAACAAAAAATAAAAACGAAAGGCTCAAATAATGAAAAGAGAATTGAAAAATCAGAAAGTAACCATAACACAACGATGGATTTTTTGGAATCTTTTTTTTCAAAAAGAATGTAGCACTAATATTGAGCAGCCATCTGTGGAACCAGCAGTAAGTAGACAATAGAATAGGTAGGAGTTTCATATGTTTATTAGGGATAATATTATAATATATAAAAATGAAAGAGTAAAGTAATGTACAAGTCTGGAAATTTCTACTGCCACTGCGCAAGACAAGAAAAGAGAGAGAGAGGACGGGAAAGTCGCGAATAAAGGGAGACTGAGCGACAGAATTCTGCGAGATACGTAAATAGGTGTGTAGAACACGAGGCAGCGAGTTGCGAGACAAAGCGTCAAATTTGAAAAGTTGTAACGTAGTTAGTCAGTCGCGAACCCCCACTCGTACATGCAGAAGGCAAAGCGTTCCGATAGCGATTCCGATGGCGACTCTGAACGATCTACTGATAGGCATCGTGCCCACGCTCTCTTGTATATTTTTGTATCCCAACTACTCTCCTCCGGCAGAGAGCGTAACGAGCGGGAGTGAGAATCTGCATACTCTGTCTATGCATCGACTCTACGCCGTGGCTCGGCCACGAGACGGGGGTGTCCGACCGCCGATAAGACACGAGTGCGAATCTGCAACGTGTCCTCGGACTAACCGGTCTCTAGCCAGGGAAGGAGGGAGTGCGAATCTGCAACCGCCCGAACTCCTTTTCCCGATCTCCTACTACCCCAACGATAAATTATAAGCGGCGACATCCGGAGCGCGCTTTGATTTCGCATCCGCTCCGCTTACATTGGCACCCGAACAGGGACCTGCGATTTAGGGAATAGCGCATGCACAAATTCGGGTGGGTGTACAATCTGAAAAAGGCCGAACTAATCAGCTTTGCAACCGAGCGAAGCCTCGACCCCACTGGGACCATCGACGAGCTGCGAGCCAGGATCGTAGGTCATCTTCGCACCAGCTACCCACCACCAAAGGCCCTGGGGCCAGACCAGCCCAGGCCCCGCTAGCGGACCTGGCGTTCCTGGACCTACTCCGCAAACGCGGAATCTACTACGACGGCGGCAAGGGTGCAGATGACTTCTTCAACCGCTTGGAGGACCTGTGGAGCATCCCCGGGCTATTGCAGGGAAGAGCCCTGACGTGGTACCACAACCATCGTGACGACTGGACCTCCTGAGAGGAGATCTTGGATATCTTCCGCCAGGAGTACCTGCCTTACCTAACGTGACTACTCCTGCCGGCCCGGGACGGGAAATGACGCACTGATCGACCCACGAAGCGCCGTCCGACCAGCCCCACCGCAGACGCCTCCAGTCGACCAGTAGAAGAAGCCGGACGGATCTACGTCGACCTCGAGGTTCAAAGATACCGAAGTCAGGCCCCCGTAGACACCGGGGCTACACGCTCCTACCTCCGGAGCGACCTAGTCGAGTACTGCCGCTATCAAGGCGACTCCTGGGACCAGGAGCCACTATCGATGTACAGCAGCTGCGCCACCAGTATGCCGTGGTACTCACGATGAGCCACGTGATGCTTCTAGGCGTCGACGTCTTGGGTCGCCTAGGGATCACAATCCGAATCGGGTTCCACCAATGGAGATGTGCCAACGGCCACTGGAGTCGTCTAGACCAGCCCGCCTTACATCCGAGCAGCAAAGGAAACTACAACGCCTACTGTACGAGGAACTCCTCCGGTTCGACCGGCTGACTTAAGAAGGGGGTCGAACCAGTGAAGCACCGCTATACGCCACGGAACCCGGCCATGCAGGCCATCATAGACGCCGAGGTCGACCGCATGCTGGCCGCCGGGATCATCGAGCCATCTCAGAGCCCGTGGAGCTCACCCGTTGTCCTGGTCCGGAAGGAAAACGGAAACTACCGTTTCTCAATTGACTTTCAGCAAGTCAACAAACGGACCGAGAAAGACGCTTTACCCGCTGCCGCAGGTACAGGCCATGTGGTAGAAGCTACGGGAGGCCAGGTTCATCTCGACCATCGACCTCGCCAACGGGTATTGGCGGGTACACTCGACCCCGAGTGTTGGTCGCTCACCGTCTTCACCGTTTCGGGCCGGGACCTCTTCCAGTTCACGGTAATGCAGTTTGGGCTGCACTCTGCACCAGCCACGTTCCAACGGCTACTAGACGAAGTCATCGGACCACGTCTGGCACCGAGGGGTTTGAGAAAACGAACTTTCTCAAGGACAATTTTAGCCGTTGGGGTAATCTCTGTGAGCACTGTGCTTAGCAACATGGCGAAAAATTAAGAACTTAAACAAATTCGTGCAGAACTTGAAAGGCAAAAACAAAGGCGTCAGGAGGAAAGAGAGAAGTATGAACAGCGAGTTCGTGAGATGGAGACGGAAATGTGGATCCAGTAGGAAATCCGGTTTTCACAACCGTCTACCGGGCAATCTAAGCCCGCGACGGGAGTCTTTTTGTCAACAGGAGCGCGGAGAGCGGACACCGGTAAATCTATGCTGTATCCCATAGGACAACGCGTCAAGAAAAGTAACAAAGCGAGCGAGAAGTCAACTGTTAGATATAGTAACACAGTCAAATGTTGCAACTGCGGCGGGATAGGGCACCTTTCCCGTGATCGTAAAAGTGAAAAGCGAGTAATAACCTGTTACCTATGTAAGCGTTCGGGACACGCAGCGTCACGATGTGCAAATTATAATCCAAGCGATACCAATAGCTCGAAACCAGCGGGTGATGAAGTAAATATGGTTAATCTAAATGAAATGAGAGATATAGTTTGTGTGCGAGATTCATATAGAGATTGCGTTGCGTCGTGTATTACTCACTGTCTCACATTATATGTACCTTTATTTTCTGTACTACAGTAATGCTTCGAAATAAGCAAGTGGTTTCTGCTTCGAAATAAGCAACTCGCTATCCCCTCTTCTTTGTTTGAAGTCGCCCGCAAAGTGAGAGGTACGAGAAATGAGTGAGAGGTCCTTGAAAGCGCGAAGCCGATGTTTAGGGTAATAAATTTCACGCTTGACTGAGCAGTGACAGCGGTTAGTAAAAGAAGGATAGAATATATATAATGCTTTCTCAGTCGGGTATATTTGCTTCGAAATAAAGCATAGTGCGAGAATGAGAGGGTATGCTATATTCTATCCTTGTTCAAAAAATAACATTGCTGCTCGGCCGATCACTTTATGATTTGCCGCTACCTCGGATCTCTCACTCGTTTCTCGCGTTCTCTATCGTCCCGTTTCGAGAACAAAGTCAAGCCGAATAGCAACCTGCTTCGAAATAAGCAACTGTTCGGTCCCGAGTCACTTGCTTATTTCGAAGCATTACTGTATATGTTTTGCCTAATGTGCTGTTCTTGTGCCATATTACTGAATGCCGCTGTACCATGTTGTATCTTATATGCATGAAGGTTCTCAATATTATTTCTATCAAACTTTGTATTAAAGGGTTAATCCCGTTTGGTAATGAAATAAATAAATAAATAAATATAGGTTCAGTCAAATTAATTGCGTTGATAGACATGGGAGCGTCAGTGAATACGATTAAAGCGTCTATAGTTGCTCGAGAAGAATTCAAAATTTATCCAGTACGAACGGTTTTAGGAGGATTTGGGCGCGGAGTAATAGATTCTTCCGGAGTGATTGAAGAAAATACAATTTTTGGTCAATTGAAACCGCGAAAGATCACATTTAGAGTGGTTCCAGACGAATCACAAAGACAAGATGTAATTTTAGGGGTATTCATCCAATTCACCGGATGCCGTGCGTCGAAAGACAATTCACCGAATGCTAATTTACCGAAAGATATGATTCATCGAATGCCAGTTCATCGAAGGGACAATTTACCGATTAGGACAATTCACCGAAAACAATTCCCCGAATTGACAGTTCATCGAAAATTGATAATACGCTTACGGTACTCATTACATTATGTAAATTGTATCTGGCCATGACTTAATTATAACCTCACCGAAATTGGGATAACCAAACTTAGCTCTTCCGGTGTATACTCCTAAGAGGTACAGGTAAATATGTAATGTCGAATTAACTTTGGTCATTGCAATTTCGGTCGCCTGAGGGATGTTTTATATTTTATTTACACCCTGTGACAGCGAGAAGGAAGGTATTAAATAAAACCATACCCGACGGAGTCTGTATGATAACTGAACTTTATTTCTTGATGCGTCTTCCTGTCGCACGGTGGTTTCTTTATGCCGACTAGGCATTCGTGGAACTTAAGTAAGGAGATACAGGATGGGCTACCGCGAGTGTCAGAGGGTATCGTCCTGATTCTAATAAGGGGCCCCCCTCACAAGCCAACCTTGCTGTAGGCAAAACAAAAACATATAACGGGAAATTAACCTTGGTCATTGTAATTTCCGTGGCCTGAGGAACGTTTTACATCCACGCTTGCTGTGATTAGGATAGTATGAATGAAGAAGCAAAAAAGAAAAGAACAATAAAAAAATAGAAACAAATTGTAGATGTAAAAAGGACGATATTAAACAAAATAAAATCAAAGCAAAGAAAGGCAAGTAAACTTGAAAACATAAAATAAGAGACGTGACAACATCGCACTTTTATACTATAGAAGTAAGCTTTTATTCAGATAAATTTTTTGCGAGTTAACTTCAACGAATGATCGTTCGAAGCAGATGGAAAACGTTAAAATCATTGGTATTTTGGGATTTTAAACAAACTTGCCAAAAATATACTTGACCGTGAAGGGAAGTGCGTATCTCTCAATGACTCGTATACAGTGGGAAATAAAAATATTCGTACCTCTTTCAAACAGAATAACATTTTTAATATTGGTTCATACGATTTAAATCATTTCAGAAATTAGAGGGATTAGTTTCCTACATGACGTATAACAAACAATTTGTTTTTAAATACAACTGATCGAAATCGCGAGTAAATAGAAATGTCTTTCTTTAACTTTTTTACCTGCATCTGCCATAAAAATTGTTATAACACAATTCGAAGTGTTATACCAATTATACACATGGTAAAAATTTCATTGAAATCGGTTAACGCTATTGTGAGCTACAAAGGCTTAAAGTCGAGGGTTAAGATTAAAAATCTTATCATTTTTATCTATGACCACATCGTGGTTTAAACAAAAAAAAAATTGAACTGATCGAATTGAGTAACCTCCTCCTTTTCAAAGTCGGTTAATAAAAACGAAAGAATAATGTAACGTATCTCGAAAGGGTCTAGACGAATAAGCATGGTAAAAGTGCCCCCAAACCAATTTGAACGGGATTCATACCATTCGAAAGGTGGTTCGAAGAAACCCCTTTCCACAGAGTTTTGATCCGTTATCTCCACTACAGGGGTGATTATGGGGTGGAAATCACTTGGAAAAGTGCTTTATCGTTAAAAAATTATTCACTCATATTTCCTAATTTTTTATTCGGAAAAAAGTCGCACATACTTTTAAAATCGATATAATTTAAATATATTTATTTACATACTTCTTTAACTATATGGTCACTATATGTAGTTTCAAATACGAGTAGTACCGGACTCCTGTCGATTAGAATTCCCACGGCTTACATTTTCCAAAAAATCTGAAAAAATTACAGATTAATAGTCGTAATGTTGTGCTATACCTGTAAAAATATTGTTGCGACGGTGAGAAGTTTCCGCTCTTTCGATGCATCGACTGCTTCTTGATGTATCGAAAGAGCCATCGACTGCTCCGTCCGAAGCTGTCAACGAATCACGATGTGAAGCTATCCCAAGTTTCGAGCGGAAACACGTCATCGGATGCTTGAGGTCTCTTAGACAACCGCGCGGCTTTTGATAATCAGTATGTTTCGGGAACCCGACCTGTACGGATCTATTGCTTAAGAACTCCTTTGTAATCGAAATATAGACAGTCTAGTTTGCTTCGTCTCTATTTATTTTACGATGGAAAGTGCTAGCTCCACTCCCCGGCGCAACATTGGCGCAGTCGGTAGGACAATTAGAACCCGGTCTTCAGCCGGGGATGAGGTTTCTCCCGAAACTTTGGAGACACTTTTCGAGGGCCTGCAAAGGAACATCTCCATGCAGTTTAGGGAGCAGCAGCGCGATTTTAATGCTCGTTGGGAAAAGGAGCGCTCTCGCGCAGAAGAGAAACAGCAAGAGGAAAGAACGGCTTCTTCAGCGATTCAGAAGGCGTTGGAAGAACGGATGGCAGCGATGGAAAGCAGTTATCAGGTTTTATCGTCCAATTTTCAACTATTTTTAGAAAAGTTTTCGGCCACGGCAGTCCGTGATGGGGATCGCGAGGCCCTTCTTGTTAATCCTTCCACTTCTGCTGGTCTCGCGATACCCCAGCCTTCACCTCCGGTCTCTCAACAGGGAGTGTCTGGTGTGTCGCGGAACGTTTCCGATTTAGGCTACGTTCTGAAACCACCAAAGTTTGAAGGTAAAACTAACTGGGAGGAGTTTAAACTCCAGTTTGAGGCGATTGCAGGGGCAAATCGTTGGGATGAGCCAAGGAAGGCCTTGGCCTTGGTTGCATCACTCGAGGGACCGGCGCGGAGTATTTTGACTTCTCTTTCCGTTGAAAAAAAACAGACTGATTTTCCCGCGTTAATTTCGGCCCTTGCGTTCCGTTATGGAACGAAAAATTTTGAGAACCTTAATTATGTGAAGTTCCAAAATTATAAGCAACGGAAAGGGGAATCTATTTCCGATCTAGCCACGGAGATTGAGAGGCTGGCACAGGCCGCTTTTTGCGAATGCCCTTTAGAAATTAGAGACAAGCTTGCCGCCTCGCAATTTGTTTCCTCACTGGCTAATGAGGAAATGAAACGGATGCTGAGGCTCGGGGGTTTCACATCTCTCAGGGCTGCTGTTATCAGGGCTCTGGAGATTGAAGCAGTCGAGTCAATGGCTAATGCATCCGATATAAAAAAAGAAACATTTTCTAAACCGTTTTATTCTTCGGAGAGGGTTTCCGGAAGGAGAGAAATGAGAAGACCGGCAAAACGGAAACTTGAAAAACAGGAGATAGAATGCTGGAATTGCAAGGAAAAGGGTCATATGTGGCGGAATTGCCCGAAATTGTGTGACTAGAAGAGAGTTGTTGGCTATTATGGCTGCTCTCTTTCAAGAATCCCGAAGGGCAGACTGCGAGGTGGATTGAACGTTTGCAAGAGTATGATTTTGAAATTAAGCATCGAGAGGGAAAGAATCACGGAAATGCAGACAGTCTTTCGAGAAGACCCTGTGAAACTGCACAATGCAAGCCTTGTACTCGTCTGGAGGAAAAGGAACAGAAAAAGGGAAATCACATCCTCAGAACGGTTTGTAAACCTGAGGATTTTGAAGAATGGATAGAAGATCAACAGAAAGACGAGGATATTGGTTTTATTTACGAAAGAAAGAGGGAAGGTCATAAACCGGACTGGCAGGAGATTTCCGCTCTTTCTTCTGGGGCAAAGTTTCTCTGGGCACTTTGGGACTCTTTGGAAATTCATCAGGATTTGTTGTTTCGAAGATGGGAGTCCGTTGATGGAAATGAAGTGGATAGACTATTGATTGTACCGAAGAGTAAAGTCGAAGAGGTTCTTCAGGAATGCCACAATGCGTCGTCTGGAGGACATTTCGGAATACGTAAGACCCTGGCCAAGGTTCGACGGCGGTTTTTCTGGCTTAATCACCGAAGAGATGTGGAAGATTGGTGTCGACGATGTCATCGTTGTACGGCGAAGAAAGGTCCTTCGGGGAAGGGAAGAGGACTCATGAAGGTCTACAACGTAGGGGCACCTTTCGAGAGGATCGCGCTCGACGTTGTTGGTCCCTTACCAAGGTCTTCTTCTGGAAACAAGTACGCGCTGGTTGTGGTGGATTATTTCACGAAGTGGCCAGAGGTGGTTCCGCTTCCGAACCAGCAAGCGACGACAATTTTCACGGCCCTGATGAGGGAGGTGATAAGTCGGCATGGAGTACCGTTGGAGCTTCATTCTGATCAGGGTCGCAGTTTTGAGTCAACTGTCTTTAAAGAGTTGATGAAGATGTTGGGGATAAAGAAAACGAGAACAACTCCCTTGCACCCTCAGTCAGATGGACTCGTAGAACGGTTGATACGGACCTTGATGCAGTATTTATCCCAATTTGTGGCGGAACATCAAAAAGATTGGGATGAGTGGATTCCGACGTTTTTATTGGCCTATCGTTCTTCTCGACATGAAATTACTCAGAATAGTCCTTCAATGCTTCTGATGGGGCGTGAGTTACGTTTGCCTTTGGATCTGCTCAGAGGAACTATTGCCTTGGATCATAAAGAAGAAACTGTTTACATCGAGGAAACCAGAAAGAAGATTGAAGAGATTCACAAATTCGTTCGTCATCGTATGCGAATTTGTGCGGAAAAGACAAAATCCTGGTATGATTCTTTTGCGAGACCAATTTCCTTTATTCCTGGGGACAAGGTGTGGTTTTACAATCCCCGAAGAACGAAGGGAAAATGTCCCAAACTCCAGTTTGATTGGGAAGGACCCTACGAAGTAATGAACCGGTTAAATGAACTAATCTATCGCATATTTCGCTCCCCAAAGTCCAAACCTAAGGTGGTTCACGTGAATCGTTTGGCCCCTTATGAACATTCACGGGGAAGTATCACCTAAGAAGGAAAGGATCTAGATTAGAAGACTGAGGAGGGTGTTTCTGACGTCTTCGTCCAAGAAGAAGGCGCTTCGTCGGACAGAGCCAGGGTGAGGTTTCTTTCAGCCACGGTAAACTTGCTGGCTACGCGTGTCTAAACGATGGAGGCAGTGTTGTTCTCCTCGGAGGAGGAGGGCTTCCCCTCAGCCGGTGTCCCGTTTATTTTTAATTTTTGTATTCGGGGTTCTGGTCATCGGACTGCGTAGTTGTGGTATGCTCCAGACCACCAGACCATCGAGGAAAGATTTTGCTTGATGGCTGGGGAGCATCCCCCGGTGGAGTGGACCCGTCGGACTGGGGATTTCTTCATCCGAGAAGACTTTGAGAGGAAGGCGTGAAGGCCCTGAGAATCAAGAGGAAGGGCGAAGAACAGTCAGGACCTCCTCGAAGAAAGAAGAAATCTAAGAAGAATTAGAAAATTTGAGCGCATTCTAAGATGACCTGTCCACACTGAACCGGCGTCTTGCTCAGGGTTTTTGAGTGGTTTTCCCCTGAGACGAAGGACAAATGTCAAGACGTTAGCTGCCTGTTGGGGCCACTTAGGTAAATGTTACGTCTTTGGTTTTTACCTCCTTTCAGGCAGAGGTATTAGAGAAGAGGTTAGCAGCCATGAGAGACTGACAGCACGAGGTTAGAGACCATAGCTTGAATTGGCTCGATGAGCGGCTTTACATGAAGATGGTCACAAGGATGAAGATGGTCGCGGTCGGGACGACCGCTTATTGAAGGAGGGGAGCAATGTTGCGACGGTGAGAAGTTTCCGCTCTTTCGATGCATCGACTGCTTCTTGATGTATCGAAAGAGCCATCGACTGCTCCGTCCGAAGCTGTCAACGAATCACGATGTGAAGCTATCCCAAGTTTCGAGCGGAAACACGTCATCGGATGCTTGAGGTCTCTTAGACAACCGCGCGGCTTTTGATAATCAGTATGTTTCGGGAACCCGACCTGTACGGATCTATTGCTTAAGAACTCCTTTGTAATCGAAATATAGACAGTCTAGTTTGCTTCGTCTCTATTTATTTTACGATGGAAAGTGCTAGCTCCACTCCCCGGCGCAACAATATGAACATGGTCACGTAAGTAATTAAGGCAATATGAAGCTTTTTCTTAATTTTTTAATCATTTTTGATTTTTTTGACTACGTTCCACCCCTTCAAAAAATCTGAAAAAATTAGAGATTACTAATTCTAATCAAAGCTTTTTACTGTATAAATATAAACGTGGTCACTTGACAACTTCGATAAAAAATCGACGATTAAAATCTTTTCGAATTTAAAAAAAATCGAATTTGCATCCAAAAATTCTGAAAAAATTTTCGGATGTGCATACCAATTGGTAGAATATCCATGATTTTTTTCATAACTTTCTATCGAGCAGAACGGGAGATATTAACGATAAACACCTGTAGTGGAGATAACGGATCAAAACTCTGTGGAAAGGGGTCTCTTCGAACCACCTATCGAATGGTATGAATACCGTTCAAATTGGTTTGGGGGCACTTCTACCATGCTTACTCGGCTAGACTCTTTTTTACATTGCTACTGCGCAAGACAAGAAGAGAAAGAGGGTGGGAAAGTCGCGAATAAAAGAAGACTGAGCGTCAGAATTCTGCGAGATACGTAGTTGTGTAGTGGTGTGTAGAACACGTGGCAGCGAACTGTGAGACAAAACGTCAAATTTGAAAAGTAAAAGGATTAGCTATTTGCGAGACCGTACAAGTTTATGTGCGCGATAGTTTATTTAAACTAGATTGTTAAAGACTGGTACAAATTATTCGGTATTTGCGTTAGTGTAATATAGTATAAGATAATATATTTAGTTTTACGTTTTGTTCATTATCAAACAGACTATTTTATTTTTCTTCTCTTTTAAGAGAAGCGAGTTTAAATTAGTGATAAGGTCAAATGAACGTTAACATGTTTAATATTAAATATCAACAGATTAGTGACAGTGGAGAAAATGTAAGCTCTTTATTGAATATTGAGCAAGCCATTGAATGTTTAAATTCTTGGGGAGATTGGACGGGAAGTGAGCAATGGCTAACAAGTACAGCGGAAGAATTAAGTAAACGGTATAGGGAGCTGAGGAAAGACATAAGAGAAAATATTAATTCACAGTATTGTGAACGCTTAGCCTACCACTATTATAACCTTGCAAGCTACTGTAATGATGAGCTATTTAATAAATATAGGGTTAATCTAGAAAGCGTAAAGAAATATCTAGAAAAATGTTTAGAGAAGCTTACTGAAGTTTCTCAAGATGGTTATTCAAATGAGATAAAAGAATTAAAGAACGATGCTGAAAAATTTTTAGCAGAAGTAAATGAAATATACACACAGCAGGAAAGTCAGCTAACACAATACAGAGCTTCTAATATGAAAAAGTATATAAAGTTATGTATTGTTTTAGGTCATATCGACCATATTCCTTTGCAACAATGTTCTGATGAAAAGAATAGACAGCAGATTCAAAATATTCAGCTGTTAAGAGTAATTAACATGCTAGAAGATGCAATTACTGTACCGGTGTATAAAAATGCTTTCGTTACTGCAGAGCAGTCTGATTATTTAGGTCAAGTGTATCAATTGGCTGGCCAATCTGCACTGGGTATGCGGTATAAGAGAACTAGTGACAATCTCAAAAAAACTGTATATTTAATGGAGCAACATAATGATAACAGACAGGAAATAAAAAATATTATCAGTAAAGAAATCACAAAATACAAAAGTGATTTAGGGCAAGTTAAAAGTTATATAGAAGAAAAGTTTCATAAATCGCTTAGCACTATCGACGACGCTTATATTGAGAAAAAATATATAAAATATTGTGCAAGGTTTTGGCTAGAAGAAACAACAAATTTTCTAAAAACACTGACTGAAAGTAAAAGCCGTACTGTTATTCAAGAAATTTTTAATTCACTAGATGATATAAAAGGTTTAAGCCAAATTCCTAAACCTTTAAATGTACTTGAATATTATACTCTTTTAATGGAGCACTATAGATTAGTTAGGAAAGAAGATGAAAAAACTTTCATAAGTCGATTTAAAAAAGAGTGCTTGGAACAAATAGTTGCCTATAGTGATTCTGCTAAAAAAGAGTTAGTGCTTCTAGAAACTTTTGTTAATTTTTTAAGTTTCTCTAAAAGTCTTCAATCAATTGTTGCTGAACTAGAATTAGAAGATTTTTATCGTGGTTATTTATCGTTTGATGAGTTGATCGATAATATTATGAAGCTTGAAGTAGATATTTATGGTGAAAATCTTACAGTTTTGCAAGAAGCAACAGAGGGCTTAAAGGAGGAAGATCTTTTTTTAATAGACAAATTTAAGGAAGTTATAGGTGCTTATATAAAACCAGTAAGAATACAAGAAAGAAGAATAGATGATCGATTGGTTGTTGAAGTGACAGGAAAGAACATTGTTGTTAGTGAAATTTTACAGCTATTAGAAAATACACTTTTAGAAAATCCAAATATAGAGGAGGTACGTTTTGTTGGTGCTGATATTATACATATTGATACAAACCTTAAGAGTAAAGTTTGGCAGGGAAGGAATGTAGTTATTTTAACAAAAGCAATAAAAGTTCATGATCAAGTAACCTGGGATGTATCTGGAAAAGATAACGATCATATTTATTCTCATAGTGCGGGTACTGGACAAGATGGTCATGGTAAGCAAGGAAAAGATGGTTATCCTGGAGAAAGTGGCGGCAATGTCTTGATTATAGCAGAGAAAATAGAAAATCCGGAAGATTTTACTATTATTTCAAATGGCGGAAGGGGCGGTAAAGGCCAGGATGGTGGTAATGGAAGAGATGGTAACAATGGAATGGGTATTACGAAGGCAGAATTTGATAAAAAGTTTCCTCCTGTTGCTGATTTTGGTTCAGGAGCGGCACAGAGACAAGATACAATAAAAAAGTTTGTTGAGAACATTAAAAATGATTCATCAACAGTAGAAACTGTGTGGTGCACAGGGGCTAATATTGCAACAATTGAAAACATTATTACAGAAATTGCAGATATTAATTCTTATAATGACACAGTATTCGAGATGGCAGATGGTGACACTTCGCTATATTTATTCAAGCATTTTGAAGAGAATATTTTTATAAAAACAGTTACAAGCCAAGGAAATGAGGTCACTTTTTCTTTTGAGCGTGGAGGTGGGCTGACAAATCGCCAGGCTTTTTTTCTCTATAAAGGGTCATTAGGACAACCTGGATGGCATGGTGGAGAATATGGTTTAGGTGGTCAAGGGGGATATGCTGGAGAGATAATAGTAAAAAATCTAGAAAATAGCAGCCAGGAGTGTGGTATTATGAAAAATACCAACCAAGGACAAGAAGGAGAAAAGGGACAGGGAGGCCTATATGGTATCCATGGGAAAAATGGTTGGGATATGGGTTATATGGATTATTGGGTTTCAGAATTTTTCACAGAAAAGTGGCCTAAATTTTTCGGTACAGATCAAAGCAGTAAATGTACACTAGAATATTATGATAATAATTCAAGTGATCGAGTATGGTGTCCATATAATAAAAAATATGCAAAAATTATATCTACCAATATTGAGCACAAGAAACAAAAAAAATATGAGGAAAGGAAGAATACTAGACAGAATAGTGCGCGACAACATCACGCACAAGCGATAAGGAAAAAAAACATTTCACAAAGTAGCATTTTAGCTAGTTATTCTCATCACCTTAGTTCTATGGAAAGAAATACATTGCAGAACTTGCGATCTGATTTAGAAAATACTAAACAACAAGCCTTACAAGCAATCACTGAAAATCAAGAACAGCAGGAAAAGCAAACTACAGAATTAGGAATTAAGCGTCATTCTCCTTACCAGAATAAAAGTAACCATTACAATGACATCTTTATTACAACATCTAGTACCACTTACAGAGAGACTATTGATGTTGAAAGTTTTATTGATAAGCTAAAAAAAGAACCATTGTTGCTAGATAATTGGTTTCAACTAATAGAACTGAGCTTATCTCAACTTGATCAGTTATTTTTAATTTTTGAAGGTCTAAAAAGTAGATATACTGAAACACAAAGCTTACAAGATAATACGGAAAATAGTAAGCTACAAGACATAGAAAAGCTTTTGATCGATAAGTATACACTTGCTACATTGCAAGAAATTGCAAAGCAATTACCACCTTACCAAGAAGTTACAGATGGTATAGAAATAACACCTAAAACTGCAGCAAGATATCTAATTGAGGCAAAAGAAAATGACAATGATGTTTCTCATCCTATTTTAGGGACTCTAAATCAATATTTTTATGAAAGGAATGAACAGCATCATAATGAAATATTTAAATTGTGTGAAGAGGAATTGCAGAACAGTAATGAAAATTGTGAAATCCTGAAACGTTCTTTGAAAACGTTTATTTTAGAAGCAGGAGAATCAGAAGGAGTACATTCCTCTATTAAAAAGTACTATAATGAACATAAAGAATTTTTAGAAAAACAAAAACCCAGTTTAAATATATCTTTTGAGGCGTTTAAGAGTGAACTATCTCAGCCAAGGCATGCAGAAGTATTTGGTTTATGGATCGAAAGTATTAAAGATCAATCTCTAAGAAGTAAGCTAGAGGAAAAAATACAAAAAGATAATATTCTGAATGATCTTTATGATCGCTTTAATAGTCAACTTAAGCAAGAATATGACTGGAATGAGTGTTGTAAAGATCAAGCTGTTCTTAAAGAACATGATAATTATATTCGAGAAAAAGGCCTATTGTCAGAAAGCTATAGGGAATTATTAGCCTACGTTTTTGGTATTAATATCAGATTATATGTTGAAGATCAAGATAATAAATTGTTTCTGCAAGGTGATCACAACCCTTCATCTAAGCAAATTATTCACATATTATGTAGAGATAATAAATTTATACAATTAAATATTGATAAAAACTACTTAAAGCTAGAAGAAGAGCACAAAAAGAAAGATGATCTTTATGCACAGATTTTTGCAGAAATTAAGCCATTGAAGCAAAAACAAGAATTTGATGATTACTTAAAGAATAAAACTTTTCTATCTAATAACAGTCCTTCAGAAGATGAGCAATCTTTTAATGAAGAGGAAGATATAGAAAAAATTGTAGAATACTTTCCTGAAGTGGAAAGGCAGCAGTTAAAAGGGCGGTTGGACAAAATTACACCTCAATATATTGGACAACAAGGAATTTTGCATAATATATTGAAGCGCTTTTCTAGTGATGGAAGGTATGTGTCTTCTCAAGAATTATATTGTTTAATAAACTCAATTCTAAGCTCCGTTATTGAAGATAAAAAAGAGTTGAATATCTTTTGTTGGATAGTGGCAGCTTATCCTCAAAAGAGTTGGATAGATGAATTGATATTGCTACAACTCGAAAATTATTTTAAAAAAACATTAACAAAAAAACCTGAATGGAGAAATTATTTATCAAAAATAGAAAATAAGGACATTTTACTGTTATTTACAATAAAGTTGGACCAATATAAATCAAGCAATCCTATTTCTACTCAATGTATTGAAGATACTCTGCATTTATTAAGTAATATTCCAAATGAGACAGTTAGTTTAGAACGACTAGAGTTATCTGAATGGCCTTATGCTTTAAAAGAAAAATACTGGACATGCAAGCTATCAAAATTAGTAGATTGGCAAAAGGGTGACTTACCAACAGCTTCTTATTATCTTTTATCTATAGAGAATATTTTTGGCATGCTTTTAGCGGAGAAATTTATAGAGGCTCTAGAAAAGAAAAAACAAGAACTGTCATCTGATACGCTTACTAACATTTTATCTAATTTTCATAATGAAAAATGGAACTTAAGTGAAGAAGAGTTAAATACCCTTAACAGTTGTAGCATTGATGAGTGGGCACAGCAAATGCAGCAGAAGTTTACTGCTAATAAAGAAGAACGGAAGATAACGCAGTTAGTTGAACTAATTAAATGTAATGCTAATACTTCGAAAGAAATTTTAAACAAATTGTCAAAAATTAAGAATTATATTGAAAGTATTGATAAGCATATAATTGCTGGAAAACCTATAGGCAGTTTTACAGAATATGACATTGAAAATTGGGTAAAAGAATTCCAAGGTAGCATTGGAGATATTAAAGAAACACACAAGGAAATACTTGCTGTAATAGATAGAGCAATAGAGTTAAAAAGAGGATTTCAGCTTCGTGATACTCAAAGATTAACTGTATTGGCGTTATTGACAAATAATCGTAGTACCCTAGCACAAGTCTCTACTGGAGAGGGAAAATCGTTAATTGTAGTAGCAGCATCAATTATGAAAGCACTTTGTGGAGGGAAAGTAGATATTATAACTAGCTCTTCTGTATTGGCAAAACGTGATGCTGAGGGTAATAGAGATATCTATAATTTGTTTAGTATTAATGTATCACATAACTGTAGTGAAGATATTGAAAACAGAAAGGAAGCATATTCAAGTAATCAGGTGGTATATGGTGATTTATCTAATTTTCAGCGCGATTATTTATTAGATAAATTTTATGGGAAAAATATTTTAGGAGATCGTAATTTTGAAAATTTAATCGTTGATGAAGTAGACAGCATGTTGCTTGATAAAGGTAATAATATGCTGTACTTATCCCACGATCTTGCAGGCTTCGATAAGCTAGAATCTGTTTACATTTATATTTGGCAGTGGATTAATAAGCCAGCTAGAAATCGTGAAGAACTTTCTTATGCTTTTGATACTAAAACAATCAAAGAAGCAGTGCTAAATGACTTATATGGCTTAATGAAAAAAGAAGATATTAGCAAACTTGGTTCTGAGTTAGGTGAACAGCAAAAAAATATTATGTGGGAACGTTTAATCAAAGCTGAGATATTAGATAATCAGGGCAAACTGTTAAAAGGAAACATTAATGATAATGAACTTAATAAAATACTTTCACCTGAATTTAATTGTTACAAAGATCGTCTTCATTACCTTTTAAACGAGTGCATTGAAAGAGAAAAATTTATACGTGTTCCCAATAATTTCAGACCGTTTATTGAACAGCATTTAGAATCTTGGATTAATAGTGCTATAACCGCGTTTTGCATGAAAGCAGGAGAGGACTATGTAGTGGATGTAGATAAAACCGGCACTAGTCCAGATCTAAATCCTAACATTACAATTCTTGATAGAGATACAGGAACAGATCAAACGAATTCTCAATGGGATGAAGCACTACATCAATTTTTACAACTGAAACATGGGTGCAAATTGTCTTTGCAGAGCTTGAAAGCTGTTTTCATTTCCAATGTTTCTTTCTTTAAACTGTACAGTAATTTATACGGACTAACAGGTACTTTAGGATCGCAAAGAGAAAGAGATTTACTACAAGAAATACATGGGGTAGACTTTGTCACTGTTCCTACAGCTAAATCTAAGCAATTTCACGAGGACAAACCTATTCTTTGTACTGGCAAAGAAGAATGGATCAATAGAATACGTAATGAGGCAAAAAAGCTAACTGAAGAAAATGAACGATCTGTTTTAATTATATGTGAAACAGTAAATGATGTAGAGATTTTATACAAAGCTTTTGGAGGAAAGAATGTAAAACATGTTTATACTTATACACGAGATTATGAAGAGTTTGATAAAGGGTTTGAAATTGTTCAAGGTAACAAAGAGTTGGGACAAGGACAGATTATTATTGCAACAAACTTAGCTGGTCGTGGAACTGACATAAAAATTACAAAAGAGTTAAGAAGTAAAGGAGGATTGCATGTTTGTTTAACTTACTTATCTAACAATATTCGAATTGAACAGCAAGCATTTGGGCGAGCAGCAAGAAGTGGAGATAAAGGTTCTGGTCAGCTGATCATTATGGACTCAAAAGGACAAGAATATAGTAACTTAAAAGTATTGGATTTAAAAAAAGGGCGCGATACTGAAGAATTACATCGTATATCAGACATTAAAGCCTACTATGAAACCCAAATTACTACGGAAGAAAACTGTTTTAAATCATTTAAAGAGCAATATGAACAGCTAGAGAAAGACCTTGATGATAAGAAAGTACCTACTGAAGTTAAAAAAATTTTATTGCAGAGTTGTTTGGACAAATGGGCTTTCTGGTTAGATGAACACAATAAATATGTAAGAGATTTGACAGATGAACAGGATAAAAAAAATCTTCACAACCTACTGGACAAATTTATCTCAAAATTAAAGAATTTAGAAACTGGGTATAGCGAAAAGTGGATCTCTTCGCCTGGCGGGCATTGCACTCTAATTATTGAATATAATAGCAAAAGCTGGTTAGCTTGGGTTGAAGGGAATCCAATTCAAATGATTAAACTTGGAAAATATCTCTCCCAAAATGAGGAATATAAAAATGCCATTGAACTGTTTGATGAAGTGATTAAAAAAGAGCTATATTTTTCTGAAGCAGCACGCTATTATAAGGCATTTGCATTAGTAAAGAAAGTTGATTGGGAAAAAGAGCCTTTAAAAGAAGAAGATGAGAAACTTTTGAAAGAATTTAAGCAAGAATTACGAGAAGCTGCAAGGCTTTTAGATGAACATAGTAAATTTGCTATCAATGCAGCAAGCATTATTGGTAAGATTAAGAAAAATAATAACGAAAGCATCCTTCAAATCGACGCTTATGAAGAACAGCAAAAGAGCTTGGCTAGCCTTTATTATATGTTTTCACGGTCTATAGATGATATTTTTGGCCATACTATTACTCCACAATCTTTTGTTAATTCTGATATTAAGGAAGAGCTGGCTGAAAGTCTATATAAGGATCTTCTTGAAAAAAATATTCTAGAAAAGCCGAGAGTAGAAGAGAACATCGCCGAAGAAGAGCTGAAAGTCATCACTTCTAGTTATGGAGTATCAGATAAAGAATTAAAAGGTTTTCTTTCCAAGTATAAAGGAAAAGAAATTAATGAAAGAGAGTTTCAAAAATCATTGACGAAAGACATAAAGCTACCTGACCGAAAAGCATTTTGGAAATTGCTTATTCAAGGAGAAGTTCTAAGTGATGAAGTTAAGTGTGTTGTAGTTAATAATGGAAAACTGAAAGAAATAGATCCTTCATTGTTGGACGATCTGACTGGAAAAATAAACCAAAGAGAGTTAGAAAAGCAAACTCTAGAGATCAGTAATGAACAGATTCTTTTAAACACAGAATGGGTTACGCAACAAAAAAATAACGGTAATATTTTAAAAAAAGATGACTTTATAACGATTGTAGGCAAAGGCAAATATAAAGCATTGAAAGAGAGAGGGGTACTTTCATTTAACAGAAAAGCGCATATAGACCCAAGTAAAATTGAATCTATGACTTTTCCTTGTTACGATTCTATTACACTGGAAGATTTTACTAAAGCAAATATCACTAAAAGTGAAGCTGAAAAAATTTTAGCAGAACTAATTAAACAAAATGTCGTTGAAAAGAAAGATAACTCAAAAAATAGTGCTTATGGATTAAAAATTAAATTTGATGAATTGCAACAAGGTCAGCTTTCTTTCTGTTCAGTTTATGAGAATGTTGTAAAAGGACTATTATCTACATGTTTTATCTATAGAATAGCACTTCAAAGAATTGTTAAACATCTGAAAGAAAAAAACTTTCCTGTTCGTCTGCAATTAATAAACAAACCACATCAAAACCTAGCCTCTGAATTATTGGAGCAAAAAGTCATCAGACCTGTTACTGTGACAACTGAAGATGAAGATTTAGAAGATAAGTTAAAGGGCATATATAGTCGCACAATAACTAAAGTTAATTTTAAATGTATACTTTCTCAAAGTAAACTCATTCCAGAAGAGTGTATAGAAGAGCTTTTTGATTTTTTGGTTGAGAAAGGGTGGATTATCAAGTACGAACCAACACAGTCTATACGAGATGAGGGTATTACAGCTATTGGCAAGGAAGATATTAAAAATGCTGGTAAATCTTTAGTACAAGATCTTTATTATATTAATAGTCCTGACAAAAGACAAAAACCTTTAAGCTTTTCTTCTAAAGATCTGCAAAGTATTGATAAAACTGTAGAAAAAATTTTAGACAATCAATTACAACTAGCGAAAAAAGATACAATTCAAAATATTGTCAACACCTTGAAAAGATCAAGAAGTTTATTAAAAACTTTAAAAATTCCTGATGGTAAGCTAAAACCTATCACTGAGCCTTGTGAATTTGCAAATATACAAGAAGTGTATGTTTTTTCTCTCAATGGGTTAGATCAACTTCTACAGTTAGAAGAAATGAAATGGACACAAGAAATGCTTTTTAACACTGCAATAGTAACTGCTATGGGAGTATGCCAAATAGTTATAGGTACTGCTATAGAGTTATACTCAGTGGGTATGATGACTCATGTTGGTGCTGCATTTGTTAATGAAGGTGTAAATGACCTCTTTTATGCTGCTGGTGCTTTAAAGTCCGGTTATTTTAGCTGGAAAGATTATAAACAGCAAAAGCTTCAGAGTTTAATGGTTACAGCTGTTACTGTTGGTGTAGGAGCTTACCTTTCAAGAGGTGCTAAGGTATCACGTTTTGGCCATAAACTAGCCGGACCTAATTTTGAATTTGGTAAGAAAGTAGCAGAAATGTCCGGAACTCAGCTGATTGAAACAGTAGGTAGTAAGGTAGTAAACGGAGTAGTTAAAACGAGCTTAGCATCAGGTTGGAAAATAGTAGGAAAAGAAGTTGCAAAGCGTATTATATTAAAAACTATAGAAGGGGTAGCGTTTGGCTTAGCTAATGCAGGAATTGATAGACTCGTTGAAAATTACCTTCAAGCATTATGTGAAGGCATAGCCTCTGATATTTTGTCAGATATTGAACGCGAAGTAGAAGAACATAATATCTCTATAAATTTAAAAGAAGCCTATAAGGTATTAGGAAGAGAAAACGCAAAAAAACTTATAGATGACTTAACTAGAAGTGTCTTTACTAGGCAAAGTTATGTGGAAGAGTTTTTGCCTATTGCCAGCAAGATAGTTAGTAGTGTAACTCAAGGAATTGGGGAAGCTATTAAGAAAAGAAGCAAAACAAGTAACAAATTGGAATTACCTATTTCTGCTATTAGTAAGGTAGTGGTTTGGTTAGAACGTTCCGCTCAGATTGCCAATATAACAATGATTACTAATAATCTTTTAAATAACTTAGATCAGGAAATAAAAGGTAGACTAAATAAGCTTGAAAAAGACGTAGAACGTAATCAAAAACAAGAAGTGGAGAAAAATTATGAGAGCTTTAAAAAAGAAGTAATTGATCAGTGGAAATCATTGCTTCGCGAAAAAGCTGGGCAAATTATAGCACGGCATATTGTGAGCCCTGTCCTTAAAGAAAACGCTAATCATCTGGTTAGATATGCTGGAAAAAAAGTGCAAGAAGCATATCAGTCTTACAAAGAAAGTGGGTATTTTAAGTGCTTTGAAGAATTGAAACAGGAGTATAAGGAAAAACTACAAAATGAACAACAATGTGACAATACATCTAAAACAAAAAACCGTATTACGAAAAAATATCATAAAGATTTGCAAAAGTTGATGATCAAAACTAGAAATCCTGACTTATTCGCAGCTATAATCAAAGAAAACATTCCAATGGATATGGTATGTGTTAGTGCGTGTGCTCAAGTAGTACAAACGATACTAAAAGAGCAAGGAGTTGTAATTCCAGGACTAACCGTTATTGTCGAAGGAGATGGTGGTATAAGACAGGAGTTTTCCTCTATGTCTGAAGGAGCAGAAAGGACAATTATTAAATTTGGGCTCAAAGATAACCATTTTACATTTTGTGGAAGCAACACATCAGAAAACAATAGAAGTAGTGAATCAAAAAATAATTGCTTATGTGAAGCTTTTTTAGAAGCTATACCTGGATTAAAAGATATAATATCACCAGAAGAATTAAGAACTAAGGCAGCTCATTTTATTAAACATGATAATGAAATACGGCACCACATTCAGCAAGGCTGGCACCGACTTCCTACATCTCTTGGTGCGTTTGGTGGTAAGCGTTCCATTCCTGTACCTACTAGCAGACTAAATGAACAAGCAGAAAATCAATCGCCATATCAACATTCTAATTCCAGAGGGGAATGGAAATTTGATAAAAATAAAGACATAGATTTACGGGAAAATAGGGTGTTAACAAATAAGGAATCTCATCTACAACTTACTAAAGGTTATAATGAAGCTCTTAATAAAATTAACCAAGCACTTTCTAGTGTTAACAAAAAACCTATATCTGTTGATCCCTCAAGTTTTAAGGCAACAAAGTATGATGCAATACTATGTAATAGTGGCGAATTCGGTAAAATAGGCATAGCACTATATCCAGTAGAGATGGAAGCTACAGTTGAAGTATGGGTTCGAGATATTAATGAAAACGTGAAATATAAATTAAGAATTGACCTTGATAACCCTATAATTGAATCAAATTTACAGGGACCACATGGTCCTCATATTGGGTATGAGGTTATTCCCCATAATAAACAAGCCCCTAAAGGAATTACTGGACATATACTTATAAATCAAGTGGAAAATGAAAGACTTCCTGATCGGGGACGTAGTCAATATACTGACAATAGTAAAAAACCTAAGATACCTACAACAAGATTATTTTTTCCACCCAATAGGCCTAACACCTATCTAGAAAGAGATGAAACAGGAAATGAAGGAGCTGATAGCAGAGGTCGTTCATACCCAACCACAGATTTTTGAGATACAAATTTAACCCTTATGTGCACAACCAACTTCACCAACGTTGTTACACGACAGGGGTACCCAGGTATCCACCTCTCTTTATTTTAGTTTTTTAAATATTCCTCCAAATGAAATCATTTTCTTAACATTTATTTAAATAAATAAAGATGTATGATGAGTGTCCGAGGCAATATCAAATGAAAATAGACCTCTTAACAGCTCGTACAAAGGTAGGAGAAAGCAGGACCTTAAAGGTCGGCGCGCGGCTCCGAATAAATCAAGAGAAGTATGTATACTTACTGTGTTTGGATTCCATGAAAACATAACGCTGTGCTCATACATACTGAAGAAAAGTAAAGCAGTAATTCTGTTATCAACAATGCATGCCGATATGGCTGTGAATAATGATACTAAAGCCCCACAACTTATTATAATAAATATAAAACTGGCGTCGACACAATGGACCAAATGATTAGTAGTTATACAACAAAACATCGCACTCTGAGATGGCCGCTAGTTATGTTTTTTAACATGTTAGACATCAGCTCACTTGCTTCCTATTAGATATATTATGAAAAAAAAAAAAAAAGGGATCGAATTGAGTATCCTCTTCCTTTTCGAAGTCGGATAATAATAAGATGCTTCCAAGAAAAACTAATCAGCGCAGGCTATTTATGCGCCATTTGAGCGAAGAACTTGCAAAGCCAATGATCGAGAATCGCAGTCAAAACCTGTAAGTGATGAGACATTACAACACGAAGATTGCTGTTGAAAGTGTGATCGGACGGCCAGTAAATCCTGTGAAAGCTACTCCACAGGTCCTTCAGTACAACGAGATCCATCAGGAAGAAAAAAGTTACTGGTTCTTGTCATATCATACTTATACTTACTTACTATTATATAAAGAGACAGCGTTTGTTTGTATGTACAGAAAAATTTCAAAAACTACTTATCCGATTGATACCAAATTTTAACAGTGGCTTCCTTGCCTTCTCTGGAGTGACATAGGCTATATTATTTTAATAAAAATGATATTACATCTCAACACTCTAAGCCTATGCCCGCTACTCCCTAACTACCGCTCCCAAACGTTAGGTGACTGCACGTTCGTGGCTATCCAAAAGAGAACTCGCAAAGTTTGCATGATATCCCTACTCCTTACTAATATATAAAAGTGAAAATGCTGATCGTTTGTTCCTCTTTCACGTTTAAACGGCTAAACGGAATTTAATGAAATCTATATATAAATAAATGAATGTTTCTTTGTTTGTCCCGTATGCGTTCCTACACCATTCATCCGATTGCGATGAAACTTTGGTGAGTTGTTGTGCAAACGCCCGCGAAGGTTTCTGGGCGTGTACAGTAAATTCTGGATATATGCAAGAGAAATTGGGACCCAAACATTGCATTACTTCAAATTCTCGAAGTTTTTATTTATGAGAGCGGGCGAAGCCGCAACGGGGATGCTAGTATGTTATAAACAGGCAATTAAGAAGAAAAGGAAAATACGAAAGGCCTGTGTCCATTGTGATAAGCCTGTCTGCAATTAGCATTCATTAACATTTGTAAAATGTGAAGAATGTAATATATAAATACTGTTTTATATTAATTTTCATGAATTTCACTATAGGGTCATAGGTTAGACCCTCCGCCGAGATGGGCGGGATTCCGGCGCAGTTCGTCGGAGGTCCCAGGGCCCTCCCTATAGCCCCAGTGCAGGCCACCGTGGAGGTTTTAGTGGGTAGAAATCCCACACTACCTCCGGCCCCTCCCCAGGGGGGCTAGGGGTGTCTTGTTGAAGATTTCCTCCACGTAAAAAAAAAAAAAAAAAAAAAAAAAAAGTACATAAATAGCGAATGATCAGTAAGGAAGGATACCATGGAATAATTGCTGCAATTTGGAGACCCGCCCTACCTCATCCCATCCACCCTCCATTTATGCAAATTTTTACTTTCATTCAATAATGAATTCCTCTCGAAAATTGTTATAAGAAAAATATGTGTTAGTCAACGTAGCGAATTTCTATCAAATGAAAAGCAGAAATTATGTGTTCTGTAGACAAGAGCGAGATCTGGCGCCTGACCAGAGTCATGAATAAAGTCATGGCCTTTCCAATGTACAATGTCTCTGCTTGAAATATCTTCGCCAGGGTTGATTTCTTTCTACCATTGCGTATCAAACAACTTCGTTCTTTCTAAATTCCATATTTTGTGATTTTCTTTTTATTTTATTTTTAACCGACTTCGAAAAGAAGGAGGTAATTAGTTATTTGTAATTAGTCAAAAATCATACAAGTTCCATTTTCAGGAACTATAAAATTACTATAGTTATACGTTCTATATGGTAATATTGCAATCCCGAAAATACTTTTTTGAATTTAAACTATTGTTTCCCAATTAAAAAATATATAAATCTTTTTATAGTAGCTCTTAGCTTGATATCGCTTTCTAAAAGTTATCTTTAGAAAACGACATCAATTACCACGTCGCACCACGTGGAGGTGGCTACGTTAGTGACCCACCCTAAAATCATAAGAACGTGAAACCATTCAAAACAGACAACATAAAATAAAAATTTAAACAATACAATCTTGAAATAGAAAATAAAATTAACATCCTAATATCAGAAACAATTGAGAAAATAACAATTCAACAATAAAATGCTGAAATAGAAAATAAAATTAACATCCTAATATCAGAAACAATTGAGAAAATAACAATTCAACAATAAAATGCTGAAATAGAAAATATAATTAACATCATAATTTCTGTAACAATTAACAAAATAACAATTCAACAATAAAATGCTGAAATAGAAAATATAATTAACATCATAATTTCAGTAACAATTAAAAACTAATTCAACAATAAAATGCTGAAATAGAAAATATAATTAACATCATAATTTCGATTACAATTGAAATGAAAAATGCCGACAACAGAAAATATAATTACCATTACAATCTCAGAGTATGTTTTAAATAAATAGAACATAATTAAAATAAGAACATGAAATATAATTGATGTGCAAATCAATAAGAAAAGAATAATTTATTTCAATAAAGCAATAAACGAAAAAGAAATAGGGGAAATAAAATCGCGAGTTGACCATTCAACGAGCTGGGTATTGAACTCGTAAAATTTCGAGTTCAATACGTCCTGGACGGTATTATTCATACCGTTCAAGGAAAAACACAAAAAATGAAAAAACAAATTAGCGAGCGTAGTGACAGAATGACTGTCCATCCAAAGATGGAGAGCCATTAGTAGTTCCCCTCTTCTGGGCAAATTTTGCCGGGGCTCTTCAGCATATAGCCTCTTCTTTCTTCGGCAATAGCCCCACAAAAATCACTCGCGAAAATTTTACGTTTGCTCAGACATTTGTAAAAACGTAACACGTAAACAAGCAACGATCCCTTGAATCACTACTCGCATACCTGCACAATTTCTGCAAATGTCCAAGCACAAAACACTTTTTAATTTCACTTCACTGCACTTTCACTTTAATACTTCATTTTTGTAATCGGGTCTAGTACCACGACTACGACCTACAAACTAATAAGGCTTGACCTTGAAAAAATCAAGAGAGAATGCTAAATTAATTAATTGATAAATTAATTAAATTGCATTTTCATCTTTTCTCTTGATTTTTGGTTTCCCAACCCCAGATACAAGCTTCTCACGTATTAGAGGAGAATACGAAGAGAAACATGAAAGCTTGCTCTGGCCCTGCCTACTTATAAACTAAACTCAATCACACCAGAAGTAAACTACCTGCCTGCCTATCGCTATATTTAAAAAAGGGCAAAAATCATTCTCACAAAAATTCACTCCATGGTTTTCATACAACCACCCGGGTGCAAAAATGCCTACACCTAGGGAGAACGTCCCGGGACGCCTCCGACACCCGAGTTCAATTCAACTTTCACACTCTAATAAAATCATACCTTTTTGCTGAAATCGACTGACAAATAATAGTGAACATTATGCTAAAGTAATACATTTCATTTTCGTATTCTATTGAATTATCTAATGTAAAAATTTTTCAATTTATTCTTGATAAGTATTTTGTAATGTTATAGTAAGTTAAGATTGTTAATAAACGATACAAATCCCACATCCTAACCACACACACACATGTGGAACTTCTATCGTGGTTCACTATTGGTTCACTACTTTTGTCAGTCGCCAAAATGTATTACACTTAAAACTAAACCTTGTCCATCGCCCTCCACCCACGCGAGTACATCTAAGTACCCGAATGAGCTTTGGGCATAAAAATGAACAAGGCCAAAGGTATTTTCACCTACCAGTTTTCTTCATGTGTGCTGAAATGCCTAAGCTAAAACGTATGATTAGCAAAAACTAAAGATGATATTCTCACTTTATTAAAAGTAAGAATATCGGCGAAATTTCACGGCTCCGATTTAGTATATGGGCTGGCCCCCCCCCAGGGGGATTTATTTTTAGTAAAAGTGACTCGACTTTGCAAATATAAAGCTTGAAGAGCAAATACAGAAAAGCAAAATTGAGCAACTATGACATAAAACATGGTGCACTGCTAATATCAGTTGGCAACGGAGGTTCTTAGGCCCCCTGGACTTGCGCTCGACGCTACATACCACTCACCCCGCCTGGACGTCGTAACGCCAGGACAGGATGCACCCCTTCGTTAAGAGCGCTACCCGCCCGTCCAACACGTTGCATCCAACGTGTCCGAGTGGTGGACGCTCATAGTATAGGCAAAAGGACTTTAAGACAGCTTAGCGTATGGGCTGCAACATACTTAAATGTTCCGTACTCTATGGCTGTGCCTGCAAAGGCCTAGTAATGCATGGTTTTATCTCCCATGAGGTGGTGTTCACGGTCTTATGCCGCGGAATCCTTGTAACTAATTTTATCAAATAAAAACCAAAAGGATTCCCACCGAATACTAGTCAGTGTATAGTCATATTTACTCTCGCGCCGGATTGTTAGATTGACCCATAGCTCGTCTGTTGGCTCGTCAAAAAAACGGTATCCCCACTGGCCAAAGCACTCATCTGAAATCATAAAAATCACGATTCTTGAACGATATATGTTTTCTCTCAATTTGTTGTAGTTAATATGCTAATACATAGGATAATTCAAAAATATGCATGCAAAACTATATGGGAATAACTACACCATAAAACACGGTAAAACACATGCAAATACATCCCAAAACACTCGAAGATCAAAACCATAGAACACTATAAAATATTTGCAAAATTATAGTAAAATACATAGGGTACCAATCCATAAAATCTACTAATAAATCCGTATAAATATGCCAAAATACAAAGGGTACTACTCCATAAAACCCACTAATAAATCCGTATAAATATGCCAAAACACATAGGGTACCACTTCATAAAACCCACTAATAAATCCATAAATATATGCCAAAGCACAAAGGAAACCACACCATAAAACACAATAAAGCACATGCAGGTACTGTACGCGTCTGCTAAGTTGAGACTCCTAAGGAATTGGGTCTGATTGGTCGGAGATAGATGGGCCAGACTTACACACGCACACTTATACAGTTGACCCACACGCATTCTCGCTATTCGCTCTCTAGGTTACAACTACTAGTAGAAACTACTACTACTACTACTAGACGAGGGTTCGAGGTGAGGATTAGGCGGAGCGTTTCACACCTCGAGTCTCAACTTAGTAGATGCTTACAATACATGGGGTACCACACCACACAGCACACTAATGCACTTGTATAAAAATGTCAGAACACATGGGTGACCACACCATAAGTCGCACTAATATATCCGTATAAATATTCCAAAACATGGGAAACACTATAGGAAACACCATAGGCACACACAGTAACACTTGTGGTAACACACTGACCCGTACCGGTATATGTTTGACAGCTCGACCCATATCCTTCGGCGGTCGCGATAAGACTGATTAGATTTGACCTCTCTACAGGTCGCGCTTGTACCGGCGCACGGCGCGCCCAATCAAGCATGATGTTCCGCTTCACCGGTTGCGGGCCTGTTACATTTAACTGTTTCTATCTGATATTTGTTAATATTTGTTTAATTATTATTTTATATTTTACAATTGTTTATTAATCAAATTATTGTTATATCTATTTAAATTGTTTATTTCTTTACATTTCCGCGTGGGTATACTGCAAAATTTTGTTTAATTATTCTATTAAAAATTATTTAATTATTATTTTTAATTTTACAATTGTTTATTAATCAAACGAACGAACTGCGCCCTACAGAATGAACGAGAAACTAAATTTCTGGTCTGTTTTACCTTGTTGTCGTCTTTCACGAGTGAAAAATCAACGAAATCGTAGTTTTCACTTTTTGTCTAAACGAAAGCTTGTACACCATCCCCTGAGTGCTCGTTTTGCTCTATCTGACCCAAAGAATGGCGCTCTGGTCTCTATTTGGACATTCGTGGTTAATCTTTACCAAAAGGTGGGACGCAAATTCGGATGGGTCATACGTCATTGGAAAGCCCTTGACGAGAAGAACACAATGGTGTGGGTGGGAGGTCTTAAATATGTGACCTTGACCCGGTAGAGGTCAAATATATATATTGAGTTTACTCAAAAGCTCGACGTTAAATCCGGATGGGTCATATGTCATTGGAAAGCTCTTGACGAGAAGAACACAACGGTGTGGATGGGAAATCTTAAATATCAGACCTTGACCCGGTAGAGGTCAAAAACTAAAATGCCCCAAAACATATAAATTCTTTAACATATTTTTTTCTTATTTAACGAGGAGAAATCTTCGAAAAAGACACCCCCAGAAGGGGGGTAGTGCCGGATTTCTACCGGCTAAAATTCCTCGGCAGCCCTCCATCTAGCAAACTAGAGAAGGTACCGCGACCACTATAAAACCTAAGCTAATCCTAACCTAACCTAAATATGGCGGTGACGGCGCTGTATCTGCGGTGGTTTGCACGTTACACAGCAACATTCGCTTGGACGTTGGATACGAGTTTTGTACCCAAGGTGGCTAGGATACACCTTGCGAATGTCGTTTATGAACCGTGCAAACTGTTGGGCAAACGATGTAATATGCCGCACAATGTTACGCCGATACAAAAATTCGTCGATGTATAGAGGCACTCGCTGGATGCTGCGGCAGGTTCGGAGGTGTTTCTTTAATTCCCGCCACTGCCGTTCAATAGAATTTGTATGAACAGCTATTTCCCGGACTAAAGTGGCGTCTGTGACCTCCCGTCCAAGACTTTCATGAAGCCCTCTAACTTGCACCGTTCCCTCAACAAATCTATGACGATGATTAACGGTAGAGTGTCCTTTCATGTTAAGGCGCCTGTCACAGCCACGATAGGACCGGTGCTCATCAGAAATGATCCATGATTGAGCTTGCACTCGTGTTGCAATAATCGGATCCAGACTACTTCGCCTCTTATCTTGGATCTTTTTGACCCACATATCACCTGTTAAGCGACTGAAAGCACCAAAAACCCATACCTCCTCGCGATTCATGCGGAGTATCCTGCCGCGGCCGTACTTTCTAGTAAATAGATGACTTTCGTCCACCTCAACGACGTCTTGATTTCCACCAATTGGACGGTAATCATGGTCTTAGACGACATCCATGACCTCTCGAAAGAAATTAAACCAATCAACGCAACTTTTCTCCGTGAGGCCAGTGGAGGAGGATGCGTACGTTAGACGATCTTATACGAAAAAATGAGAAAGTAGACGCGCTACTGCCAAGGGGCAAATGTGCGCATTATGAAAAAGAGTGTGCTGTTTAGTAGACCTAACCCAGCACACCCTAGTACACACCCACCTGAACCCAGTACCATTTTCACCAGTACGATCCTCTCTCCTTTCTGCCTTCATCTTTCGGCCACAGGAGCACTTTCGCTCATCTGGAATGATTCCCCACGCAAGAAAAGCGATCCATGCTTGATCGGGCGTGCCATAAGTCCAAACACTTAGCTGCCCCTGGAGAAGCATACGGTTTACACTAACTATTTACACTAATTAAGTACACTAACTATTTTATCTAAACTATAGTAACTAAACTTAAAAAACTAACTATAAGCACGTGGGTGATTGGACAATCAGAAATTTACTCGTACGCACGTGTTATCACAACGATTACTCGACGAAGAAGAAGGAAGCAACCGCGATCGTAATCTACCTGGATTTCGATTAACAAAAGGTAGGAATGCGCAATAACGTTAATTACCCGCATCGTGCATCCTTTTTTATCATAATCCAGCGTCAGGAGGGGGTCTATCTGGACGAAAACCTCTCGCACAACAAAATTAACATAATTTTAGTTTTTGACCTCTAGCGGGTCAAGGTCACATATTTAAGACCTCCCACCCACACCATTGTGTTGCTCTCGTCAAGGGCTTTCCAATGACATATGACCCATCCGGATTTAACGTCGAGCTTTTGAGTAAACTCAATATATATATATGACCTCTACCGGGTCAAGGTCATATTTAAGACCTCCCACCCACACCATTGTGTTCCTCTCGTCAAGGGCTTTCCAATGACATATGACCCATCCGAATTTGCGTCCCACCTTTTGGTAAAGTCTAACCACATTCGTTTCGCAAAAATGTTTATATTACGAATAAATTATTGCAGGTGAGTCCGATCCGCCATTTTCTTGACTGTAGACAGACACCAATTTCAATATTTTATAACTTTTTGACGATTTGGGTAAAATGAGGACCAGAGCGCCATTCTTTAGGGTCTTCTGAACACGTCCCTCAAATTTTGTTGCATTCTGTTTAGAAATGACGACGTAATTCGAAAACTCGCGTCTAGGGATTTAGAACGTAGAACACAAATTACGTCGTCATTACTGAACAGAATGCAACAAAATTTGATGGACGTGTTCAGGAGGCCTTAAAGAATGGCGCGCTGGTCCTTATATTATCCAAATCGTCAAAATATCGTATTGTATACTTTGGCGGTGACATACATAATATAGCTATCGTAGCATCCGTGTGTCATTTAGGTGTATGCGAAGAGTAACGTAGAATAGCATGCCGTTAGTCGGATGCAATAACTGAGGTAGCGCTGAAATCAGTTTCTGTTCGGCCTAATTTTCGATGAAACGTTGACTGTTTTACCGACGCGGAATTCGAAGTTCGGCCTCGACGCTCGCATCGCCTTAAAGCACCGAAATATAGGAAAGAAGATAGAAAAATACATAAGATATTAATGGTATTTAATAAATTTTCAGCTTACGCATTTCTGAAGACAATGTGGAAACGATGTCAGAAGTCATGACTCCGGTCTTCTCTTCAACTTTGTCTTCTGTTTTTTATAGTTTTGATACCTAATACACAATTCAATATAATATTTTAAGTGCCGAGGGCGCTTCACATACACAAGCTGCGAATGATCGCGCGGTTGAGCGCAGAAAACGAATGACTGCGCCCTACAGAAAAAATGAGGAACTAAATTTGTGGTCTGTTTTACCTTTTTGACGTCTTTTGTGACAGAAAAATGAACGAAATCGTAGTTCCCAAATTTCTTCTAACTGGAGGCTTGTACATCATCTCCTGGGTGCTCGTTTTGTTCTATCCGACTCAAAGAATGTTAGTCTGGTACCGATTTGGACATACGATTCGCAGAAATGTTTATATAACGAATAAATTAATGGAGGTGAGTCCGATCCGCCATTTTCCTGACCGTCGACAGACATCAATTCCAATATTTTATAATTTTTTGATGATTGGGTAATATAAAGACCGGACTAACATTCTTTAGGGACTCCTGCACACGTCCCTTAAATTTCTTTGCAATCTGTTCGGTAGGAACGAAAAAAGGTAAGAAGTGGTTTCTGAGGATTTTTGTAGGGACTGTCGGTAAAGTTTTCTTGAAATCGAAAACTCTGCAGATTGCGGACAGTTGGTATTACAGAAACACACGTTAAATAGTGATATCAGTTCCTGCAATCCCCAAATATTTTATTCCAAATTTTCTTCATATGTAACCTCAACTTTTGGTTAATAGTTTAATAAACAATAAAATTATTTCTCTTAAGAATTACAAAAGTTTGACGTAATTAATATTCTACGATTTAGAAAAAATAGAAAAGGAAAACAAAGTATATAAATATCTTTTCAATTCAATTGTATACATTAACCTACAAGAAAGACTTACTTTATAGAAAATTATCGTGTGATTTTATCTATATCTTTACAATATTGTGAAAAGAAATATACATTACGTTTTTCATCGTAAGATCACGTGAATTAGAATTTTAAACGAATAATAGAATCGTAGTGTATAGAATTTTATAAACGTTTCTGAGTGTTTAATTTGTTATTGTTTTCAGGGTATAAATGTGATAGATGAGAGTACGACAGTTTCTCGCTGGTATCCTTCTAGGCATTCCTATTGGGATCACCTTCCTTGATACAATTGGTTACGTAGCTAAAGTAGAAGGAGTTTCTATGCAACCAACTTTAAATCCAGATGAGAACAAACCTGATTACGTTTTTCTAAATCGTCGCGCAATTCGTACACAAGATATTCAGCGTGGTGAGATAGTTACTGTTAAATCTCCAAAGTCTCCGAATCAAATTTTGATCAAGCGTGTAGTAGGTCTTTCTGGAGACATCGTACAAACCCATGGATATAAAACAACAATTCTCAAGGTACTTTAATCATTTTAACTTATCAATTTTTACCTGTACTATTCAATAGATTATAATATATTTATTTATTAGATTCCAGAAGGTCACTGTTGGGTAGAAGGAGATCATATTGGTCGGTCTATGGATTCTAATACCTTCGGACCAATTTCTACCGCATTGATAACTGCTAAAGCTACTTCTATAGTATGGCCACCTAGCCGTTGGCAATACCTTCATCCCTCTATGTCGAATCATAATTTTCCATTGAATTCAGTAAAGGTACCAGGTGGTTAAATATAAATGTAAAGAAAATGAGGGCTGTCAGTTTTGTGAAAAGACTACAGTGGGATTTACCTGGTACTGTGTGTAGACATGGATTAACAATAGGAGATGTTGATAACGATGGAGATAACGAATTAGTCGTTGGTACTGCAGAGGGAGAACTTTATATTTTCAAAGTAAATCACTGATTTTCTAATAGTTTATTTAATTCTTGTATATACTTAAAGTATTTCTCATCGTATTATAGGGATCAGAGTTATGGCAAAAAATACCTGGTCTAGGTCTAGTAACTAGTGTAGCAATAGGAGATATTTTTAATTATGGGCGAAACGCGTTAGTTGTAATTTGTGGAGATGGCTGGGCACATATTTTTTACAGTCCAAGATCTGTTAATCCTAGTATCAGTAATGCAGCCTCTACGCTACAGTCGACTAAGGAAACTATTGATCAAGATAATATTAAGAGTAGTAAGTTCAAAAATCCTACTGCCTATAATTAAGAATTTTCGAAATAAGCTTTACGACTGTGAATATCGTGGTAGGTGTTAATACGACCAGTTCCCCAAGTTCAGATCAAATTGATGGCACTAATGAAATCGGTGAGCTGTCTGGAAAAATGGAATGTGTGCACGTACAAAGAATTCCAACAAATACAAAAGTGGTTTTAGTAGCAGACGTGGATAAAGATGGTGCTAATGAGATGATACTTGGTTTAACCGATCGCGTAGTTAGGTCTTACAGATGGTCCAGCAATTTAGAATTAGGAAGAGGAAAGTTAGTTGGACTGAATAAATGGGAATGCGCCAATCAAATAGGAACAGTCACATTGCAGGTACAGTTGACTTATGAGAGGAACTACCCAATTGTTACGCTCACTTATTAATGAAACTTTTCCACCTTGTAGAGCTCGTCGAGCTGAACACGCCTATACCCCATTTTGGGGGCAGACGGCTAATCGGTTAAAAGATATTAACAATTAAAGTTAGTTACTTCTTACATTGAGAAGTATGACAAACTCACACATACAAACGGTTAGCTCCGCGGTTAAACACATGATTCGCAATCTAAAGGTCAACGGTTCACATCTTTGGTTCCCAACATTTTTTTTTTTTTTTTAATAATTTACCTCCTCTTGAATAACTATACAGCTATAAAAATTGCAGCGTATGTAATTAATTATTAATAAATGCAATGATTTTGAATAGTTATTCAAAAAGAGACAAATTATCATTAAAAAAAAAAATGTTGGGAAAGAAGGATTTGAACTATGGATCTTTAGATTGCGAGTCATGTGTTTAACACGTAGAGCTAACTATTTATATGTGTGAGTTTGTCATACTTCTCAATGTAAGGAGTAACTAACTTTAATTGTTAATATCGTTTAAACATAATAAACAATGTTAAAATAAAAAATACTAACCTATAAAAATCGAAATAAATTAAAAAAGAAAATTTTATTCTATTATAATAATAAATTAATCACTCTGAAACAACTACATCCGTTTTTATTCAGCATATGGCTGATGGAACACCAACGTTATTAGTTGCTCAACCGGGTGGAACGTTCATGCGAATTAAGTGCAACCCCGAGGATTATCACTTGGAAGACGAAGTTCATCAAACAAATAACGAAACAGCAGCGAGTTGCGTAGACTATCAAACTTTGGGAATATCGCGAATGCGTAATCAAAATATTTCAACAGAAATAATAGGAGATTTGGAATCTGTAATAGAGAAGCTAGATTCAAGCGAAGTTCAGCACGAAAGAAATGTAAAATCCATCACAAATAATCCACAATTAGAATTACGGAAAGATAGCTTAGACGCGACAGGAGAACAAACAAGTAAAGCAAGCAAAACCTCTGACGACACTGAGTCTTCCAGTACGGATCAAGTTGATGGCAATATTTTGGGAGGCAATGTAATTCTTGGTGATTACGATGAGAATGCAGAAAAAGATTCATTGTTACCCACATATAAAGATTTTTCTTCGGAGGACAATATTGATAACAATAATACAGAAGGTTTAAAATCGAAAGATAAAACCAATGCCGATGTAAACGTTGATACAAGCTCGTCCATGCATGGGAAACCTTACGCTCTTGCTACGTTAGATGGGACGATAATGCTAGTTAAAGATGAAATCATTTTATGGTAAGATTTCCAACAACCTCACGCCTCTGCTTTTACCCGATTTATTTTTTTGTTTACATTTTGTACGCTGCATACGTTTTCCTTAGGTCCATGCAAGTAGCTCATCAGATATTCGCTTTATGTCGATTAGACGTAACCGGTGACGGAAGTGACGAGATAATAGCCTGCGCGTGGGACGGGCAAACATATATTTTGGATCAACAACGAAACAGCGTACGTTTTCAATTCGAGGAGCCGGTCAGAGCGTTCTGTACCGGTAATTATAACGTCACACCTGGGATTTCAACGCCTTGCCTGGTGTACAACACGTTCAACAACAAGGTACCGCTTCTCGTTTGCTTGAATGGCACGTAATTTATACAGGAAATGTAAATATTAAACGACGAAAGCAGCTAACGAGTACCAAAAACAAATTTTCACAGATTTATCTGTACTACGATGTAACGCTTCCAAGTATGGTCACCAAACCATTGAATCCCGTGGAAGATTTAGATCCTGAAGAAAAGAAAACGTTGGACGATTTATTGGGTAATTGCAGTGACACCGAGAGACAACAGAAAATGCAACAATTAACCGAATGGCTATTGTACGGGACGTCTTAAGATTGATACATCCCATAAGATTATATTGTAAAAGATAAAGAAAAGAAATATATGTATAGATTGTTACGAATTGTTGTTCTTCCTCCCTCGCCGATGTGTTATATGGTTTGTTAAATCCTTCTAGACACGAACAATGTTTGATCAACGTCCAACCGAATTTATTGCTGATATCTTGATGTCTTTTCTATTCATCAGAAGAGCGTTTCGTTTCTGTACGTTTCTTTGAAATTCTAACCGGCAAACAAGACCTCGACAACGTTGGTTACCGAATAAAAATTCAAGGTTCGACTCGGTTTTTAAGGATACTCAACTATTTGCGAAACGTTGCGAAAGACGGAACACTTTATCTTCCCGTCGTAAATTAGTCTGGATGTCTCGCGTAAGATCGGTTAAACATATAGCATCAGAATTGAATGTCATCATTGTCAGTAAGAATGTAGATCCCATTGGGTACTTTTCCAACTTCTTACTATCTTAGCGACGATCGAATCGAATCAGCGACCGACATCTAGACACCTTGTTCATCTATTAGGACCGAGAGATTTTCGGATTATCGATTACACTTGTCGATCGGACCGCGATAACGCGACTAAAAAACAGACAGATCAACAAGTGAGTGTTTTAGTTTTTATTTCCCGATCGTACGTCGAACAACATTCCCGATAATTAAATGTATTCCATCGGAAGTTAGAGCGGTTGCAATCTTCTCTGTCGCGAGTTTAATGGCATTATAAAATAAATAAAAACGGAATAATGAACATGTGAGTGCTGTAAATTTTTTATTCCTCTTGTTTTTTAATTTTCGAAAGGAAGAATAATTTGATCGATCGTTATAAATCAAGTGGAAGCAATCGGTTTGCCTGTCGCGACAATTTTATCGCATTGCAAACAGAAAAAAAATAAATGAATAAAAATAGCAAAATGGAACAGTTTGTTGGTTGCAGAGTAGTTTATCGATGATAGTCTTAACGAGCGGCAAAGCAAAGTGTTCTCTCGATATTTTATAATCTTCGATTTCATTGAATTTATAGAATGGCGGAGAACGAAACGGGATCTCATTTACTGGGCCAAGAATTGAAACGACTCAGTTTCGGATGGACCGATTACAGCCTTTTCACTGGCTTATTGGGGATCAGTGTCCTTATAGGGATCTACTTTGGCTGTTTCGGTAAGAAACAGGATAACACTACCGAGTACTTGCTCGGAGGGAAAACAATGTCGTGGTTTCCGGTCGCCATGAGCTTAATTGCCAGGTAAGGAAAATTTATTCAGATTGACATCGGTGAAAAGCAATCAAGGCTGCTGAGAGAAGTACATTTACTCGTAACGAATTAACACGGTCAGTGGAACAGTAGATAATATGGATTAATAATAATCATATGGACATACAGTGGGTCCAAAAAGTATTTGTACATCATTTAAAACAGAGTAACTCGTTTAAAATTGGACCAAATGACTTGAGAAGTTATACAAATTGATTTACTGAGATATGTGCTTTCGTCGTTTTAAAAAATTACAATTTGTCGAAATCGGGAAAAGAATAGTAAAAGGCAATTTTTTAACTTTTTCATCTGAATTTCCAATGAAAATTTAAAATATAACATTTGTAAATTTAAGTATGTTATGTGTATGCTGAAAATTTCATCCAGATCGGTCAATGCACTTAGAAGTTCCAAGTAATTAAAATTTCCGAAAATCTCTAAAAAAATAACTAGTCACGTTCTTAGACGAAAAGCCGAGATTTTCGGAAATTTTAATTATTTGTAACTTCTAAGGGCATTGATCGGTCTTGATGAAATTTTTAGCATACACATAACTTATTTAATTTTACGAAAAACATTTTAAATCATTATAGGCTTACATAAAAAAGTTGAAAAATCACCCTTCACTATTTTTTTTCACGATTTCAACAAATTGTAATTTTTCAAAACGACAAAACCACATATTTTAGTAAATTAATTTCTATAGCTTCTCGAGAAACCTCGAGGTACTCTGTTTTAACCCTTTCAATACGGCGAAAAAATCAGTTCGAAATAACTTTTCTGCCTGAAAGGCTCAAGGTCCTAGAGACGCATAAACGACCCCATAACGACGCACCATCAACAACAATGATGTTACAAGCTTCATTGATGGGACATCAAATTTTCCAGACTGGGACAGCATATGTCCTGTCCGGTGTGAAAGGGTTCAATGGTGTACAAATACTTTTTGGACCCACTGTATGATAATATGGATTAGTAAGGATATTAACACATTGTACGCTAGTCATCGGGCACTTTTCAATAATACAATCATTCAAAACTTTCACGAAGTGAATTTCTCTCGGCAGCCTTCGAAAACAATTGAATCGTTCATTAATGTAATTTAATTGTTTTCTGTTTTTGATTAAATTTTCAGCCACGTATCAGCGGTTTCATTGCTTGCCGTGCCGGTCGAAGTGTATCAATACGGTACACAGTACGCCGCCTGCATTTTTACAGCTGTGATATCGTGCACCCTCATTTCCCTTATCTACGTGCCTGTCTTTTATCAGTTACAACTGACCAGCACATTCGAGTACTTGGAGATGAGATTCACGAGGTCGGTTAGGACCTTCGCCTCCTTCCTCTACACCTTGTCGCTGATCATTTACATACCTTTGATCATCTATGTGCCAGCTTTGGCATTTTCACAGGCCACAGACATCAATCTACACCTCATCACCCCGGTCATCGGCATCGTCTGCATATTTTACACCACCATAGTAAGTACTTTTCGTTCTGTATCTAGTAGAGGTGTCCGAGTACATACACGTAATTTACAAGCCGAGCTGAAATCGCTTCGATTATTCGAGCCGAGTCGAGCGCTTGAATTTTCCGGATTACTCGAAATCGACAAACTGTTTGAAACAAAAACGAGCTACTCGAAAAAATCGAACTACTCGAATATTCGAGCCGTCGTAAAACTTTGATTTACTTGAAGATGAATTCTCACCTTGAATATTCGAATAGCTCGATTTTTTCGAGTAGCTCGCTTTTCTTTCAAACAGTTCGTCGATTTCGAGCAATCCGGCAAATTCAAGCGCTTGATCGGGCTCGATCGACCGATCATTGTTTGACTCGAAATTCGAGTACTCGAATAAATCGAGTACTCGCACACCTCTAGTATCTAGTGCTGGATACATGGATTATATTTTCAAAGCGTCGATAAGTACAATTTCTCAAGATACAATCACGTAAGAATAATTATTTTGTGACTGTATAGCTGGTCGTCTACTGAGTTGTGACACTACTGAAATAGTGTCTCTGAACAAAACTGTTGTTACATATAATAATTACTTTCATTAAAGGAGTATACCTTGAGAAATCGTATTTATCGACGATCGCCAACGTTATCGATGTCCTGTACAGCAGACCACAACCTACGCGAAGAGAATAAAACGCAAATGAGCGAGGAAAAACCAGAATAGCTAGGTTGAGCTTCAACGACCATCTCTGAAAACGAATGTTTATTTACAAAGATGACCATTGAATTACAATCTGGCTACTCTGGTTTGTCCTCGCTAATGTTTATAAACATCGTTTCGAATATTCGATGTATTATCAGATACAAGGAAGAAATCGATAACACGTAAAGTGGCTATGAATGAGGCGAAATCTTGATTTAAAATTGAATTATAAGAATTGTTTACACTGGAGTTTCGTATCAGACACACTTTATCAATTGTGTACAGTGTAAAGTCGGCTGTTACAGACGCCACCAATGATTAGACTGTTTTTTTGTATAAAATTTAACGTTTCGAGTACTGAATGATTCCACGAGTACTCGATGACTATGTAAATAATTCGGAATAGTAATTCCCGACAGATTAAAAAATTAATCTCTAGTTGTTTTTAATAATCCACGTTATCGCGTACCTCATTAGATACGGGTATTTATCATCGTCTTAAGTTATAATTGTGACATAACAAAAAAGTTATACCTGCTCGCAATAAAGATACATTTTATTGAATGCAATTAAGAGAAAGCCAACGTAAATAATAAATAACCCTGATGATGAAATCGTAATTGCTACTGATTAAATCTGAAACTAATTCTTTATTTGGAAATCATTAGGGAGGTTTAAAAGCTGTCGTATGGGCCGATACAGTTCAAATGACCGTGACCCTAGGAAGTCTTTGCGCCGTATTCATCCTGGGCACGATAGCTGTGGGTGGTTTTGCTGAAACCTGGAGGATATCGGAGGAGGGTAGCAGAATTATTTTTTGGAAGTACGAAAATTCATGAAATCATTACGATGTACAAATTATTTTCAATGTATTCTTCCCTCACACGATTTGATTGAATGTTTTAGTATGGACCCTAGTCTGTCTGCCCGAAATTCTTTTTGGGGTATGTCGATCGGAATGACACTCACGTGGATAACGGGTCTTGGTATCAGTCAAGTGTCCATGCAAAGATTTCTATCGGTACCGAATCTCAAAGAAGCACACAAGTGCGTATAATCGTTGTTAACGTTCACGATAATCGATAACTAACCTATTTCATTTACCGTTCCAGGGCAGTAGCGTTTATGGGAGTATGTATAGTAGCCATTAAGTGGGTATCCGTGCTCACGGGGCTTATAATGTACGCCAGGTATCATAAATGCGATCCAATAAGCACAAACGTACGTTTTCTCTTTCCCTTTTGCTCTATATAATCAACCCTTTGCGGTCCGTCTATCCATTAGAGATGCGCGAGTACTCGAATTTCGAGTCAAACAATGATCTGTCGCTCGAGCCGAGCCGAGCGCTTGAATTTGCCGAATTACTCGAAATCGGCGAACTGTTTGAAAGAAAAGCGAGCTACTCGAAAAAATCGAACTACTCGAATATTCGAGGTGAAAATTCATCTTCAAGTAAATCGAAGTTTTACGACGGCTTGAATATTCGAGTAGTTCAATTTTTTCGAATAACTCGCTTTCGTTTCAAATAGTTCGTCGACTACGAGAATTCGGCAAATTCAAGGGATCGACTCGGCTCGAACAATCGAAGCGGGTTCAGTTCGGCTTGTAAATTACGAGTATCCATCCAATTATTTCAAACTAATTTTCAAACTGATGTATCGAACCTTTTTTTGGTCAGGTATTTTCTTTCCATTGAAACTTTCAAAGGATAATGGAAGAAAATGGTTTAGAAGAGATGGGAAAGTTGCAAAAGATTAAAGTTTTTCATTAACTTAGTTGTTAAGCTTAGCTGAGTAGATGGCTCGCATAGCAATGAATATGTTAAGCAAGCTGCTGGACCGCAAAGGGTTGAAATTCGTATTTCGATCAAATCTTGACGGATTAATTGGCCCTCAGGTAATTTCAAGGAGCGATCAATTATTGCCGTATTACGTATTGGACGTTGCTGAGAATATTCCAGGACTTCCTGGCCTTTTTCTAGCCGGTCTCGTAAGCGCCGGTCTCTCTACGATGAGCGCTGGTTTGAACACAGTAGCTGGCACAATTTATGAGGATTTCATCGATCCATGGTTACCGGATAACAACAATAAAGAGACCAGAGCAGCGAATATTATGAAGGTACAAAAATAACATTTAAGGTGTTCGTAAATATTCGAGTGCCCCGTGAAAAATAAATTCTTCAATTTTCAGCTAATAGTGGTGGCCGTAGGAATACTCTGTCTAGCTCTAGTCTTCCTGGTTGCATTTTTGGGCGACATTTTTCAAGTTTCATTGACCCTCCACGGTATCACATCTGGAGCGATGTTGGGTATCTTTACATTGGGAATGTTAATACCATGGGCGACATCGAAAGGAGCAATAGCTGGTGGATTACTATCAATGGGATTAATGGTTTGGGTGATCATTGGTGCCCAAATAAACATGGCTCTTAAAAAACTGGTCTATCCACCTCTTCCTACCTCGACTGAAGATTGTTTAAAGGAAGAATTTAATTTTAATCAAACGACAACCGAGGCTCCTCCAACACCGATTCCCGAGGACACACCTTTTGCCCTGTATACCATATCGTTCATGTATTACACTATGGTAGGCTTTATAGTGGTGATGGTGGTTGGAACGATAGTTAGTTTCATGACCGGCGTTCCGGACTTGAAGGATATCGACAGAAATCATTTTCCACCGATTATTCAGAGGTAAGTAGCGTTCATTTTTAATTTAATCCTAATCTTTCCTGGTCGAGTAGCAATTTCTGAACCGAACGTTTTAGATTCTTACCACCAAAGAAATACACCGAAGTGCCTCTTCATTCGGTCCCAACAACGTTGATAACGAACCAAGAAAAGGAGAAGATCAGTGCATGAGAGAAAACGTGGCTCGTTTGATTCTCAGATATTGTGTTCATAGTTCTGTTAAAAATCGAACCAACCGATAAGATAAGTCAGTACTGTTAACAATTAAACGACGTTTCTAATAACACCACGGTCTGTTAAAGAACAAACGAACGATAAGCATCGTCGATTCGTGCAGATGCCAAGAAAGTCTCTCCTCGGTTCGTCAGAGGAAAGCTCCGCGTATAACTGGTTCGTTGGCGAGTTGAAAGCACCCATTAGTCCCTCGATGAGGGTGTCAAATTGACTAGATTATATATCTGTCCCACGCATCTCGATACAAACAGCTCTCCTAAACATCTGGAAGGAACGATGCCTATCGGATTAGGAGAAATGTAAATGCAAAGGGTCGAGTATTTCTGTCGAGTCATTCGTCGCTTCCATCCCGAAAAATCCGCGATAGATCGATCGTAAAAGTATTATCGCGCGTGTGATAAATACTTGCACGCGACCTATGAGCTTTGTTACATTCAAAGAACCTCGAACGGTACGATTCAATTCGGATATTAAGTTGGCGACTAAATTCGCGACTCCCGAGTTCCATTTCTTATATCGTAGAATACATTTTCATCTGAATTCAAAGTCTGTTCGTTAAGGCTGGTTAAGCATAGTCGAAGAAAATAGTGTACGATTTATTAGGATAATAACAATAGCAGAATAATACAATAGGAGAAGCTATTGCGAGGTCTGCGAAGAATCAATAGCCGAGATATACATCGCTATGATACAAAGGACAATGCTTCGACCAGGGTACCGTGGGTCACGGTTGACCAACTTGTAACCCAGCAGCTTTCTAAATGTAACACGCGTTATTATGAAGTGTTAACTTCGTTTCAATAATACTGGTACACACTTTCACGTGGTATTTGTTCACTAAGATCGATCCCTTTTCAGTAGAAACGAAAGGATACGCGTTCAAATTTGAGGAAGAAAGTCTCGGAGGAAGATAGGGCTAACCCTTATCAAAGGTTCGAGATATTATCCTCGACTTTTTGGGGGGAACTCGGTCGAACGGAGAGGATTGCCGGGTGAGAAAGGGACATTACACGTCTGCCGTGGAAACGGCACTTCTGTCTCGAACCGGAGACCACATTCCAGCGAACCATTTTATTTTATTGGACTGAAAGGTGTCAAATATAGGTGGCAAGGGTCCTCCTACTTACATTCCTTGCCTCTGCTTCGCCCATCCTTGGTCTGATTTCACCGTGTAGGTAAAATCTAGGGAGAGAGTCGACCCATTGTGGCTGGGTGACAGATTTCTGACAGATTCTGCCCGATTTGGTGTCGAGTGACGGGGACCCCGATCCTTGCTGCATTCCCGCGAGGTTAACTACTTTTACCGATCCGGTCCGATCGGCTCTGTTGCTTCTTCGTTTATTTTATTAACCTACAGCAAGGATAAAATGGAGACACCCTCGAAAAATTAAAATTGCAGCGAATCGAGTTACGTTCTATAATTAGCGGATGATAAAACGCGACAAAGAATAAGAGAGAGAAAAAAAAAAGTATCGAAAGCAAGGATAGGATGCTACCAAAGGAGGTTTGGCTAGGTTCCTCTAATCTTATCCTCTTTCTTGCTCCTTCTATGTTGCCGGTCGAGTGGCAACTATATACGACGGGGTTCCCCGGTTTTTGTGAGGTCACGGTATACGCGCAAAAGCGTATAAAAGCCGAGGGGGCCGTACGGTGTGGGATACGGCTTATTTCGGCGACAATACGTAGGGCTAGGCGCGAGCATAAAGGAGCATAATGCAGCCTGCTAACGTGAAAATTATTCTGTCAAACATTCGGACGTCGGATTACGGCGACGACCTCGTGTCCCGGCAGGACACGCTTTTTTCAGAAAAGGCGCAGCCAAACAACGGCTAGGCCTGGCTGTTGCAGATGCCGAAAGGATTTCTCGGTCAACGAGACAGGATACGTCGATTCACGCGTCAACTCGTAGGAGAAGGCTGGCAAATTGGGGGGTCGTCGCGTTTGAACGTTCAAATTTATCGCTTCATAAAATCCTAATATTATGCGGCATTTAAGGAAACAAATTAATTATGTCACGGCTTGATGATATAATTTTTTTTTTTTCATTTCCGAAGTGTTAGACAAAATATCGAATTTTTTTCTTTCCACCCACTCCGTTATAATTCGCTAGCTTCTCGGCTAGTATTTCAAATGTATTAGGCAACGTTATTGCCCGCGATATTGTTCCATGTATGTACTTTATTTGACGCTTTTATTTTCATTCCTGTGTTATGCGGTTATTTGTATCCGCAGTCGTCCCCCTCTCTTTACCATCCACTGCGTAAACACTTCCTATGAAAATGAATACCAGTGTCCTGCGCTTGTGTCCCTCGCGTCCCTCGTTCTCGAAAAACAGGGAACTTGGCGCGACAGAGCGAAAGATAGGAATAGGTAAAGGTGAGAGGGAGAAAGAGCAGACACGCGGAATATTGTGACATTTTCTTTCTTGGCTGACATTCAATTTTCAGGCTGGTAACGCGGTGCCTCCCTTCAACCGCACACACGGCATCGTGTACCAACCGTACCCATAGAATGGAACACGATATACCCATCTACCTCCCTCCGTTCCTTTTCACTGTACCAATGCAACCAACCAGCCGCACCCCGGCTGTTAGCAGTGTACAAACAAACAACCGTCGGCTGTTTCTGCTTCTGTCCACGAGACGGACACCCGACAGAAGGAGTATCATCCTTTGCGGACGCTTCCCTGGATATACAGGGACATTTTGATCCTTCAACCGTGGAACAATGTATTCGAAGAAAATTACTCGTGGCTGGTTTGTCTCGATTGCTGGGAAAACGGGGTTAACCGTTCTGGAAAATTGCACCTGAAGTTAACTGCAGTTTTTTACGGGACTCCTCTCGATTCACCCAAATTTCACAGCAACAACAATAGGATATGGATTTGAAGTAGCCTCGTGGCTCATCTAAACTCTGATCGTTTCTATTACTAATTTACAAAATGTTCTAAGAAAGAACTAAACTAAGGGTTTTCATAGAAATTTTCGAAAATACGACGACTGAATTATACAGAAATGTACCTGTAGGAAAACTTTACGACCAGTTTGAAGCACCAACAAAAGAACGATCAGATCATCCAAAGGAAGACGCGCAAACGCGGTATAAACGGGAAAAAATATTGCTCTCAATTCGAGAGTAAATATAGTCAGGCGAGCAGTCGGCTCGAGCGTGCTTTACCTCCAATTAGCATCTCTCTTAATGACGATCACCGAGTTATACTCGCGCTCGCGTTGCGCTCACCAACATACTTTCTCGTCTACCGTTCTCTTATGTACACATACTCTGTCCACGGTACATTACGCGCGACACATACGTTCTCGCAAATACGTTCGTTAGTGGAGGCGGTGGAACAGCGAAACGGCGACGGAGAGACGGGGAAGGGATCTATAAAAAAAACTCCTTTCCCCTACTCGTACCCTCGCCCTCCCCATCGTAACCATTCTCCCTTTCGAAAACGCGTAACGAATGCAAGCAACGTGCACCCCGCTGCACTCTCGTTCGCCCTTCTGCTCTGTATATTTCTCCTGGATCCCCCTCCACGCTTCCATCCCCACTAGTTCGCGGGTATCGCTTTATTTTTATCGTCGACCGGTCGGAAGGTAGGTGGCGTACGCTCACCACGCCCCTTTCCTTTCCATCCCGCCAATCGGTCCCCGCTCGACCGGCCATTTTGGTCCATGCGGAGGCTGCGCGTTCGTTTCCCCTCTTTGTCTTCCCGCTGCACACGGTGTGACCTTCGGAGCGTGTGTGGGTGCGACGGAGGGAAGGATGCCGCGCTCGCGTGCTCGTTTAAAGCCGAGAACAGAGTGGTGGGGCGAGGAACGAACGAGGCGATCGGTGAACAGACTCGAAGCTCGTCAGTGTTTAGTGTTTCACCGAAATTTTTCGGAATTTCCGGACGCGAGATCGGTTCGAAGGATCTCGGTCCTCGTTGAAACTCGTTTCGAAGGATACGGGAGATAATCAGGCGTGATAACGTTCCTCGATCGAGGAACGCGTGCTCGTTCGAAAAGCGGAACGGAAGAAAAGTAGGAGAAGGCAGATCGGTTCTCCCTCTTCCGGTAAACGGAGCACGGAAGCTTGCCGAGAGGGTGAAGGAAGTCGAGTAAGCGGGTGGCTGAGTGGGAGGAACTCTCTGAAGGCAAAAGTAGCATAGAGATCTTGGAAACCGGGGCTGTTCCAGAAGCATCCTCCAAGCTAACCTTCATTTTTATCGAAGAGTCCGCGTAACGTCACCATTAAAATTCCTTGCCAGTGTTCCAACGGAGAGTCAAAGAGGGGTGAGAGGAGCCAGTTGGAGGACGGACCACAAGTCTGCACACCTATTCGTCCTATCTCTCTCTCTCTCTCTCTGGTTGTTCTCCCTCCAAAGTTTCGTCCAGCTGCTGGCACGTCGGTGTTGCCCGCAAAAAGGACAGGCGTGCGTCCACCGGGAGAGAAAGAGGTTGGTCGCGACATCGGTAGGGTAAAGAAGGTTCGCGATATACCCTCCGTGGCTGGAATTCTTCCTTCTTTCTCGGACATCGCCGCTCCCTGGATTCTTCGTGTGTGTTCCTTGAGGGCAGAGGTAGGGGAAGCAGGATGGAAGGAGAGTAGGGACGCGAAATCGAGGAATACGCGAGTTCGTGCTCGCGTGTACGAAGCGAGGCGAGGCGACGCGTCGCGACGAGCATCCTGGGGATCAAGGGTTCGCGTATGTGTGCGTCGCACGAGGGTGGGGATCCGAAGAAGGTAGGAGGACGAGTCGGGAGGACGAAGGCAGCGCTATCGAGTGGCGGTACCAGGAAGCAACCGCCGTCGTTCGTCGTCACCGGCGTCCCCGAGAGAGAGAGAAGAGTCCGCCGCCGACAGAGTATCCGAGATATCGCTGCTCTCGCGCGAGATACATATGGACCCAAAGTGGCCAAAGTGAGTTTCACGCAACGATATCCGGTTCTGCGGTTCGCGTTCCGTCGCCGTCGAGACCACCACGAGATCCTGGTTGCTTGCAATCTCGACGGCAGCTACCCTTTAATCACGACAGCTAGCCAGGGTTGCGCGAACGAATCTGATCGGTTTCAACGAACGATTTACGCGCGTCTCGCGTGTGTCACGACTGGGATTTTTCTAAAGGAACGAACTGCAAACTCGCGAGTGAACGACCGTCAGACGAATTCCGGAAGCTGCGCTACCGTTTGCCAATTAACGATTCAGCAAACACCACGGACGGATATCGGGAGCAGAGGAGAAAGAACGGCAATCGGGTATTGAACAGGTAAGAGAACGGCTTGATAAGTTGATCAATTTCCTACCGATGATTCTCTTTGATATATTTGGATTGGTCGATGAGATTAAATTTCATATAATATTAATATTTACACTCTGACGAAGCTAGTTGCAATGCTTGCGAAACGTCGGAATGATTTTCTTATAGAACACGGTTCAAAACTTTAATCTTATCGTTGAAAAATGAAACAATTGCATTCTGATTAATTGCAATTATAGGACTTTTACTCCTGCGTCATTTATCACGTTAATATTTTATTACAAATTAATTCTCTGCAGACTGATTATCTGCGTAGAATCTCTTGAAGTTTCGAGATTTTGAAAAATTGTTGATACACAGTGAACGCCGGAACATCTTGTAAATGTTTGTACATTCGTGCGTACAAATTCTTGTACGACCGAGGACGAATCGTGTTTGATAACATTCCGTCGATCGGGCCATTGTAAGATGTCGGAAATACGAGAATCGGAATTTACTACTGTTTTTTTTTTCTTTTGATTAAATTAACATTTGCCGTACTATAAGTAAACTGAAATATTTTGAAAATCACAGGCATATTACAATGCAACCTTCCAATTATGTCTGCGTGATGTAAATATTATCGTTTAAGAATGATCGTGAACTAGTAAGCGAGAGCGAAAGCATTACCGAATGTTAAATTCATAAAATTGGTTACAAGAACGAAATCCAATTTGTAAGATACAAGGTGTTTATTATGCAAAATTAGGTATAGCTCTGCTTCGAACCGTGACACGCCCAAACGACGCGTTCGGACCCACTGAACGAAACCCGTTGCATTCTATTTCTGAAATAAAATATCATTTTTAGAATTTAGCAGGCGTTCGAACAACTATCAACGCTATTATTTATCCAGATTCCTTGCGTTATAATTTTTATAACGATTTTGTACGTTTGAATTAGGTACTTATCACTAGAACCACCCCCTTGCCTATAATTTTATTGAATTATAATTTTAAGGATCAACAGTCCTTGCGTATTACTTATGAAAGTTCCAATCCAATTCGACAATATTTCCTAACGCCTTCGCATTATCCGAAAGAATATCAGGGCTTATTAGTAGCCGTAGGTTTGTCGACCGATTAAAATAACGGAACGATAGAAATGGTTTGCGTAGGTTAAACGAGATCCTTTCATCCATCCCAAACGAATCATGGTAACGAAACGTGGGCTCGTTCTGTTAATTGCGGCCAATTAACGAAACTGCCCTTCTCTCTTTCCCCGCGCGTTTTTAACGCCTTTCGGAGTCCATTCACGAACCGATGTCCGATTCTTTCGGAACCGAGCGAACACTCTGCGAAGCACCGGTAAACCGTCGTACATATTTATCCGAATAACGCAACGTCATCTCCGCTAATCGTCATGAAAAGTACGCGCCTCCTTTTTGATAAAGACAGCCACCGCTTGTGGAAACGTAGAGCGTGCCGCGTGCGAAACACATCAATCTTTGTAATGATTTTTTCTACACGAGCTATCTGAACCTTTGAAACCGCTAACGTCTTCTTGCTTCTCTATCAACCTTTCAACATCGCGGTATAATCATTGGAGTAAATCGTTCTCCTATCGAACAGCAAAATTTTCAGTGGAACAAACTTGAAAACGGTATGCAATTTCGTGTTTAATCAGCTGAGACGGAGAGGAGACGGTGTCTATTTCGCGACGCGTGGGTATGCGATCCTCTGGGTATCCGGTTGATTATTTTTGCGGTTTTCTCGTCCTTTTTACGGGACACTTGGCGCGTAGCGATGTTGGCCAAGTTTTTCGTGGCGAGAAGTGGCCGACGACGGGGGGTTCGCCGATATACGTCCCGTGTCCAGGCACCGAACGGACTGACGGACAAACGGACAATGAGAACGAGGAATGCCCCGCAGAGCCAGACATGAAGACGTCACTCAGAAACGGTAACGGCCAGGATGGGGTCAGGTTCGACCTGACCGTTCCGTGTTGCCTTCGCCTCGGAACCAGCTGCGTTCTCGAGCGAGTCGAGTGAGTCAGCGGCGAACCTGGCAGACCGTCCGTCGGACTTCCACGAGATACCTTTTCTGAAAATTTCTATGGAAACCTATGCTCGATCGAGCAACGACACTCTTCGTGCCGCCGATAATGCCAAATCAAATATTTCCATACGGAGTGATACGCCTGCAAGTTGACGGAACGAACGAAACTCGCTAAGATTTCTGGAAAAACTAGCAACGTAGGACGAATCATCGTTTTATCCCGTCGCTGCTTCGTAAAGTGGTCGTAAATTAAGTTGGCCGTCGGTGGGTCATGATTTACAAGCGATGACATCTTGGCCTATAATCTGCATCGAGGATGCGCTATGGCACGTGTGGATATTTTCATTGATGTAATCGTGAGCCTAGGCGAAGTAGAAACTCCGAAAAAACTGCCTTGAAATATTCTCGGTCGGAATAGAAAGTTTTCTTCCATGAATAATTTAATTTGAACGCGTCGAACTGCTTTATTGGGAATTGTCGATAATAGGAACTACGAAATATGTTCGATACGTCGACGCGTAACCCTTCCTAAGGAAATCCCAGCTTCTTGACGAGTAGAATAAGCAAAGAATCTTCAGACTAGCCAAGTAGATCGGTTTCAAGAAGCAGGCACCTGTACGCGGCTGATGGGAGCATCCGAAAGGTTTGCAAATAGCTTTGGGTTGTTTCTCATTTTGGTCGATGATGAAAGGACGACAAACGGCTATATCCTTTGGATGGTACAGCAGCCTAGGTATACATCAGTCGTGCCTGCGTACTACGAAACACCATGGGTCCTCAGGCCACAACAGAGACCCCCCGGTTTGACTAATAATCAGCCTCATTGTCGTCTTGAAAAACAGCCCTCCGCTTCCTGGGACCGAAACTCCACCCCCTCTTGCTTCCCAACGAACTGTCCTCGATAGTTTTCACTTCTTGCACACCATCCCCGCCACTTTTCTTCCACGACACCAATTAGTGGTTTCGTTGAAGCTCGCCGGGGGGTTCCGGTTATCCGGCAAAAGGTGCCAGGCGGAATTGCCTGTCTCGAAAACACCTGGACGCGGCACGTCGTTCGTTCTCCTGTTCCCGAACGGGCTTCAAACTCGTGCCAGAACTGGATTCGCGAAATAAAATGGACCCTCTAATCAGCGACGATATTCGGGACTCGCTCGACCGTGATAAAGCCACGAAATCAAAGAGAATTTGTCACTGGTTCGATGAAAAAACCGTTGTGACTGGTACAAATCATTATTAACGACCGGCATTGTGCCGCGATCGGCGTTATTCGTTTCGTTTGATATATAGCTCCGAGTCGATCCGAGTTAACAAATTGAAAGGTTCGAATAAATATTCTAACGCGAATATTCATCAACTCGAGCGCGTCGAGTTCGCGAAAAGAAACAGCGCCAATTAGAAGAACAAATTAGTTGTTTGCTCGGAAGCGGGGTCGTCGCGAAATAGCCGCTGGTGTATCGAGCTGGTGAAAGGACTTTCGTGAGTTCTACGAGCTAGGAAAAGGTCAAATAAGATCGCGTTTAAACGAAGGTACTCGGTACTCCAGCGCACGGAGTAACGACAAGGATCGATTAGCCTTTCAATCGCGATTCGTGGCTTCCGGATACAAAAGTTGCTATCTTCTTCGAAGCTAATCGCTAACCGCAATATTTTCGCAAGGCGTTGATACTGGAAGCAACGCGAATTACCCCCGAAAGCGACGACTTTCTGAAAGTCATGAAGCGATGAAAAATCGATTAGAATGACCCGACTCCTAATCATTCGGGAGTAGAAATAATTCGAGCAAAGAGCGGAGTGGCGCGGCGTCGATTTCGTGGATCCTCCTATGAATTCTGTCCGTGTCGGTTCTCGTCCCGGTCGGTTTATAATAAGGCGCTATATGGAGGCTTGTGCAGGTGTAAGGAGGTGTCCCGGCACCTTAAGGCTTCCAGTAGGGTCGAACGGAGCGGCATATTTCATCCATTGTCGCCCCTCAACTCCGGCGGCGGCACTTTTCAACTTTTTATAGAGATTTTTATACCGCTATATCTATACCGTTCTACGCTGTCGAGATGCGCTCGAACGGACAGAGACGAGGATAAAAAAACGTATAACGATAGAGAAAGAGGTGAACAGAAGTAGGAGGAGGGTTTGCCACATCGCGCGGCTCTGAATATGAATATAATAATGAGAACGGGTTTCGTTGTCGTTCCGCTTCTCCGCTCTCCGTCCTTCGACCGCTTCTTCTTCTCCTCTCACGAGCTAGTCTCCGTTTATTTCGACCTTATACATATATACCGATATAGAAACACGTGCAATAGCAATAATAACAACAACAAATCGTCTCCTATCGAATTCAATTCCGTTCAACCGCCTTCTTCTGATACGAGCCGATCCTTGTCGGATTCCGCCACTCCTCGTTGCACCAATGAATTAATAAAACAATGGCGATTGTATTCCGCGGACGTAGGTTGTTTCTTTCAGAAAATGTTCAATTAATGATTACAATTATCGAGATATACGTGGTGCGGATTTAATAAATTTTCTGTCGCTTGAAACCGTGGGATAATATGACTGATATCGCATGGTTAATAGGATTCTGTTTCATTGAAACCTTGAAAGGTGCTATCGTAATTACTGTTAAAACTGATACTTCCTTTGGGAGTACGTAGCCTTCGAGTGTATCTATGAAAATCGTGCGGTTAATTTTTCGATTAAGAGCGCTTTATATACGGCTCGTTCGCGAAATTAGGATACCATAGGTGTAGAATGATGCACGCGTGAAAGAGGATAAACACGTGCGAATATAAGATAGAAATTGGATACGTTCCATAAAGTTACACGGACGCGTGGGTTAAATGAATTTCAACCGATTAACCGATACCGGTAACCGAACCAGGAACGAAAGTAACCGCGACCGCAGCGTTGAAACCGAACTCGCTACCGAAACCATCCTCCCCGAGGCAACTAATCGTAATCATGCCCGGCAGATTGTAA